TATTCCTCCACCAGCAAACTTGACAGTTGACACCAGGGGTGCTACTTTCACTGGGGACGGGGGTCATGTCCCCCCACATTCTGAATTTGCATTTTTGTCCCTCCAGTTTTGTCATTGCAATGTGATACAAAAAGCGACAACGGTCTTTAGGGCCATGCAGTCGGGTAGGCTGTTTGGAGTGTTCAGCCAGCTGAATTTAGGACCATGCTGACACCACAGTGCGGGTTGACAGGCTGTTTGAAGACAAAGCTTCTGGACGGCTGGGAGAGTTGAGCATAGTTCAGTGTGTATGTGTTGTGCTCTTTCACTGAGTTGTAAAAGCAAGCAGAGCAGAAACTGGCTACTCTTTAGTTGACTGATGTAGCTGGAAAGGTAACTGCTGCTTAACTTAACAGAAAAAAACTAAACTAGTGTTTATTCGCAATGCTGAGCTAGTATTGTAACTGAAATGTAACGTTAGCTAATGTTTCATCCCCTCTCGACTGAGGTGAATGAATTAGATATGCTAGCTAGTAGCTACCACAGCCAGGTTAGCTCTATCCTCTCGCTATCTGTCAGATAGCGATATGAGGTGGCTATTATTACTATCTAACAGCAGTTGTTTGTAGGGGAATGTTTTGTAGCCTTTGTTTTGTTCCGTTTCAACTTAAGAAAATTAACTTAAGTTGATGTACCGTTAGAGAGAGAGAGCTGGCCAAAAGTTGGCTAACGTTAGCTATTCTTTTTGCCTCAACCACACTAGACCTGAAACAAACAAAGAAACCATCAGCCAAAAGATTGAAGATTAATATTCAGACGTTTTTTCAGTGCAATGCTCCCGCCCGCACCCGCAGCTTTTCATACCGCACTGTGCCCCGGCACACGCTGGCTTTCTGTCTGACTCCCACCCGCTACCGCAAGAACTGGTCCCAAACCCAACCGCAGTCCTGCAATGTTATTTTAGTTGTATTTGACGCAGCTCACTTGCCAGCCATGGTCCCAACAATTTCGTGCCCTATAGGCAATATCAAATGCTCAAAAATAACTTAAGAAGTAGTTTAAATTACCAGAGATTCTCACATGGCCGTTATATTAGGCTCTCTGTATAACTGGGCTATATCAGCCAATATGCTAGAAATAGTTTGAAGAGAGCAGAGTAGGAGAGACTTGCACTTTCTGTTGAGCTATTTTTATATCCTAGCTTTTAGGAGTGGGAAGATTTTCAGACTGAGAAATATGGGTGATCAATAATTAGGACTGTTTCTAGGCAATGTAGTAAAGTATTTAGGAAGTACATTTCCTTGGAAGGATAACTGCCCCGTTCTTCTCCGCCCATGCATAGGCTATTTACATTTACATACATTTACATTTTCGTCATTTAGCAGACACTCTTATCCAGAGCGACTTACAAATTGGTGCATTCACCTTATGATTGCCAGTGGGACAACCACTTTACAATATATATTTTTTTGGGGGGGTGGGGTAAGGGGGGGTAGAATGATTACTTAAAGAGGTGGGGTTTCAAGTGTCTCCGGAAGGTGGTGAGTGACTCCGCTGTCCTGGCGTCGTGAGGGAGCTTGTTCCACCATTGGGGTGCCAGAGCAGCGAACAGTTTTGACTGGGCTGAGCGGGAACTGTGCTTCCGCAGAGGTAGGGGGGCCAGCAGGCCAGAGGTGGATGAACGCAATGCCCTCGTTTGGGTGTAAGGACTGATCAGAGCCTGAAGGTACGGAGGTGCCATTCCCCTCACAGCTCCGTAGGCAAGCACCATGGTCTTGTAGCAGATGCAAGCTTCAACTGGAAGCCAGTGGAGTGTGCGGAGAAGCGGGGTGACGTGAGAGAACTTGGGAAGGTTGAACACCAGACGGGCTGCGGCGTTCTGGATGAGTTGTAGGGGTTTAATGGCACAGGCAGGGAGCCCAGCCAACAGCGAGTTGCAGTAATCCAGACGGGAGATGACAAGTGCCTGGATTAGGACCTGTGCCGCTTCCTGTGTAAGGCAGGGTCGTACTCTGCGAATGTTGTAGAGCATGAACCTACAGGATCGGGTCACCGCCTTGATGTTAGCGGAGAACGACAGGGTGTTGTCCAGGGTCACGCCAAGGCTCTTTGCACTCTGGGAGGAGGACTCAACGGAGTTGTCAACCGTGATGGCGAGATCATGGAATGGGCAGTCCTTCCCGGGGAGGAAGAGCAGCTCCGTCTTGCCGAGGTTCAGCTTGAGGTGGTGATCCGTCATCCACACTGATATGTCTGCCAGACATGCAGAGATGCGATTCGCCACCTGGTTATCAGAAGGGGTAAAGGAGAAGATTAATTGTGTGTCGTCTGCGTAGCAATGATAGGAGAGGCCATGTGAGGATATGACAGAGCCAAGTGACTTGGTGTATAGCGAGAATAGGAGAGGGCCTAGAACTGAGCCCTGGGGGACACCAGTGGTGAGAGCACGTGGTGCGGAGACAGATTCTCGCCACGCCACCTGGTAGGAGCGACCTGTCAGGTAGGACGCAATCCAAGAGTGAGCTGCGCCGGAGATGCCCAACTCGGAGAGGGTGGAGAGGAGGATCTGATGGTTCACAGTATCAAAGGCAGCAGATAGGTCTAGAAGGACGAGAGCAGAGGAGAGAGAGTTAGCTTTAGCAGTGCGGAGAGCCTCTGTAACACAGAGAAGAGCAGTCTCAGTTGAATGACCAGTCTTGAAACCTGACTGGTTTGGATCAAGAAGGTCATTCTGAGAGAGATAGCAAGAGAGTTGGCTAAAGACTGCACGCTCAAGAGTTTTGGAGAGAAAAGAAAGAAGGGATACTGGTCTGTAGTTTTTTGAGAAGGGGTGCAACTCTCGCTTGAGACTACACGCGCGCCTGATCTTTGAAGTATGGCTACTGAACTTGGCTACTGAACTGAACTTGAAGCAGCAAGATAGATGACAGCGACACTTGCTACGTTTTGCATAGGCCTATAGGATATATCCTACCTTTTTAGGAGGACGATTTGCAGGCAGAGACAAATAATCAATACTTATTGAAAATGAAAAGGCGCAACGCTTGCTCACCATAGTGTGCACGTTGTGCCTTTTCCTTTTCAATGACCTCTTTTTGTTCCTATACCAGATTTGAATTGAAGCAATTTAACATTATCCTCCCACAATGTCAAATTATGTGTCACTAGATTAGATTGTATTACAAGATTAAGGGTATACTGGGCTACATTCATAAAGTCTGGATGTCTTACATGGAGTACATTACAACTATATATTTATTATTCAATTACCTTTGATCTAGTTCAGTCTTATTAATCACTTAAACATACTTTAATAATGATCTCTTACCTAGCTTGATTACTGTGGGCATTTTTGTTTACTTTTTGTTCTAAATAGAGACGGCATATTGGATTGTGTAATAATGACGTTTTTTTATGGTTTGACAGATGTAGATACGGTTTGGTAAAATAGACAGCAGAATTTATTTCTGAAAGAACTGGAACGGTTGCCTGTAAAGCGAGGGATTATGGAACATATTAAATATTTATTTGAAGGCCAGCTGGTTTATTTGATGCCAAGTAGAGAAATGTTATAAAATCAACTGATCTGAGCACAGACAGGTCACTCCTCGTTAGTATAGTGGTCAGTATCCCCGCCTGTCACGCGGGAGACCGGGGTTCAATTCCCCGACGGGGAGGTACTTTTTTTCTTCTTCTCCCATCCTGATCATATTACCCACAAGTTTCCCCTTACGCTGTTTGCTAGCCCTTTATCAGTTTGAATCAATTATATTTTCTTCTTAGTATTTCATCAATGAAATGTCATCTTTAAAAAAAATGTAAATCCTTTAATGTAAATGATGATATCCATCTAGTGGTGGAATAATTATACTGCAACTACAGGATTAGATTTATAGGTGAACTGTTTACTTCTACTACTACTACTACTAAAAATCAGTTTATTACCAATTGTAAAACATTGTTTACTCATATAATTAGTTTCATACAGGCAGCTAATGTATTTACCTTCTTTAGTGTACTTACACCGAAGTTACAAAAATCCATATATAAAATGTATGGAATAAGAACTCTTCTGAATTCAGGTGGGGAGATAAGAGATGTCAGACTTTATTATAAACTGTAATCATTTTTCGTTCTTCTTTGATTGCGAGAGGCCAATGTTCGTTAGTATAGTGGTCAGTATCCACTATACTAGTAGCATACATATAAAATAAACAAGTAATTACAATATATTTACATACTAATGTGTGTGTTTTATTTTGCTTGTTAGCCACCCATCTCTGCTTTTCTGCTTCATAAAAAGCCCTGATGACTCACCCTGAATTTTAATCGCTACATAAATTATATTCATTGTGGAGAACAAACTTTGGCTTGAGCAATGTGGATGGATAGCCAGGGATTGGCCTTGGTACATGAAAAATACTTTTGCAGAACAATAAACATATTTGCCTGCCACTCCTGGGAACCCTGTACACGAGGGCTGTTGGGGCCCTGTTTCAGCTCCAGAAGACAAAATCTGCACAGACTCTCAGAGGGTTGCAGGTCTGCTGACTTCCTTTTGGTCATTCATTTTAATCAAAGAAATATCCAATAAACCAAACTGTTGCTTTAACTGTGAATGTACTTTATTGCACACAATCCTCAATTAACATGGAACATCCATAAAAGAAACAATGTGTTTACATTGGGTCTAATGTGTGTGTGAGAGGGAGGCATGTTTTTCAACTCAAGAAAAAAGCACACAGAATTTCCTCAAACTGTACACATTAAGCAAAAGTATTTTACAATATTATCAATCACAATTTGATTTGATAGATATTTAGAGTAATTATGTAGATATTGATAATGGATATGTAGGCATAGATATCTCCAATCCTCAAATAAAATGGAGTATACATAAAATAAACAAGTAATTACAACTTATTTACACTGTGGATAATGTGTGTGAGTGTGTGTGACAGAGAAAGAGTGTGTGCATGTTGTGTTTTATTTTTCTGTGTCAGCCACCCATCTCTGCTTTGTCAGTCTTGATAGGCCCAGTGTATGCACTTCTGGGTGAGGATGTCAGGCAGTGCTGGAGTGCATGGCAGATCTGAAAGAGAGATGCACAAAGTGACAGTAAGTATACAGCTCAACAACATGTATGTGTGCATATCTGTTGGTGTGAGTGAGCATATTCAATATAATTCTGAATTACCTGTATCCAACTGGGAATCCTCAAAAGTGTCTCCCTTCATGGCCAGTGTAGTAGGAACTGGTGCAGCCGGTAAATTAAATACCACAGCAGAGGACTGCTGTGACTGCAGCTGAACTGCTGGGGGTCGCAGATCTAAAAGAGAGAGGCACAATTTTCTTAACTGACAATAATCATACAACTAAACAGACTGAATGAGTGTAAGGCCTAGATTCAATCAGATCAAGCGTTAACCGGCGATAGCCGTCACCCGCATAGCTGATGTTTTGGAGGTGTCTGAGGTGTTACTACATTGGATCTGTCAAATCGGTAAGCAGCTGCTCTTGATCAATGTCACGCAACTACACCGTCCTACTCGCATTACAAGTTCAGAACGAGAAAGTGTAGGCTATATAGAATAATGACGCTCAAATTCAACATCATTAAACAAAATAATGAGGACTTCTATCAGCCTAATCCAGGTGTAGATTACATCTCACGTTCATGTTTTCAAACTTGTAAACAGGGCTGCATGAGATTTAGTTTAATGCGACTCCGTGCAGCCAATGGCAATGTCAGCTTTAAGTATAATGCCAGAAGCCGGTTGTGGATCTAACACAGTTCCACCTCACACACAGCCAAAACAATGGATGTGGATGTCGGCTAAAGCGGATGTGATTGAATAGAGCCACAAGTGAGGGAGAGTATGCATGTGTGTATACATGTATGTGATAATTACCTGTATCACCTGTCGCAGCCGGTGTAGCAGGGGCAGACGAATGCAGCTGTGAGGGCTGTGGTTGAGCTAATAGGGGTGTCAGATCTACAGTTTTCTTAAGTGAAAATAATTATACAACAAAACAGAGTGAGTGAGTGTGTATACATGTGTGTGATAATTACCTGCACCACCTCACACTACTAGCCTCTGGAAGCTTCAGCGTGCCACTCCAGGCCTGGAACAGCTTAGTGGAAACACGGTTACCTGTCACCCACCGAGCCTGGTTGGCAGATCTGAAAGATAGGCACAATATTATTTTAATGACAAAGCCTTGACTACACACTAACCTAAACAGAACAGACTATGGGAGGTGCACAGTAGTACATAGAGTCATGACAATTATTTTTTATTTTTTTTATTTTTTTATTTCACCTTTATTTAACCAGGTAAGCCAGTTGAGAACAGGTTCTCATTTACAACTGCGACCTGGCCAAGATAAAGCAAAGCAGTGCAATAAAAACAACACAGAGTTACATATGGGGTAAAAAACATAAAGTCAAAAATACAGCAGAAAATATATATACAGTGTGTGCAAATGTAGCAAGTTATGGAGGTAAGGCAATAAATAGGCTATAGTGCAAAATAATTACAATAGTATTAACACTGGAATGCTAGATGTGCAAGAGATTATGTGCAAATAGAGATACTGGGGTGCAAAAGAGCAAAATAAATAACAATATAGGGATGAGGTAGCTGGGTGGGCTAATTTCAGATGGGCTGTGTACAGGTGCAGTGATCGGTAAGGTGCTCTGACAACTGATGCTTAAAGTTATTGAGGGAGATAAGAGTCTCCAGCTTCAGAGATTTTTGCAATTCGTTCCAGTCATTGGCAGCAGAGAACTGGAAGGAATGGCGGCCAAAGGAGGTGTTGGCTTTGGGAATGACCAGTGAGATATACCTGCTGGAGCGCAGACTACGGGTGGGTGCTGCTATGGTGACCAATGAGCTAAGATAAGGCGGGGGATTTGCCTAGCAGTGATTTATAGATGGCCTGGAGCCAGTGGGTTTGACGACGAACATGTAGTGAGGACCAGCCAACAAGAGCGTACAGGTCACAGTGGTGGGTAGTGTATGGGGCTTTGGAGACAAAACGGATGGCACTGTGATAGACTACATCCAATTTGCTGAGTAGAGTGTTGGAGGCTATTTTGTAAATGACATCGCCGAAGTCAAGGATCGGTAGGATAGTCAGTTTTACGAGGGCATGTTTGGCAGCATGAGTGAAGGAGGCTTTGTTGCGAAATAGGAAGCCGATTCTAGATTTAACTTTGGATTGGAGATTCTTTATGTGAGTCTGGAAGTTGAGTTTACAGTCTAACCAGACACCTAGGTATTTGTAGTTGTCCACATACTCTAGGTCAGATCCGTCGAGAGTGGTGATTCTAGTCGGGTGGGCGGGTGCCAGCAGCGTTCGATTGAAAAGCATGCATTTAGTTTTACTAGTGTTTAAGAGCAGTTGGAGGCTACTGAATGAGTGTTGTATGGCATTGAAGCTCGTTTGGAGGTTTGTTAACACAGTGTCCAATGAAGGGCCAATGTATACAAAATGGTGTCGTCTGCGTAGAGGTGGATCTGAGAGTCACCAGCAGCAAGAGCGACATCATTGATATACACGGAGAAAAGTGTCGGCCCAAGAATTGAACCCTGTGGCACCCCCATAGAGACTGCCATAGGTCCAGACAACAGGCCCTCCGATTTGACACACTGAACTCTATCTGAGAAGTAGTTGGTGAACCAGGCGAGGCAGTCATTTGAGAAACCAAGGCTATTTAGTCTGCCAATAAGAATGCGGTGGTTGACAGAGTCGAAAGCCTTGGCCAGGTCGATGAAGACGGCTGCACAGTACTGTCTATTATCAATCGCGGTTATAATATCGTTTAGGACCTTGACCGTGGCTGAAGTGCACCCATGACCAGCTCGGAAACCGGATTGCATAGCGGAGAAGGTACGGGGGTATTCGAAATGGTCGGTGATCTGTTTGTTAATTTGGCTTTCAAATACTTTCGAAAGGCAGGGCAGGATGGATATAGGTCTGTAGCAGTTTGGATCTAGAGTGTCACCCCCTTTGAAGAGGGGGATGACCGCGGCAGCTTTCCAATCTCTGGGGATCTCAGACGTTATGAAAGAGAGGTTGAACAGACTAGTATTAGGGGTTGCGACAATTTCGGCGGCTAGTTTTAGAAAGAAAGGGTCCAGATTGTCTAGCCCAGCTGATTTGTAGGGGTCCAGATTTTGCAGCGCTTTCAAAACATCAGCTGTCTGAATTTGTGTGAAGGAGAAGCGGGGGGGGCATGGGCAAGTTGCAGCGGAGGGTGCAGAGTTGGTGGCCGGGGTAGTGGTAGCCAGATGTAAAGCATGGCCAGCTGTAGCAAAATGCTTGTTGAAATTCTCGATTATTGTAGATTTATCGGTGGTGATAGTGTTTCCTAGCCTCAGTGCAGTGGGCAGCTGGGAGGAAGTGCTCTTATTCTCCATGGACTTTACAGTGTCCCAAAACTTTTTGGAGTTAGTGCTACAGGATGCAAATTTCTGTTAGAAAAAGTTAGGCTTTGCTTTCCTGACTGCTTGTGTATATTGGTTCCTAACTTCCCTGAAAAGTTGCATATCGCGGGGGCTATTTGATGCTAATGCTGTACGCCACAGGATGTTTTTGTGCTGGTCAAGGGCAGTCAAGTCTGAGGAGAACCAGGGGCTATATCGGTTCTTAGTTCTGTATTTTTTTAATGGGGCATGTTTATTTAAGATTGAGAGGAAATTACTTTTAAGGAACAACCAGGCATCCTCTACTGATGGAATGAGATCTATATCCATCCAGGATACCTGGGCCAGGTCAATTAGGAAGGCCTGCTCGCTAAAGTGTTTTAGGGAGCGTTTGACAGTGATGAGGGGTGGTCGTTTGACCGCGGACCCGTTACGGACGCAATGGAACTCCATTCCACATCAAGTAACTCATGCAAGCATTAAAATTAGATTTAAGAAATAGATACAAATACACCTTATAGAACAGCGGGGACTGTGAAAAGACACAAACACAGGCACATGCATACACACAATAACATACGCACTGTACACACACGTACACATGGATTTTGTGTTGTAGATATGTGGTAGTAGATTAATGGCCTGAGGGCACACACTTAATGTGTTGTGAATGTATTGTAATGTTTTAAAAATTGTATAACTGCCTTAATTTTGCTTTACCCGAGGAAGAGAAGCTGCTGCCTTGGCAGCAGCTAATGGGGATCCATAATAAATACAATACAAAAAATGAATTAAGTTTGTGTATCGGGCAACCATGCAGCGTACTTCATTTTCAACCTGACCACATCCTTAAGTGAACATTCAGTGATTAGCTTTGGAAAAAATGACTATCAACAGTGTACAGTAAAAAGGATATAAAATATTCAGATCTGGATTGACAAGTAGGCTAAATTATGTGAAGTTACAAAACCTCTGGGGCTTAGTCTACACTCAAGAAATAAAGGATGCAGGACATGAGCTCTAGGACCATGCCTCAGGACTACCTGGCCCTGTCCCCAGTCCACCTGGTCGTGCTGCTGATCCAGTCTCTGCTGTTTCTGTCTGCGGCTATGGAACCCTGATCTGCTCAGGGCTCACCGGAGGTGCTACCTTGTCCCAGAACTGCTGTTTGATCCTGTCTCTCTCTCTAACGGACCTACTGTCTCAACCTCAAAATACTCAGCTATGAAGAGCCAACTGGCATTTACTCCTGAGGTGCTGAACTATTATTGCACCCTCTATAACCACTGTGATTATTATTTGACACTGCTGGTCATTTATGAACATTTAAACGTCTTGAAGAACGATCTGGCCTAAATGGCTGTACTCTTTTATAATCTGCACCAGCACAGCCAGAAGAGGACTGGCCACCCCTCAGAGCCTGGTTCCTCTCTAGGTTTCTGCCTTTCTCAGGACTTTTTCCTAGCCACTGTGCTTCTACGTCTGCATTGCTTGCTCTTTGGGGTTTTAGGCTGGGTACAGTGGGGGAAAAAAGTATTTAGTCAGCCACCAATTGTGCAAGTTCTCCCACTTAAAAATATGAGAGAGGCCTGTCATTTTCATCATAGGTACACGTCAACTATGACAGACAAATTGAGGGGAAAAAATCCAGAAAATCACATTGTAGGATTTTTATGAATTTATTTGCAAATTATGGTGGAAAATAAGTATTTGGTCACCTACAAACAAGCAAGATTTGCTCTCACAGACCTGTAACTTCTTCTTTAAGAGGCTCCTCTGTCCTCCACTCGTTACCTGTATTAATGGCACCTGTTTGAACTTGTTATCAGTATAAAAGACACCTGTCCACAACCTCAAACAATCACACTCCAAACTCCACTATGGCCAAGACCAAAGAGCTGTCAAAGGACACCAGAAACAAAATTGTAGACCTGCACCAGGCTGGGAAGACTGAATCTGCAATAGGTAAGCAGCTTGGTTTGAAGAAATCAACTGTGGGAGCAATTATTAGGAAATGGAAGACATACAAGACCACTGATAATCTCCCTCGATCTGGGGCTCCACGCAAGATCTCACCCCGTGGGGTCAAAATGATCACAAGAACCACACAGGGGGACCTAGTGAATGACCTGCAGAGAGCTGGGATCAAAGTAACAAAGCCTACCATCAGTAACACACTACGCCGCCAGGGACTCAAATCCTGCAGTGCCAGACGTGTCCCCCTGCTTAAGCCAGTACATGTCCAGGCCCGTCTGAAGTTTGCTAGAGTGCATTTGGATGATCCAGAAGAGGATTGGGAGAATGTCATATGGTCAGATGAAACCAAAATAGAACTTTTTGGTCAAAACTCAACTCGTCGTGTTTGGAGGACAAAGAATGCTGAGTTGCATCCAAAGAACACCATACCTACTGTGAAGCCTGGGGGTGGAAACATCATGCTTTGGGGCTGTTTTTCTGCAAAGGGACCAGGACGACTGATCCGTGTAAAGGAAAGAATGAATGGGGCCATGTATCGTGAGATTTTGAGTGAAAACCTCCTTCCATCAGCAAGGGCATTGAAGATGAAACGTGGCTGGGTCTTTCAGCATGACAATGATCCCAAACACACCGCCCGGGCAACGAAGGAGTGGCTTCGTAAGAAGCATTTCAAGGTCCTGGAGTGGCCTAGCCAGTCTCCAGATCTCAACCCCATAGAAAATCTTTGGAGGGAGTTGAAAGTCTGTGTTGCCCAGCGACAGCCCCAAAACATCACTGCTCTAGAGGAGATCTGCATGGAGGAATGGGCCAAAATACCAGCAACAGTGTGTGAAAACCTTGTGAAGACTTACAGAAAACGTTTGACCTGTGTCATTGCCAACAAAGGGTATATAACAAAGTATTGAGAAACTTTTGTTATTGACCAAATACTTATTTTCCACCATAATTTGCAAATAAATTCATTAAAAATCCTACAATGTGATTTTCTGGATTTTCTTTCCTCATTTTGTCTGTCATAGTTGACGTGTACCTATGAAGAAAATTACAGGCCTCTCTCATCTTTTTAAGTGGGAGAACTTGCACAATTGGTGGCTGACTAAATACTTTTTTCCCCCCACTGTATCTGTATAAGCACTTTGTGACAACTGCTGATGTAAAAGGGGCTTTATAAAATACATTTGATAGATTGCTCGTATTTGCTTCTATTCATGTCAGTAACTCTAAATATGACATTGAGTTATCTTACATTTCCTCAATAGGAAGTTGTAACTTAAGCCAACACTTTTTCCTGGTCTGTCCTGCTTGGGACAGGGGGCTTCAGGTTTGGGAATGGAGGGCCTAGAGAATTTGAATATTAACAATAATTAGTGTCCACATTTATGAATGAATTAAATTCAATTTGGGTTAGCTGTGTATGTCATCTGATTGAGAATTGCTGATGATATGCTGTATATATCTATTTTGAAAATCACAATTCTATCTAGTGAGAGTGCACACAACCGTTAGCTTATTTTACCATGTCAAAAATAACATCATTTTGTCAAGGGAGACCTGGCAAAGAGGACAGAGCTCTCAGGTAAAAGGCATATTTATAGCAGCAGCTATGGTATGGATAAAGACAACGTGACACCCCCACAGCTGCATGAGTGTGTGATATTTCTATAATATTAGCTAATTTAACCATTTCCAGACCCAACGAATAACAGAACAGTAGGAAGGCTATTGTTACTGTATTGTAGCCTACTGTACCCCACCCCATCAACTAACTAGTGACAAGGCTACGTTGTTATCACTTAGTAATGTTGTACTGTAGCCTAATGCATCCCATTTAAACCAACTATTAGAGACAAGGCTATATTGCTGTAGTTCAGTAATACTGTAACGGTAACGTTACTAGCCTACTGTACACCACATTAACCACCTAGCTAGCTAGTGATAGCTTAGCTAGCTAGCTCCAAAGAAACAACCAATGACATTAACAGGCATTTAAACACAATATCGATCTTGCTAGCTAGCTAGTATAATTGCATGCAAAACAACTTTACAGATGATTACAACGTTCGAAAGCAAAGTTGACTTACCGGTCTGCTGCTCTTGGGAACTAGATGGAGGCATCCACATAGCGGTTAGCTAGCGCCGTTAGCGTCGTTAGCATTAGCTAGCTAGCAGCGCCAGCATGTTAGCTATCAAAGTCTCTATCCAGCAAGAATATCGAGGTTAAAAACGAAAGAAAGTATGTTAAGCCATGCTGATTAAGTAAGACAAGTCCAATTGGACTGAAGTAATTAACAGGCTGAACGTACATTTCTGTGACTCACTAGCTAACTTTAGCTTACTATCTCAGTGAACGGAGGGTGATTGATGGGCTCTTCCTGTTTACAGCATCCCCTATGGGGAAATCAGACTAGCGCCACAAAACCAACCAGTGGCCGGAATTATAGTACATCCGGGTTGGTTTAGAAACGCCATTGAATTCTCCTCTTTCCTTTGTTGTTATAGAGTTTGTCATCCACTGTGCTGTATTTGGATTCATGATTTGAAATGTAGGAGTGGCATCACTATGAATGACAATTGACACAGTTTTATATCTTCAATATACACTGTAAAAGAAAATGGAGCCGAACTCAAAAATATTTAATAACTTGTTCCACAGCCTTGTCGCATGCAATTCTCATTTTGAGTTTTCCAAAACTTTGTTCTGACTCAATGAGACAAGTTGGAGAGAAGTTAAATTAACTTAGAATGATTTATAAAAGTGTTCATATGGAAATTATTTTGATCTTGAAATATGGATGTTGTAAAATGGTTGTTTTGTTAAAGGATTATTTTTATTTTTTACAACCAAATCTCGATTTTTCATTCCAAACTTTATCCACAACGTTATATTGTAGTGATGGGGAATAAAATCTATAGTTACATACCTGGATATTATTTTTGAAGCTATATCGTATCCAACATTTTAATTTTTTTATTTAACCTTTATTTAACCAGGTAAGCCAGTTGAGAACAAGTTCTCATTTACAACTGCGACCTGGCCAAGATAAAGCAAAGCTGACCAAGACGCACCTCCAACAACACATAAAACCTCACATAGCCTAATTCTGCCATAAAACAATGTGTTTGTTGTCCGTAGCTTATGCCTGCCCATACCATAACCCCACCGCCACCATGGGGCACTCTGTTCACAACATTGACATCACCAAACTGCTCATCTACATGACGCCATACCCACTGTCTGCCATCTGCCCATCTGCCCAGTACATCCGTGAAGAGCACACTTATACATCGAAGGTGAGCATTTGCCCACTGAAGTCGGTTACGACACCGAACTGCAGTCAGGTCAAGACCCTCGTGAGGACGACGAGCACACAGATGAGCTTCCCTGAGACAGTTTCTGACAGTTTGTGCAGAAATTATTCGGTTGTGCAAACCCCCAGTTTCATCAGCTGTCCAGGTGACTGGTCTCAGACAATCCTGCAGGTGAAGAAACCGGATGTGGAGATCCTGTGGCATTGTGTTGTGTGACAAAACTGTATGACAAAACTGCACATTTTAGAGTGGCCTTTTATTTCCCCCAGCGCAAGGTGCACCTGTGTAATGACCATGCTGTTTAATCAGCTTCTTGATATGCCACACCTGTCAAGTGGATGTATTATCTTGACAATAGAGAAATGCTCACTAACAGGGATGTAAACACATTTGTGCACACAATTTGAGAGAAATAAGCTTTTTGTGCTTATGGAACATTTCTGGGATCTTTTATTTCAGCTCATGAAACATGGGACCAACACTTCACCTGTTGCGTTTATATTTTTGTTCAGTATATAACTGACTGAATACCTTTTCACCCCTCTCAGTTTCTTCAGGTTGCCCACAGTAATTCCAAACCAAACCAGAACTCTTGTCAGTTTGTTACCATGGTGATATACAGCTGCTCTGCCGTCAACTTCACTCAGGTAATCAATCCATCAACATGATTAACCAATAAACTGTATCCATCAATCAATACAGTACTTATGGCCAAATCTTCACTTAGTTGAGACACATATGAGCTCTGGTCAAAAGTAGTGCTCTATAAAAGTAGTGCGCTTGTTCCCTCCAGGTAGATATTGACCTGTGGATGCCCAACTGCCCATGGTCCCTCCAGGTAGATATTGACCTGTGGATGCCCAACTGCCCATGGTCCCTCCAGGTAGATATTGACCTGTGGATGCCCAACTGCCCATGGTCCCTCCAGGTAGATATTGACCTGTGGATGCCCAACTGCCCATCCTCCATGACGCTCCCCCCTCCCCAGTCACGTTGACTCCACCTGCAACCTCCTCATCACTCTGTCCCTATTGTCCCAGCCCGCTGCCGACTACGTAAGACACACAGTTTCTGATGACTGATGTCCCAGCCGTCTGCCGACTATGTACAATCCACACACATATCTTGTCTCTTATCCACTAAAATATTGTCTTTTACCTCCATCCCCTCTTTCCTCTCCTAGGTGCCTCTGTGTCAGTACCGTGAGGCTGTGTTCAGAAGTGTCGCCCCTCGCAGGCTGGTGGAGAAGGTGCAGGCCGAGTAAGCCATTTCTGATGACATCACAGACAGGGACAAGAAGCTGGAGCTGCCCTATGAGTACATGTCTCCCGACCACATTGAGAGCAGTGTGGCCATCTGAGCTGCTGAGAATACACACTCACGTAGACAGACACGCATGCATGCACACAGACAGACAGACACACACACTTACAGCCACATGCACACACAAGCATAATGATTTTACTCTCTATCAACCACAATGTTTCTTCCGCTTATAATAATCATGATTTCAAAAATGTTTTTAAACACTGAAACATAACTGCTTTCACGCTTTGATGGTGTTAGTGTCTTTTTACATAGTAATTTTTAAGACTTCACTCTTTAGTTCTCAATACACTATTGCCCTCAAACTCTCTGGACCTCGAAGCTAGTTCCACTTCATTTTTTCATTGTTACCCTCTAATCAGGGACCGGTTTAGAACTGGGACACCAGGTGTGTGCAATTAGGTAGAACAGAAAACCAGCAGGCTCCGGACCTCATTGGGTAAGAGTTGAATACCCCTGCACTATTGTATAGCATATACCACGTGTCAAACTCATTCCACGGAGGGCCGAGTTTCTGCGGGTTTTCGCTCCTCACTTATACTTCATTGATTAATTAAGGTCACTAATTAGTAAGGAACTCCCCTCACCTGGTTGTCTAGGGCTTAATTGAAAGAAAAACCAAAAACCAGCAGACACTAGGCCCTCCATGGAGTGAGTTTGACACCCCTGGCCTATACACTACACCAGGGGTATTCAACTCTTACTTTACGAGGTCCAGAGCCTGTTGTTTTTCTGTTCTACCTGATAATTAATTGCACACGCCTGGTGTTCCAGGTCTAAATCAGTCCCTGATTAGAGGGGAACGATGAAAAAAATGCAGTGGAACTGGCTTCGAGGTCCAGAGTTGAGTTTGAAGGCACTACACATTCTCATCAGTTTAAAATAACAAAGTGTAGTGCTGCTGATGGGGCTTAATGATCTTGATGAGATGCAGCGATACACAGTGATCAGGTAGTTCACTCTCCTCTCCTAATGTAAACCAGGAAACAACAACAACAGCAGCGAACAATAATACTGGTTGCATCTCAATGGTCTATAGTGGCCTTCTCTCCTATTATCGTCTCCTTTTGTCCTCCATCTTTGCTGAGCGAGAGGCGGACTTAGCTTCCACCTTTCTAGTTTCTTAACGTCAGTGTACTTAGATGGAGGAAAGGAGATGAGCGCACACCCCCTAATACTATTGAGATGCATCCCACAGAGTTTCGACGACAGGGAGCAGCATTGATTCACTGTAAAACGACTTCAATTAAAGTGCCTGAGCATTTTAAACTGTCAAAAGTCTTTAAAACAATCAAAACATGCTTTCACAAGCAGCAACTTAAAAAGTATAAAATTGCTGTTATTACTATACTGACACTGAGCCAAGAGAGGGGAGGACAGAGGAAGAGGTCAGAATAATAAATACATAAATAGAGCTAAACACTGTAAAAAGGCATCATGGACAGCAAGGTTTGTACAGCGCAATAATGTTCTGTATATCTTGCATAACTATGGCAGCATTTAGCAAAGTATGACATACAGTATTTGTAGAGATAATACTTTATAGTAGTATTTCTCCTTTCTCCTTAAAAGGGATAGTTCTATCTATGTAGGAATAAATCAAGAGAAAACTCAAAACGGGATCCTTGGGACATCCCAACTCTGACGTCACCCCATTGAAGTTTAAATTTTAAACGGTTAAGGTGAGAGTTAAGATTAGGGTTAGGTAAGGGTTAGGTTTATGGTAAGGGTGGGGGTTAGGGTTTAGGTAGGGTGTCCCAAGGATTCCGGATAGCACTTACCATAAAGAAAGGCTAAATGACAAATGGTCGCGTGTTGTTTTTCCATCGACCCAAAGAGAGGACAGTGTTTTCTAATGTCGTCAAACTGAACACTGTGACCTCACAGAAGAGTTTCACATGGGTTCTCTTCACATCCCAACAGGCTTGTTGTTCTGACCATAGAAATAGAATAAACTACTTCCATGGTTCACACATCAGTAGCAGCATGAGTGTTAGAGATCAAATCAGTTACGTTTAGATAATACTGTGGCTTCTGCCTCATCCTCAGTTTAGACCTTAGGCCCTCATCTTCACACTCATTTCTCTCTATCTGCATCTTTCTCTCTCTTTTTCTCCTCTCCCATTATCAATGCTCCTCTCCCTCCATTCATCTTATCTATCTCTTATTCTCTCTCCACCCTATCCTCCCTCACCCCACATCTTGTATCTTCCTTTCCCTTCCCTTCCCTCTTATCTCCCTCCCTCTCCTTCTCCCTCTCCCTCTCCTAGCTGATTGGGTCCAGCACCAGGACTTTGCACTCCCTCTTGGCGATCTTGTCCAATGACAGCACAGCTTTCTCCTGGGGGGGCAGGTAGAGGGGCCGACCTACAGGAGAGCCCACCGGGGGGGTGATGGCTCGCCTTTCCATCGCACTGCCCGTCCTGAAACACAGACACACCAGTCTGAGCTTAAAGATGCATGTGATACAATTAATCAGTGTACAGAGGACACATAATGACTGTGTGTGTGTGAGTGTGTGTATCCTCCCTACTTACCTCATGATGTGAGAGCGCGACGGTTGTTGATGAGAGAAGCTCTGTGATCGTCCCAGACTGGCCTGGTGTCTATCCAGTAGGTCTCTGACTGCAGGGCTGGATGGACTGTTCTTACCTAGAAACACATAGATACAGTTGCTCTTTGTTTTCCATCACTTCATGTTAAAAAAAGAATTAGTCATTTACTACTAATAAAAACAACATACAGTGCCTTCGGAAAGTATTCAGAACCTTTGACTTTTTTCACATTTTGTTAGGTTACAGCCTTATTCTAAAATGTATTAAATTGTTTTTTCCCCTCATCAATTTACACACAATACCGCATAATGATAAAGCAAAAATAGGTTTTTAGAAATTGTTGCTAATTTATAACAAATGAAAAACAGAAATATCACATTTACATAAGTATTCAGACCCTTTACTCAGTACTTTGTTGAAGCACCTTTGGCAGCATTTACAGCCTTGAGTCTTCTTGGGTATGACGATACAAGCTTGGCACACCTGTATTTGGGGAGTTTCTCCCATTCTTCTCTGCAGATCCTCTCAAGCTCTGTCAGGTTGGATGGGGAGCGTCGCTGCACAGCTATTTTCAGGTCTCTCCAGAGATGTTCAATCGGGTGCAAGTCCGGGCTCTGGCTGGGCCATTCAAGGACATTCAGAGACTTGTCCCAAAGCCACTCCTGCGTTGTCTTGGCTGTTTGCTTAGGGTCATTGTCCTGCTGGAAGATGAACCTTCGCCCCAGTCTGAGGTCCTGAGCGCTCTGGAGCAGGTTTTCATCAAGGATCTCTCTGTACTTTGCTCTGTTAATCTTTGCCTCGATCCTGACTAGTCTCCCAGCCCCTGCCGCTGAAAAACACCCCCACAGCATGATGCTGCCACCATCATGCTTCACTGTAGGGATGGTGCCAGGTTTCCTCCAGACGTGACGCTTGGCATTCAGGCCAAAGAGTTGAATCTTGGTTTCATCAGACTAGAGAATCTTGTTTCTCATGATCTGAGAGTCTTTAGGTGCCTTTTGGCAAACTCCAAGCGGGCTGTCATGTGCCTTTCACTGAGGAGTGGCTTCCGTCTGGCCACTCTACCATAAAGGCCTGATTGGTGGAGTGCTGCAGAGATGGTTGTCCTTCTGGAAGGTTCTCCCATCTCCACAGAGGAACTCTAGAACTCTGTCAGAGTGACCATCGGGTTCTTGGTCACCTCCCTGACCAAGGCCCTTCTCCCCCGATTGCTCAGTTTGGCCGGTCGGCCAGCTCTAGGAAGAGTCTTGGTGGTTCCAAACTTCTTCCATTTAAGAATTATGTTCTTGGGGACCTCGACACAATCCTGTCTCGGAGCTCTACGGACAATTCCTTCGACCTCATGGCTTGGTTTTTGCTCTGACATGCACTGTCAACTGTGGGACCTTATATAGACGGGTGTGTGCATTCCCAAATCTCATATTCAAAGATGTCTCCAAAAATGATGCATTAATGTATCATAGCCTGTTGTCCTTCATTAACATGTCATAGTGTATATATTGTCCTTCATTCCATTCTATAGGCTCTGTAGATTCTCTAGATTCTTACGGGAGAGGGGGCGGGCGTCGGGGGGAGGGTTGGAGACAGACGCCGTGAACTGCAGCTTCAGCTTCATATGTTGACTCAGCTAGAGAAGGAGAGAAAGATATAGAGGAGAAAGGATAAGACAATAATAATGATTATTAGTACTATATATATGCAACATGTAAAGTGTTGGTCCCATGTTTCATGAGCTGAAATAAAAGATCCCAGAAATGTTCCATATGCACAAAAAGCTTGTCCCCAAAAGTGTATCCCCATCCAGTGTGTATTGTACCTCGTAGAGTCCTGCCTTGAGTATCTGGAAGGCGACAGTGAAAGAGAGAGTGCAGCCTTTCCGACAGTGGCCCAGGTTACTGAGGGGGGAGTGACACACTACAGCCCCCAACGCTGCATCCTCACTTTGCCCCCGACCTGGAGGAGGGGGGAGGTGAAGGAGGGGAAAGGGATGGGGCAGGAGGGTAGAGAAAGGAGAGAAGAAACTGAGAAAATGGAAAGGTGTTTGAAAACTGTTCTTCACAGAAATAAGATAGGGCTGCCTGTCACCATTGTCAAAAACAACTTAATAAACTAATTGGTCACAATGATTGTACGTTTGTCCAGGAACCTTCCTTCGCTGTCCAGACCCTCCACTCACACACCCCTCACCCTCGGGTGTCCAGACCAGACGTACAGCCAGGAAGTCTTGCAGGTTGTTGAGCAGAGTGTATCTGACCCTGAAGTGGTCCCTGGTCTGCACAGTGCTGGGGCTACTGGCAGTCATCACGAACCTGGGACGGTCCAACCGGATACTGGGCAATCTGGAAGGAGAGTGGGATGGATGGAGGAGAGAAAAGGGAAGGGAGGGAGGGTTAATAAACTAACCTAAGAAAACTGAAGTTTCTGGGTGGATGGTAGCAACATCATAAACAGTTGTGGGCCAGACAGAGATGAGTAGTGAAGTGACACTGTGCACATGCAACAAACATGCAATTCAGTGGCACCTGTAGTGTGTGTAGATGCAGTTGGTGAAGGGCATCTTGGGAGTTGACCACTGAAGCACTGCTACAAGAGGAACTTCAAGACCCTGAATAAACACACAGTGACGTAGTGACACATCATACTCTGAAATGACAAAAGTGGCTTAAAGCTGCATGCAATATGTAACTTTTCGGTGTGAACCTACCAAATTCACATAGAAATGTGAGTTATAGCTCTGTCATTCTCATTGAAAGCAATTATAAGAAGCGGTAGTTCTGTTCTATGTGCGCTATTTTAATGCTTCCTGTTCTTAAGTTTAATTTTTTTGCATATTTTACATTTGATTTTGTACACCAGCTTCAGACAGCTGAAAATACAATAGTTTTGGTTATAGAAAATATATTTCACAGCGGTTTAGTTGGTACAATGATTCTCTACACTATACTTGCTTGTTTTGTCACATAAACTGAAATTTGGCGAACTATTAGAATTTTAGCAACCAGGAAATGGCTTTCTGCATAGTGCTTTTAACTTAACTCAGAAAAAAACATATTCACAGATGGGTGGTGGCACCTTAATTGGGGAAGACGGGCTCAGTAATGTATTTCTCTCTCTCACTCTCTCACACACTCACACACCTCTTTGGAGTCGTCCTGGGGCATGTCGCTGAGCTGCAGCTGGAACAGGAAGTCATATTCCTCCAGGGCGCTGAGCATGCTGGGTAGTCGACAGGCCACACTCTCCATCCTGCAGAACGACGCCATGGCAACCTCTCCTGACTGGTGGCTGAGAGGATAGACAAAATATAACATCCCGGATGTGAGGAAGACAAGAGTTAGATGTACCAGTAAAGACACTATGTGTGGACACCAACTTATAATGTAGAGTACTAACATTTCCCAGTCAACATAAGGCACAAATAAAACAGTTACACACATATACAGACCCTCTCTCCCCCCTTTGTCCCTCTCACACCCACACACAGTCGTACCACACGTTGTCGACAAGCATCACAGATCCATCTGGCATCATGGGCAGGTAGGAGGCGTTGAAGTTTGGCAGAATCCTCACGTCCCTCACAGTCACCTCCTCCTGAGAACACTCATTTAATACTGAGAAAGAGGGGGGAGAGAGAGAGGAGAAAGAAAACGGTTAAAATGGGAATAGGAGCCAGAGAGAAGAGAAATAAGGTCAGGAGGCAGTAGTTTAAGTAACATCCATCTAATCTATCTAATCCAATTATTGTGTCAGTGGCATTAGTATTGACTCTCAAATGAGTTGTGACAGTACTGGCCATCTGGCCCTCATACCTTTGAGCACGGTGAGGTGCTTCCCAGAGACAGTCATCTGCTTACAGCGAACAGTTGGGGGCGGTAGCACTGTCAGAGTGGTGCTCACTGTGGAGGAGAGAGGAGAGAGGGGGTGCTGAGTTAAATCTGAGATGGATTAAGGCAATAAACATAGATAACTGATTCATATCAATATCTAATATGGCCAAAGAGAAAGTAGCATGGCTTTGTTAGCGATGCTCTGTTGACAAGTGTGTGTGTTTGTGTACCCTGTGCTTTGAAGTTGTTGAAGTCATGGAAGAAGGTGTGTTTGAGCGTGTGGGTGTGTGTGTACCCTGTGCTTTGAAGGTGTTAAGGTCTTGTCTGAAGGTGTGTGTGGGGACTCGCTGCTGTAGGATGCTAAGGTAGCCATGTTCCTGAACCTCTGCTTTCTCTGCCTCTCTCTTCCACACCGTCACCATCACCTGGACACACACACACAAACAATACGCAGATAATGAGCCCCTCAAAGATGTCATTGTTCACTGTTCACACTTGATTTAAAACCAAGCCTTCCAAGAGTACTGTATGAATGTAATTTCTTTATGCAAAATGTGAAGACCTTGTTCACAAGACTGAAGTTTTGCAAATGCATTAATGGAACACTGAGGATGTGTCCTAAATGGCATATTCCCTATATAGTGCACTATTAGTCTGACCTCTCACCTTGACTTTGAGGGTGTTGACGGGGAGTTTGTCCAATGACACGGTCAGGGGGAAGATGACCTCATCAGTCAACACAACAGGCTCGTCCAATGGAGACTAGAGGAGAAAGAGGGGGGAGTGAGGGCGAGAAAAGAGGGAGGAAGAGGGAGAGAGAGACAGAGAGCAGAGTGAGAGGAGGGAGGAAGTAAGGAGGGAAAATAAATAGACAAAAAAAATGAGCAGAAGAAAGAAAAAAAAGGAGAGACGGAAAAAGATGAGAGAGAGAGTGAATATTACCCATGCTCTAATTACTGCAGTCACAGAGACTGATCATTGTTACACAACATGCCTCTCCATCTTCAGTCAGTCATGAAGAGACAACACAGGGAGTCCCTGTTGTTCTCCTCACACACACTATTGTGGCAAGGTCAACAAAAGACACAGAGGCAGACACAAATACTGTAGATGTTTTCTGATTGTCTATGCCTGTGAGACAACAGTACAGTACAGTAGTGGATTTAGTTAGTGTGATCTATGATGTTGCTGCTGATACTTTATTAGCTGGCTACAACTCTATGATACTCGTTCAAATGAAGGACTTTACCTAGCCCATGGAAATCACACATCTTCTCAGGCCAGTAGGAACGACTCCTGACTGACTGACCAACCAACCAACCCCTTATGGTGTCATGTCAGTTTCTATCATAGAATTAGGAATTAGAAATACTAATTTCATAGGATTGCTATGTTTTCTATACTGACACTGTAATATGGGGCTTATAAGAAAGTTCCCAGTATGTCAGCGGGTGCTGCTGGGTGTTGATGTTATGATGTGGATTACAGAATAGAGATGAGAGGCCATCTGGAAAAAATATATACTGTTTGCATCAACCTGTCAGTTTGCATTCTGAGGTGACTTGTGAGAGCAGGTCAGAGTAAATATAGCTAAGGTAAGGGGTTAGTGCAGAATAGGCAGAGAGGGGCAGACATATAGATGAATTCCCTTAGAAGGGCATATAGAAAGAAAGAAAGAAAGAAAGAAAGAAAGAAAGAAAGAAAGAAAGAAAGAAAGACATAAGTAGATTCCTTGAAATAATTATCATAGCAAAATCTAGAACACCAAAGTTACACAACAAACACACACAATACCAAATAACCCACACTCTAAAACCCATAGGAGGTGGGGTTCATCAAGGAACCTCATTAGTTGGTGGGGGTTCTTGCAGGACCTAACAGCCCAACTGAAACATTTGGATTTGAATTTGAAAGGACAGCAGGTGCAGGCACTTAACTGAAAAAGAGCTCCACAATTTAAGGTAAGGTTTGTCCCTTGTATGATCTACATTTATATTGTTTTATGATGATACCATCTATCTTTTCATATTTGTGCAAATCTTTCTAAAACAGAAAATGGATACAATTCAATGGTTATCAATCAACAAATAGGTAATAATATGTTGGCTATAAGAATATGTTGAAGGCTAGCTGTATTGGGTGCAGATGACTGAACTGCTCACTTTTGTGTCTGTGTCTGCAGGTTTACAGAGAAGGAGGCATACAAAGGTATGTCAATTGGTATTGGTATGTTATGCAGATCACATGTACAATCCTCCTCCCTTACCTCTTCAAGGAAAATCCCATAGGCCTCTACATTATGGACAAGGTATGTGTATGAAAACCATTATCAAAATAATTGTATTCATCCACATTTATCACAAATGCCAAGGTATGAATACTGTCATGTGCATGTTTTGTTAATCATCTGTATAATTGCTATTTTTTGGATTCACAGACTTCACCCTCCCTACACCTCTGATGAATATAACAGGAAACCTGTTCGATCACCATGCACTGCAAAATCATTCTGGCTATGGATACGGAGAACATCAACACATCAATATACCAATTGGACTTGGGCCTCTGCTGGGAGTTTACCTTATATTTAGATGTTTTTATTCTGCTTTGCCACTAAAATCCTAATAAACACTGACAACTAAATTATTGTGTTATTGTTGTTATTGTTAAGCGTATTACTACTACTACTAATAATAGGGGAGGGGGGGGAGTAGTTCAAATATTAACCCCAAAAGGTTCTTCAAAAGGTTCTTTGAGGATCCATTGAAAGGAGTTATTCGAATAACTTATAGGGCTTCCCCCACAGTTTCAATTTGAAGAACCCCTAAAGGATCCTCCAGGAACCTTTACTTTTTAGAGTGCATAACGATTCCCATAACCCATAATGATATCCATACCTGCAACGGCGCCCTGCGGAACTCCCGTCCCCCACTCCCCGTGGTGTTGTGGATGAGAAGAGGCCTGCATTCCCTGAACCCCCGGCATCTCGCATCCACCCTGCTTGTCAAAGCCGGAGCCCCGTACTCATCCCCGGCCTCCTCCGTGCCCTCGTCCCCGCTGCTCTGGTAATCTTGGTGATGATGCGACCGGTGCCTGCTCTCTCCGGGGCTGACGCTGGCCACGGCGCACAGAGAACCGGCCAGCTCCCTCCATTCCCGGATACTTGGGGTCTCCGAGCCGAACCCAGCAACACCTCCCCCGCCTTCCACTGTCCCAATCCCCGGCCCTGTCGGTGTCTCTCCGCAGGACGCGTCCCTGCACCGGAGCACCAGGAGGAAGCGGACCGTCTCGCCGAGGTAGAGGTGACTGCGCCGGGGTAGGGTTCTGTAACGGGCCGGGTCGGACAGGTCGGAGATAGGCACCGCGGGGAAATACATGAAATACTCGCACTGAGACTCCATCATCCGAACCATCGCACCAAACAAGCACCTGCCTGTCAAATATAGGCTATAGAGATGTATAATCCACAGACGCTCCTGATGTAGCCTAAACAAATAGATTATCAAGCAATGCACTGATGTCAAACCGAATAAGATCCAGCATCCTATCAATTTGGTGATCAAAAGGTAAACACCATTCCTGATTTAAAGACAGTAGCCTAGTCATTTCGTAGGTCCTGCATCATCATCATCATCGCTCCTCTAGATAGCTGCTACTGCAGATGGGTTAGCAGCCTCAGAAGCGATGTTCATAAACGCAAGCAAGCCACGGGCAAAAGTAATTCAGCATAGAGGATGCTGCAGCAATAACAAATGGGTTTTCAGATACAGTTATCAACGAAGACGTGCCCTGCCCTGTGTGTGTGGTTGACCCTGAAATTAATCTAAATTACTTTGCCATGGAAATCACACCACATTAAAACATAATATAGCCTATTTTTAACCATGTATAGACTAATGTTGGTATAACACAATTTAGCCTATTGAAATCCACACCAACATATGGTGTCGTCACTAGTTAACACAGCCACAAAATCATAATTATGGCTAAACCCCGCCCATTTCTACAATTGATTTTAAAGAGATTTTAAATCTCACCTTAACCCTAACCTTAACCACACTGCTCACCTTATGCTTAAGCCCAACCTTAAATTAAGACCAAAAAGCTATTTTCTGTAGCTTCGTGGCTGTGTTATCTGGTGGGAACCAACAAATATGGTTTTAGCTAGCAGATTGTAACGGGATAATTTGATGCTCCAGGTTATTTTATACAAGATGCTGCCACAGATTTTTCGACTAACCTGCCCTTGGCAATATTGTCTTTGTTCTCGATTTGGGGAAAAATGTAGGCTATCTTATGTCAGTGTCCAGTTGCAGGTGGCTTCAGAATCTTACAGTGCCTTCAGAAAATATTCACACCTCTTGACTTAATCGACATTTGTTGTGTTACAGCCTGAATTCAAAATGGATAAAAATAGATTATTTTCCTCGACTATCTACACACAATACCCCATAATGACAAAGTGAAAACATGTTTTTAGACATTTTTGCAAATGTATTAGAAATTAAATACAGAAATATCACATTTACATACAGTCACAGTCAAAAGTTTGGACACACCTACTTATTCAAGAGTTTTTCTTTATTTGTCACTATTTTCTACATTGTAGAATAATAGTGAAGACATCAAAACTATGAAATAACACATATGGAATCATTTAGTAACCAAAAAAGTGTTAAACAAATCAAAATATATTTTATATTTGAGATTCTTCAAAGTAGCCACCCTTTGCCTTGATGACAGCTTTGCACACTCTTGGGCATTCTCTCAACCAGCTTCATGAGGAATGCTTTTCCAACAGTCTTGAAGGAGTTCCCACATATGCTGGGCACTCTGCGGTCCAACTCATCCCAAACCATCTCAATTAGGTTGAGGTCGGGTGATTGTGCAGCACTCCATCACTCTCCTTCTTGGTCAAATAGCCCTTACACAGCCTGGAGGTGTGTTTTGGGTCATTGTCCTGTTGAAAACAAATGATAGTCCCACTAAGCGCAAACCAGATGGGATGGCGTATCGCTGCAGAATGCTGTGGTAGCCATGCTGGTTAAGTGTGCCTTGAATTCTAAATAAATCACAGACCGATTCACCAGCAATGCACTCCCACACCCTCACTCCTCCTCCTCCATGCTTCACGGTGGGAACCACACATGCAGAGATCATCCGTTCACCTACTCCGCGTCTCACAAAGACACAGCGGTTGGAACCAAAAATCTCAAATTTGGACTCACCAGACCAAAGGACAGATTTCCACTGGTCTAATGTCCATTGCTTGTGTTTCTTGGCCCAAGCAAGTCTCTTCTTCTTTTAGTGTCCTTTAGTAGTGGTTTCTTTGCAGCAATTCGACCATGAAGGCCTGATTCACGCAGTCTCCTCTGAACAGTTGATGTTGAAATGTGTCTGTTACTTGAACTCTGTGAAGCATTTATTTGGGCTGCAATCTGAGGCTGGTAACTCTAATGAACTTATCCTCTGCAGCAGAGGTAACTCTGGGTCTTCCTTTCCTGTGGCAGTCCTCATGAGAGTCAGTTTCATCATAGCGCTTGATGGTTTTTGCGACTTCACTTGAAGAAACTTTCAGTTCTTGAAATGTTCCATATTGATTGACCTTCATGTCTTAAAGTAATGATGGACTGTCGTTTCTCTTTGCTTATTTGAGCTGTTCTTGCCATAATATGTACTTGGTCTTTTACCAAATAGGGCTATCTTCTGTATACCACCCCTACCTTGTCACAACACAACTGATTGGCTCAAACACATTAAAAAGGAAAGAAATTCCACAAATTAACTTTTAAGAAGGCACACATGTTAATTGAAATGCATTCCAGGTGACTACCTCATGAAGCTGGTTGAGAGAATGCCAAGAGTGTGCAAAGCTGTCATCAAGGCAAAGGGTGGCTATTTGAAGAATCTCAAATATAAAATATATTTTGATTTGTTTAACACTTTTTTGGTTACTACATGATTCCATATGTGCTATTTCATAGTTTTGATGTCTTCACTATTATTCTACAATGTAGAAAATAGTAAAAATAAAGAAAAACCCTTGAATGAGTAGGTATTTTCATACATATTTTTCTGAATTGTTAAAAATCTAAGTTATACCAATCAAATCATAATCTATCACTTTTCCCCAGAGGTGGTGAAGGGGGCCATGCTCCTGCAGGACCCCCTCACTTAAATGCGCTTTTGATCTGCTGTATTTGTAATGAAGCTGGTTGGTGATGGTCTGTGTGGAGAATATCAGTGTGTGGAAGGAGTACTGAAGTAAGTCATGGGGATGGAAGGTATTTGGTTGTTCCTCAGGAGATGATGGTGGTGCAGTTCCACACTCTAGGACCAGTCTGATGAGGAGCTTGTTGCCGGCCAGGGAGAAGAAGTCTGGGAAAACAGTTATGACAGTGCCATCATTCCATACTATCATTAAATGCTTTATGGGAATATATTCCACTGGAAGTGTACACATTATATAGTTGAATTGTAATTCAGTTGGCATTGTTGAAACAATCTCAGTAAATTCATATTTGGTTTGAGTGCTGATGCCTCAGTAAATCACCATGCACTTCCTGAGACTCACCATTAGGTGATATAACTGAAGATTCTTTCAGCTGTATGGGTGGTGGAGTTTTTTTTAATTATCATTATTATTGAAAACTTCTAACTGTGGTGGACTTTGCCTTTTTGAAGCAGAAAACTTCTCACTGAAACAGACAACCAAACTGCTTGTGCTGGCCACCTGCTGGCCATATAGAGTGGAATCAGGGTGTGATGAGAACCTGCATTCATTGTACATTATTTACTTTGCAGATTGATCAGTTGTATTATATAGCACTTCAAAATAACAATTGACCTCAGTGGCTTCAATGGCTTCTTGAGTGTATAAGTGGCTCAATTTTACAGTGGAACGCGGTTTAATGAGACTTGAGATTAAATACTTTATTTAAGAATGAATTGATGCAGTGCTAATAGAAACACTGCAGCAAAGTATATTTATTTACCTTATGACTGCAGCATTAAAATAAGTGATTTTCTTTAGATTTATTTTTGTTAAAAGTATATTGTCTGGCAAATATCATGCTTGGCATCAAATGTGATACGAACTATTGTAGCCTTGGGTATACATACTTAAATTATTGTTCAAACTGATAGAAAAATCTGGAAAACATTGATGACAAAAATGGAATGGCTCAATGAAATGTACAGGTTTTTAATAATTTTGGTACAACTACACATTCGGAGTGTTTATTATAGGCCTGTTGAATAAATATAAAATACAGCCTGTGACAACCGCTTTTAACTGCCTGTGATGATCATATAACAGACAGACATTGACATTCGTATGAAGTTAGAAATGTAATCAGATTGATTATATATAACCTAATAAATGATCTATTCATGACGGTGTACTGTATTTCAAAAGTAGCGCCCCACATGGCCAATCCCCATAATTCAATGTTTAAAACGCTTTACACCCACCCTCTCGCCACCGCCCCCCTTCACTGCACAGGCGCATTAACTTTCACAAGGCCGCCATTTTGTGCGGAGCCTACTCTGCAAAAGCGGGAGAGGATTAAAACTGACGGAGGAGAAGGGCGCAATTCTCAGCCATCTCGGTCTGATTGAGGAACATACTCTGGGCTTTCTGTCGAATTCAGCGAGGAATTAAACGACGAAGAGCAGGTAAAGTAACAGTACTTTCCAGAAAAGGGGGCAGTTTTGCAGGAGCTTTAATCGGCCTCTAGGTGTCACGATGGGGCTCCGGGTCCAGGCGGCAGACGGGGGGTGTTTGTCTCCCTCTATCGTTATCGAAAATTTAGCAAAAAAAACATTTATAACCCAGAAGTTCAACGAAATGTCGCAATAACGAGTATTTTTAGAGCTATAATAGTTTGCACTTAGGCAAGGATCGATCATTAAATACTTCAACGTGTTGGTTTAGTGTTTAGGCCAGGCGTCCATTTTATTTTTCTTCTTTGTGTCCTGTCTTTTTACCCTGTGTCAAGATAGAAACTCGCGGCTGCGTATGAAGTCAGCGCGCGCCAGATTGTAGCTCAGAACACGGAATTTACTAAATCGCACATGCATAATCTAACTAGTTAGCTATGTAACCATAGATTGTTAGACACCTATCTACATAACTTTGGTTTCCACGCCACTAACTAGTTTTGTTAGCTAGTAAAGCCATCAATCGAAATTAGCTATAATTTACAAAAACTGTTTACTATCAATATTGCCCCACCCTGTTAACGGCCTTGGCAAAAGCTAACGTTAGTAAACCACTTCCATTAATCAAACTAACTTTCTAATGATCTAGTTAGCTGTTAGTTTTAAAATGACCACATTAACTATTACTTCTTGCGTTAGCTAACTAGCATTTTATAACGGTAAGGTCCTAGATGCAAAGACTATTCACAATTTAGCAGACGCTATTTAGCTAACGTTAGCAATATACAAGTTAGCTGGCTTGGCTTGTTGCGCAGACCGAATTCAAACAAGGAAGATGCATAACATTAATGACCCCGATAGTCATTTTCACGAGCGTTTCCACTAGTACGACGTCTCCCTCCGGCCTCAAATTAATGCGACTGTTATCTAAAAAAGAATCATCTAAATGCCTCTGCTGCCAGCTCACTGCAGTTCGTCTTCCATCCAGTGTCCGCTGTCTGATTCAAAGTCTACATTGAGCGACAACGGCACTAACGTTAACTAGCTAGAATGGATAAAAACAGGGTAGAGCTCCCTCTACAACCCGGCTGGTAGCGGTACAAAAACATGACTGCCTATATGACTTCATTTCTAATATCAAAACGCTGTCCATGTTCACTGTGAATGAATGTCACATCATACTTGTAGGTTGTTTTTGATAATACCAGGTCAGCCACATTTGCTAGACTGGCTTAACTAGTTATGAATGTGTCTCTGTGCATTCAATACATGCAGTAGGTTTATGTAGATGTTAAACTTGTTTGTCTTCCCCACAGGTTGAGTGTCAGGTAACAGTCAGGAGAGTTGAGTCAGAAATTGAGGAAGCCAAGCAGATCTAGAAAGATGGAAGTATTCCTTTCTAGTGCAGGTAACAATTTAGGAAGCTAAGGAAGTTGCATCATGTTTGAGATCTTGCCTGAACTGAACACAGTATGCCATTTTCAGTCTGTTAGCCCTAGCTAGATTGGTCATATGTCCTGGTACACTTTCAACATTTATTAATAAATGGTTATGCGTTAAGATTACATTTTTAGATTGTGTGCTGATTGGTTTTGGGATGATTCTCTCAGGTATTACCGATGGACGGAGGACCAACTGACGTTGTGGTTGTGGCCAAGGACTGCATCACCTATGAGGGGGATGAGGTGGTGGCAGACCTGCTCCAGCAAGCAGCAGAGGGGGTAATGGACCAGCAGCCAGAGGGAGTGGCTGGTCTGGATCCCCAGCAGCTGGTGGAGGAAGTCAATGTGGAGATGATGGTAATGGACTCCCTGGACCCGGCCTTGCTGCAGATGAAGACTGAGGTGATAGACGCCCCTGTGGCTACAGCCCACGAGGGCACGGTCACCACGGTGGATGAGACCCAGATCATCACTCTGCAGGTTGTCAACATGGATGAGCAGCAGCTGGGAGGCCTCGGGGAGCTACAGCTGGTCCAGGTCCCTGTCTCTGCTGTCCCTGTCACCCAGGCCACTGTAGAGGCACTACAGGGCACCTTCGTAGACACCACGGCCATGCCCAAAGATGGAAATCCTGTGATCTGCCACACCCTGCCCCTGCCAGAGGGCTTCCAGGTAAGAGAGACTGCACTTCATGGCTACATATTACATCATTCAGAACTAATGGGAGCATCTTTCCCCATGGGTGTACAACAGCATTTTGTACCACTGGTGCATATCTAAATGTACTAGTTGTAGAGAAACTAAAAACACTACTGCTTCTTCAGGTGGTGAAGGTTGGTGCGAATGGTGAGGTGGAAACAGTGGAGCAAGATGAGCACCAGGAGGAGCAGCAGGTCCAGCCTGAGGAGGAGGAGCTGCACTGTGAGCACCAGCCTGAAGATCCACAATGGGCCAAGGACCCTGACTACCAGCCCCCAGCCAGGAAGACCACCAAGAAGGCAAAAAAGAGCAAGCTGCGCTACAACACAGAGGGGGACAAAGACAACATGGACGTGTCCGTGTACGACTTTGAAGAGGAGCAGCAGGAAGGGATGCTCTCCGAGGTCAACGCAGAGAAGGTGGTGGGCAACATGAAACCCCCCAAACCCACCAAAATTAAGAAGAAGGGTGAGATTACCCCTTCTTTCTGTGTCCTTTGTTGATGGTGAATGTTGTAACTCAAGTTGTGGTGTTGAATGCCTCTGCAAGTGCTGACTCAAGGCCTTTGTGTGCTCCAGGTGTGAAGAAAACATTCCAGTGTGAGCTGTGTAGCTACACCTGTCCCCGCCGCTCCAACCTAGATCGACACATGAAGAGCCACACAGATGAGAGGCCCCACAAGTGCCATCTGTGTGGAAGGGCCTTCAGGACCGTTACCCTGCTGAGGAACCACCTCAACACACACACAGGTATGGTGTCATCATAGTCACATTGACAGACAATCCTATGTTATGAGTCCTGTCCATGTTACCATGTTAGATACCATTATAACTGTTTCTGTTTACAGGTACCAGACCACACAAGTGTCAAGATTGTGACATGGCCTTTGTGACCAGTGGAGAGCTGGTCCGTCATCGTCGCTATAAGCACACTCATGAGAAACCCTTCAAGTGCTCCATGTGTGACTATGCCAGTGTGGAGGTGAGCAAGCTAAAGCGGCACATCCGTTCCCACACTGGGGAGCGTCCGTTCCAGTGCAGTCTGTGCAGCTACGCCAGCAGAGACACCTACAAGCTGAAGAGACACATGAGGACACACTCAGGTGACTGACCTGATTGACACACTTGTGTAAACACAATTAGTGACTGACCTGATTGTTCAACTTGTGCACTCATGTTTTCCTGCTTTGTTTTCCAGGAGAGAAGCCGTACGAGTGCTATATTTGCCATGCCCGTTTCACCCAGAGTGGAACCATGAAGATGCACATCCTGCAGAAGCACACAGAGAATGTGGCCAAGTTCCACTGCCCCCACTGTGACACCGTTATCGCCCGAAAGAGTGACCTGGGTTAGATACATTTACGTCATTTAGCAGATGCTCTTATCCAGAGCGACTTACATTTTTATTTTTTCATACTGGTCCCCCGTGGGAATCGAACCCACAACCCTGGCGTTGCAAACCAACTGAGCTACATCCCTACCCTGGACGACGCTGGGCCAATTGTGCGCCGCCCCATGGGTCTCCCGGTCGCGGCCGGCTACGACAGAGCCTGGATTCGAACCAGGATCTCTAGTGGCACAGCTAGCACTGTGATTCAATGCCTTAGACCACTGCGCCACTCGGGAGAGTGACTAGATACCTAGTCGTTGACTTTTGGCCTGATTATCCCAGTATGATGACAGCATACCGTAAACTTCATTGTGACTAGGGCTGTTGCGGTGACCGTATTACCCCCACACCGGCGGCCACAAGTCATGAAGGCAGTCAAATTCCACGTGACCGGTTAGTCACGGTAATTAGGCTTCTCCAAGCTCTGATGCTGCTGATGGTCATTAGTAGCCTACCAAACTTGCGAACTGCATGGTACTCAGCACTCTATTGTCCCTCTAATCATTCTGACATCAATGCGAATGTGTTTGAAAATCTAATCAAACACTTCATGAGAGCCCATAAGCTCATGTTGCGCAACATTTCTATAGGCTATGCAATTGCGTGAGAACAGAGTGATGGGCTCTACTAAAAAGAGGAGGATCCCATCAGCTTTCTATAGGCATACTATATTTATTTCTCAACTTTCCTAATATTAAGCACATTGCTTATATTTACAACATGAGTGTAGCCTAGCTGGCTGGCATGAAAATTAACTACGGGGAAAGCGTCCTCCATTTGCTATTTAAGTGCATAGATGACATGTTTCGATTTAGGTGCATGATAATGGTCCATTATAAATCAAAACAAATTTCACACATATTATTTAGTATATGTAAAGACTATTAAATCAAGAATAGTCTGATGGGTGACAATATTAGCCAATCACTTGTGAATTATATATCATCACTTGTGAATGATGCCCAGCATAAGAAACAATACCTTTTTTTTGTGACTTTTTCGAATCATAGTCGCACACCTCATGTAGCATAGCCCATAGGCCTATATCTTTTGATAAGGTTTGTATCACAACTAAAGTGGCCAAATAACTTCTTAAAATTAAGCGCATTAATCCTCTTTACAAGGGGTGTAGAGCCTAACTGGCATACATAAGCAGCCCGTGAGTTTCAAGTTTGGGGAAGATCATTTTCACCAAAAAAATGCACCTTTATAATAAAAGCATTACATGCATAATTGCATTTGCGGTCACTTTTGAGAATGGTGTTTTCCAGCTAATATAACATTTGCGCTTATAGCCTACTGCTATGTGCGCATTGCTGTGCTTATAATGTGAAGAAATAGCCTAATAGTTTATCAACATTTTAAACTAAACATTCTGATCTGTTGCGTCAGCCACATTGCATTTTTTTTTATGCTGGTGGTTGTATTAATTTGGGATCTATCGTATCCCACAACTGTCCCAGACTGTTTGGAATATTTATTTCTCTAATAGAATATGTCAACTTTTGTACTATGGGGATGGTAGATTGACATAGGCTAGTGCTTTTGCTGTTCGTTAGGCCTACTCATCTTGTTTGCTGACCAAAAGTAAATGTGGACAGTTCTTCCAATATCTACTTGCCGCAAAAGGCATGGATTTTTTTAGGGTGCATTACGGCCACAAAGGGAACGCCGCCGTGAAATTCGAGGCATTATCAAGTGCTTGTCAAATTGTGAATGAGAGACTAATGAAGTGTGTACAGCCTGCGCAAAAAACAAAGCAGAGCTCAGCCTTTCAAGCGACTTTTTTCAAATCATCATTAGTCGCATCGTGTAGCCTTACACTGTATTAAAAATCAAAACATATAGCTCAACGTTTGTAGAACAACTAAAGTTACATTAATAACTCTAAATTAAGCATATAGGACTACCTATTTCTTTGTTAACTGCGCAACACAGAATAGCCGCATGTGCGCACTCCCTCAAATCGTTTGGAGAAAATATTTATATTTTATTCAGCTTTGTTCAATTGTATTCTTCATACTATAAAATAATGCCACAGAATTCTAAGAAAATCTTGTCTGCTAAATGAACTAGTGTAGCCAACAGCCATTTGGCATAGCCAGATCAGGACCTAACATAAGGACAACTCAGAGTATGCTATTCTGTTCTTCTGAAATAGACTACATTTTCTTCATATCATGCTTCTTTAGACCGGTCTAAAATAAATAATGCATTTATTGTGAAGGTGTAGGCTATATTACATTAATTTATTATACTTTTTAAAATGTAGATGTTCCAAAGGTCTGTGTCAGTGGCTTGTAGGCTATGTGTGGAAGCCAGGAGATTCTAAATGTGTTTATGTTAATTAACAGAAAATTCCAGTGAGACCGACAGTTATTTGCTTGACAATCACCGGCTGATGAAAGTTTGTGACCGCCACAGCCCTAATTGTGACTGAACTTGTTTATATAGATGACATCTCTCTCAATAAGCTGGTTTTACCCCTTCCTCCAGGCGTCCATCTGCGTAAACAGCACTCGTTCATTGAGCAGGGCAGGAAATGTCGTTACTGTGATGCTGTGTTCCACGAGCGCTACGCACTCATCCAGCACCAGAAGTCCCACAAGAACGAGAAACGCTTCAAGTGTGACCAGTGTGATTACTGCTGCAGACAGGTGAGGTCCTGCTGTCTCTAACCTGGGATGATAGATAATCTAGACAGGAGTAAATGTTAGGGGTGTGAACGTTTAAACCAGGGGTCGGAACCAGTTCAGGGAACAGAACCAAAAATGATTACATTTTTCTAGGAACATAACCATTATTTTAAAAGCATGGGAACCGGTTAATAACCTTTTACGTTCCGGGCATTTTTTCCAGTCTCACAAAAAAACTAAACAAAGCACCTATGCAAAGCCCTCCTGTCAATCAGAAACTTCTTCCAGTGTCTGCCTGCCATCTGAAAATCTTTGCTTGTGTGTGCGCGTGTAGGCTTCCTGCCTCTCCCCCCTACGACGCTGTAGCCTAGCCTCTGACGTAAAAAGCGTAATTCAAATGATTGGGAGAGATTTTTAATTGGAGAAGAAAGGATTAACTTTTTTAATGCTAGTTAGTGATAATATAGTTATCACATTTCACATTGGATTTATTAACAACAAAAAGGTAAGACATTTTTTAAATTCTGCTGCCGCTCTGCAAACACAAGCTTGTTAGCTAGCTAGCTTCTCTGGTCCAACGTTAAGTCAACTCTGAAGTTCAGACATGAAATGTTCCTCCATTGAAGCTGCTCCTCCTTAGGTATAATTCTGCGTGCCTAATTCAGATAATGCATGTCATCACAAGATGCCCAGCGCTTCAAGCCAAGCCCTCTTTCCCCATCTGCAAATTTTAGTTGCATCTTGCGCCATGTCTTTCCATCACGCATGTAAACAACTCACTGAACTATAGCTTGCCCGCCACATAGCAAGCAGCTCTATCCGCACTGCATGATTGGTGAAGTAATTTAATGTCGAGCTAAATGTACAAATATATGATTTCAGAGGTTTAAAAGGAACAGAAATAAATTATATAAACCAGTAATTTTTTGTTATTGTAACCAGTTCAGAACTTTATTTTACAGGTCAGAACAGTGGAACGAAATGAAAAAAAAGAATGGTTCTGTTTAGAACAAAACGATTGGAAAATAATTTTGGTTCCAACCCCTGGTTTAAACTTTAAAACTTTAAAAAATGAAATGTACAATGGGGAAAAAATGTATTTAGTCAGCCACCAATTGTGCAAGTTCTCCCACTTAAAAAGATGAGAGGCCTGTAATTTTCATCATAGGTACACGTCAAATATGACAGACAAATTGAGGGGAAAAAATCCAGAAAATCACATTGTAGGATTTTTAATGAATTTATTTGCAAATTATGGTGGAAAATAAGTATTTGGTCACCTACAAACAAGCAAGATTTCTGGCTCTCACAGAACTGTAACTTCTTCTTTAAGAGGCTCCTCTGTCCTCCACTCGTTACCTGTATTAATGGCACCTGTTTGAACTTGTTATCAGTATAAAAGACACCTGTCCACAACCTCAAACAGTCACACTCCAAACTCCACTATGGCCAAGACCAAAGAGCTGTCAAAGGACACCAGAAACAAAATTGTAGACCTGCACCAGGCTGGGAAGACTGAATCTGCAATAGGTAAGCAGCTTGGTTTGAAGAAATCAACTGTGGGAGCAATTATTAGGAAATGGAAGACATACAAGACCACTAATAATCTCCCTCGATCTGGGGCTCCACGCAAGATCTCACCCCGTGGGGTCAAAATGATCACAAGAACGGTGAGCAAAAATCCCAGAACCACACGGGGGGACCTAGTGAATGACCTGCAGAGAGCTGGGACCAAAGTAACAAAGCCTACCATCAGTAACACACTACGCCGCCAGGGACTCAAATCCTGCAGTGCCAGACGTGTCCCCCTGCTTAAGCCAGTACATGTCCAGGCCCGTCTGAAGTTTGCTAAAGTGCATTTGGATGATCCAGAAGAGGATTGGGAGAATGTCATATGGTCAGATGAAACCAAAATATACCTTTTTGGTAAAAACTCAACTCGTCGTGTTTGGAGGACAAAGAATGCTGAGTTGCATCCAAAGAACAGCATACCTACTGTGAAGCATGGGGGTGGAAACATCATGCTTTGGGGCTGTTTTTCTGCAAAGGGACCAGGACGACTGATCCGTGTAAAGGAAAGAATGAATGGGGCCATGTATCGTGAGATTTTGAGTGAAAACCTCCTTCCATCAGCAAGGGCATTGAAGATGAAACGTGGCTGGGTCTTTCAGCATGACAATGATCCCAAACACACCGCCCGGGCAACGAAGGAGTGGCTTCGTAAGAAGCATTTCAAGGTCCTGGAGTGGCCTAGCCAGTCTCCAGATCTCAACCCCATAGAAAATCTTTGGAGGGAGTTGAAAGTCCGTGTTGCCCAGCGACAGCCCCAAAACATCACTGCTCTAGAGGAGATCTGCATGGAGGAATGGGCCAAAATACCAGCAACAGTGTGTGAAAACCTTGTGAAGACTTACAGAAAACGTTTGACCTGTGTCATTGCCAACAAAGGGTATATAACAAAGTATTGAGAAACTTTTGTTATTGACCAAATACTTATTTTCCACCATAATTTGCAAATAAATTCATTAAAAATCCTACAATGTGATTTTCTGGAGAAAAAAAATTCTCAATTTGTCTGTCATAGTTGACGTGTACCTATGATGAAAATTACAGGCCTCTCTCATCTTTTTAAGTGGGAGAACTTGCACAATTGGTGGCTGACTAAATACTTTTTATCCCCACTGTAATTGTTAATATTAATAAAACAACATGTTTTTCCCCCCACAAAATTAATATCACAGTGCCGTTATCACAAAGCTACCACTAACAGGTCCCGATCATCATAAAGGGGAAAACATTTACAAAAGGCCTACCTAACGCAACAATGCATTAGTGGTTTGTTACAGAATTGTAATGCATGTAGGGCCTCCCGAGTGGCGCAGCGGTCTAAGGCACTGCATCGCAGTGTTGAGGCGTCACAACTGCCTGGGGTTCGGCACACAATTGGCCCAGCGTCGTCCGAGTTAGGAGAGGGTTTGGCCGGGAGCTTTCCTTAGCTCATCGCGCTCTAGAGAGTCCTTGTGGGGGGCCGGGCGCCTGCAAGCTGACTTTAGTCGTCAGTTGAATGGTGTTTCCTCCGACACAATGGTGCGGCTGGATTCCGGGTTAAGCCAGCAAGTGTTAAGAAGCAGCGCGGCTTGGCGGGTCATGTTTCGGGGGACGCATGACCTTCGCATCTCCCGAGTCCGTTGGGGAGTTGCAGCGATGAGACAAGATTGTAACTACCAATTGGATATCACGAAATTGGGGAGAAAAAGGGGGTCAAATTACAAAAAATGCATGTTTCTAATAATTTGCTGTGGATACAAAGCACTCTGCACTTCGTCGCTAACAGTTGGGGGAAAAAGCGCGGATTACAGAAATTATTCCCCCTGACTGAAATTGAAAAAGCATGACCGTCCCCCATTTTCCTTCAGGTAACAGTTGTGTAAATTTCAACCGCTTACCTTCCTGCCGATGACCTTGATTGGATATTCACTGACAAAGGAGCACCAACTCCATAGCCCAGCATCCTACACTGCACATTAACTAGGGATGTGACAAATGGATGTTTTTTTATGTTTAAACTGCCATTTAAATTTTATTTAATGTAATACAATTCCATGTGAAATCCTATTGAGTGGTATGACCGCTAGGGGGCAATGAAGTTCTACCGCAATCATAAAGTTGGCTTAGGCATCTGGAATCTGTTTTGTGGCTGCCTGAAAAGGCAGGTGACATTTTGTCCCGAAGACGACCGTTAATTCAAATTGACTCTAGTGTTCCTTCCATTTGTTATGTGCATTAGCGATTCTAGCCAAGTGATCACAGTTCTTCTCCCTGCGTTGGCTTTTCCCTGCATTAGGCCTACCTGTCTCTCACAATATACAACCCCCCCCCCCCCCTAAACCTAGGCAGGTTCTGGACTGAAATATGCAACAAAAACATTGTTTTGATGAAGGCAGATGGTGTATTCATTAGTCTAGTGGCCTACTTTGTTTAATGTTTAACAAAAGCCTGCCCACCGTTTAAGCTCACAAATCAAACACGGGGCAAAAAACGTGCCAAATAAGGGTATCTAATAGTAAAAAATTGGAAGAATTTTAACTTTCTAATGCTGTTAATAGGGCTTTGATGATAACAGTATCGTGATAATTTTTCCATGTCAAAAGTGAAAACACGAAGCAAACATACTCTTTGGTCCTTTAAAAACCTGCTTTATGTAACATAGTTTGGAAAATGGGCGAGTGTGTGATCAAAATACACCATATGAGTAGCCTGCGAATGTACCTTTCAGGACCTTGTAAACTGTTGACAATAGACAAATAGACTGACTGCATCACTTTTTGTTTTAAAATAAAAAGCATTCATGTTTAAAATTCAAAATTGTTTGCACAGTCAACTGACACACAGCACTGACAGCTACAAAATCTATAGGAGATACATTTGTTTTTATACTAGGCCTAATAGGCTTTTCATGGAGAGAAGCAGGCTTGCTGAATGTAAAATTAAATGTCGGGGAAAGATGCAGCGAGAGTGCATCACTGGCCAGTGATGATAACATTGTTGCACTGATGTATTAAATGGTTGCACAGGACAGACATTGAGCAGTGGAAAAAGAAAATCCAAACGAATTGACATCCGTTAGAAAAATGGAAATCACTTGCAAACCACTTGAGCAATGAGGCAAGCAATGACATGATGTAAAAGATGCGCAGGCTAAAAAGCGTTTGTTGTTGAAAATCTACATTTTATTTAAATATTCGTTTCTATATATTTTTTATTTATTAGACTACATGTAGCCTACATTTGAAGTATTGTTTTCAGTTGTCACACTAACCAGGTTTTCATCCAACCTTTTTATGAGAGTAAAGTACATTTCGCAGATAACAAATGTAATGACAGGCCTGATAAAAGTGGGGAAAAATCGGTAAACTTTCCAAATTTCGACAAAACAAAATACGCTAGAGAAGGTGGGATCTTTTTGTGTTGGTAAAATGAATTATGCGAGAAATGTCAGTGGAAACGCTTTTATGCGCAAATATTGATATAACAACCATCAAATCGAAGTAAACATGGAGTCACGCGATGACATGTTGTGTGGTCCACATTACGACTCGTCAGGAAAGCATGCAGTTTATTATTAGGCTACAAATTTAAATGTAAAGTTATTATGAACTTCACAGGGTGTTGAAAGTGCAAGGTGATGAGCTTGATGCTCCTTTCCAGTAAGTATCGAGGGTTTTATTCTGGTGACGTGATCATCGATGCTTGGCTGCCGTTTGACAAATACAAATAATCTCGCTCTTTTGTCCATAATAATCTCATGTAGGCTATACGTGCGCTCTAGCCAACAGCGTGCAGATACAGTACTGTATTTGTGCACGTGACAATACCAGAGCGGGCACACACCCTGAAGCACTGAATGGTCTGTTTTACCACCTTAATAATAGGCGTGCAGTAGGGTATACAAGGTGCAGTACGATGCTTTGATCAGTTGATTGACCTTCGTAGGCTACTGTAGAACTAACTTTCCTCTAGTGTGGATGCTCACCAACGGTTTATAGTTAAAGTACCAGTAAAAAGTTTGGACACCTACTCATTCAAGGGTTTTTCTTAATTTTACTCTTTTCTACATTGTAGAATAATAGTGAAGACATCAAAACACTGAAATAATACAAATGGAATCATGTAGTAACCAAAAAAGTATTAAACAAATCAAAATATATTTTGGGATTCTTCAAAGTAGCCACCCTTTGCCTTGACAGCTTTGCACACTCTTATTCTACAATGTAGAAAAGAGTAAAAAAAATAAAGAAAAACCCTTGAATGAGTAGGTGTGTCCAAACTTTTGACTGGTACTGTATGTATAATTTATAGTTATCGTCCTTTGTGTGGATGGCCCTTAACGCTTAAATTGGCAAATGCCGCCCTCTAGCGGATAACATGAATATGGTATGAATACAGCAGTGGTTCTCAACCAGGAATTGATAGCAACATTGATAGCTGAGTAAAAAGGGATTTAATATTCCCTGCTATTTTGGTTTTAATGAGAATTTTGGAGGGGTAAGCTTACATTTTTTAGTTTTTTTTCACATGCTCTGGGAGGGCCAGGTAAATATATATTTTCCTTAGGGGGAGGGCCATCCATTTTCATTTAAAAGAGGTGTGATTACCTCCAGGTGTCCCTCCAATATAAATAACAGTCACTCCCTTATGGATACTGGCTCTATGCTGATTGTATCTACCCTTTGAACAGTTTTGAGATGGAGTTGGTAAAATTCCCCTAAGTTTTCTGTCCTTATGTATTTCTTGCTGTCCTTGCATTGACTAGGAGCGCCACATGCTGATGCACAGGCGCACGCACACAGGAGAGAAGCCTTACGCCTGTAGCCAATGTGAGAAGACCTTCCGTCAGAAGCAGCTCCTGGACATGCACTTTCGGCGCTACCATGACCCCAACTTTGTGCCCACCGCCTTTGTGTGCACCAAGTGTGGCAAGGCCTTCACTCGCAGGGTATGGACGCTTACTCAAACACAAATTAATTGAGTGGAAAAATACACCCATGTTTTGGGCATAGCCCTTCATTTTATCCTTTGGGAAAAAATAAAAATAATTATCTCCTCAGAACACCATGGCCAGACATGCAGAGAACTGTAACGGGGATCCTAGTGAAGGAGAAAACGGATCCCCACCGAAGAGAGGACGAGGTGGGAGGAAGAGGAAGATGCGCTCAAGGAAGGACGATGATGATGACGACGACAGTGGTGAGAGACCCTTTCTTATACCGAAACATATCTAATTGTAGTGTCCTATAAACTATTGCTCTTAGGATGTAATGAGATCAGTGTTAGACTCTTTTTAAATCTTCCCACCTCCAGAGGACAATGCTGATCCTGAGCTGGATGACATTGATGAAGAGGATGAGGAGGCCGAGGCGGCACTGCTGGAGGAAGAGGAAGAGGAGGAGGAGATGGAGTTAGAGCAGGCTCCACCCACCAAACCTATTCCCGCCCCTGTAGAGCCACCTGTCAAGAGGAAACGCGGCAGACCCCCCAAGAACGCCCCCAAACCCTCCCCGCCCGCCAAAGCCAGCAAGGCTGCCCCCAAAGTCAAGGCTGCTGCAGGTGAGATAAGTCTCCCTGATCCTATATCATGCAATGTTTAAATCAGGAATGGCAACTTTTGATGGGGGTAGGGGTCACAAAAAATCTGAACTCATCATGAGGGGCCGCAGTGGCTCGCAGGTCTGCGTACCCACATCCATACCCACACATGCAGTCAGAGCTGGCCCTAGCCTTTTGCGGGGGCCCGTAGTAAAACTTTGTTGCAAGCAAAAAAAATATGTCCGCTTTAGGTAATTTCCTGCAATTCTACTAATTTTTAATGTGATCTGAGTGAGCGTGACTAACAAAATCAATCTGGGGCCCCCCGGTCGATAATTTGACCATGTTTACTACAAGATTACTACCAATCTTAAACATTTTAGCTGACATGGGCTAATTCAGTGACACAGTGACTGACATCACAAGAGAGAAACTGCTGATGCACGACAACATTTTGAAATTTCACCTTGTGTATTCTACTGTTCTAACTCAACATTAAGTTGAGACCCTGACTGAGTTCCTAAAATTGTATATATACACACACAGTGACTTCGGAAAGTATTCAGACCCCTTGACTTTTTCCACATTTGTTACGTTACAGCCTTACAGCCTTATTCTAAAATTGATAAAAATAAAAGAAAGTTTCCTCATCAATCATCACACAATAGCCCATAATGACAAAGCAAAATTGATTTTAGAAATTTTTGCAAATGTATTAACAATAAACTGATATCACATTTACATAAATATTCAGACCCTTTACTCAGTACTTTGTTGAAGCACCTTTGGCAGCGATTACAGCATCAAGTCTTCTTTGGTATGACACTACAAGCTTGGCACACCTGTATTTGGGGAGTTTCTTCCATTCTTCTCTGCAGATCCTCTCAAGCTCTGTCAGGTTGGATGGGGAGCGTCGCTGCACAGCTATTTTCAGTCCAGAGCTGTTTGATCGGGTTCAAGTCTGGGCTGTGGCTGGGTCACTCGAGGACATTCAGAGGCTTGTCCCGAAGCACAGTCTGAGGTCCTGAGCGCTGTGGGGCAGGTTTTCATCAAGGATCTTTCTGTACTTTGCTCCATTAATCTTTGTCTCGATCCTGACTAGTCTCCCAGTCCCTGCCGCTGAAAAACATCCCCACAGCATGATGCTGCCACCACCATGCTTCACTGTAGGGATGGTGCCACGTTTCCTCCAGACGGGACGCTTGGCATTCAGGCCAAAGAGTTAAATCTTGGTTTCATCAGACCAGAGAATCTTGTTACTCATGGTCTGAGAGTCTTTAGGTGCCTTTTGGCAAACCCCAAGCAGCTGTCATGTGCCTTTTACTGAGGATTGGCTTCCGTCTGGCCACTCTACCGTAAAGGCCTGATTGGTGGAGTGCTGCAGAGATGGCTGTCCTTCTGGAAGGTTCTCCCATCTCCACAGAGGAACTCTAGAGGCCACTGTGTTCTTGGGGACCTTCAATGCTGCAGACATTTTTTCGTACCTTCCCCAGATCCGTGCCTCGACACAATCCTGTCTCGGAGCTCTACAGACAATTCCTTCGACCTCATGGCTTGGTTTTTGCTCTGACATGCACTGTCAACTGTGGGACCTTATATAGACAGGTGTGTGCCTTTCCAAATCATGTCCAATCAATTGAATTGACCACAGGTGGACTCCAATCAAGTTGTAGAAACATCTCAAGGATGATCAATGGAAACAGGATGCACCTGAGCTCAATTTCAAGTCTCATAGAAAAGGGTCTGAATACTTATGTAAATAAGGTATTTGTGTGTTTTTATAAATTTGCAAACATTTCTAAAACCTGTTTTCGCTTTATCATTATGGGGTATTGTGTGTAGATTTCTGAGGATTTGTATTGATTTAATCCATTTTAGAATAAGGCTGTAATGTAACAGTGGAAAAATTCAAGGAGTCTGAACACTTTCCGGAAGGCACTGTATATATGTGTGTGTGTGTGTGTGTGTGTGTGTGTGTGTGTGTGTGTGTGTGCTGAGTGTACAAAACATTAAGGACACCTGCTCTTTCCATGACATAGACTGACTAGGTGAATCCAGGTGAAAGCTATGATCCCTTATTGATGCCACTTGTTAAGTCCACTTCAATCAGTGTAAATGAAGGGGAGGAGATGGGTTAAAGAAGGATTTTTAAGCCTTGAAACAATTGAGACATGGATTGTGTATGTGTGCCATTCAGAGGGTAAATGGGCAAGACAAAAGATTTAAGTGCCTTTGAACGGGGTATGGTAGTAGGTGCCAGGCGCACCGGTTTGAGTGTGTCAAGAACTGCAACGCTGCTGGGTTTTTCACGCTCAGCAATTTCCAGTGTGTATCAAGAATGGTCCACCACCCAAAGGACATCCAGCCAACATGACACAACTGTGGGAAGTATTGGAGTCATGATGGGCCATCATCCCTGTGGAACATTTTCGACACTTTGTAGAGTCCATGCCATGACAAATTGAGGCTGTTCTGAGGGCAAAAGGGGGTGCAACATAATATTAGGAAGGTGTTCCTAGTATTAGTTAAGAGCGTTGTGCCAGTAACGGAAAGGTCGCTGGTTCTAATCCCCGAGCCGACTAGGTGAAAAATCTGTCGATGTGCCCATGAGCAAGGCACTTAATCCTAATTGCTCCTGTAAGTCGCTCTGGATAAGAGCGTCTGCTAAAATGACTAAAAATGTAAAATATTAGTTTTTTACATTTTGGGAAAATTGATCCGCGGGCCTACAAAAGGGGGGTAGGCCGCTAGTTGCACATCCCTGGTCTAAATCAATGCCCAGTTTATGCTTTAATTACCATTTAATGTCTAGTTATAATGCCTGGTGTTATCTCTGTCTCCTCAGCAGCAGCCATCATCCAGGTGGAGGATGAGAATACCGGCGCCATAGAGAACATCATAGTGAAGAAGGAGCCAGAGGCTGAACAGGCTGCCCCAGAGGTGGTGGTGGAGCAGCCAGAGGAGGCAGGGGTGGAGACGGTGGAGCTGCCTGTAGCAGATGCTGCCCCCAATGGAGACCTCACCCCTGAGATGATCCTCAGTATGATGGACCGGTGATCTAGCCCACAGAGACCGCTCAAAGACATCCCCTAGTCCACCCTCTTCATACAATCTGCCATCTTACAAACCACTCCGCTTTACCCTTTTGTTTTTATAATTTATGTTAAACAAATCGGTGTGTTTTCTTATCACTCTCAAACCCACTTCCTTCCATGCATTCACTGTAACAGTTTAAGTTCCAGCTGCTTGGTCTGTAGAAATTTAGATTTGTTTCTGGGGGTGGAATGGTGGAGAAATGTGTAATAATGGATCCATTCTCTACTGTAATCTACTGGTGCATGGAGGGATGGTAGCTGAGGTTCGACACATGGTGGACATTGGGACTTACTTTAGGGGTCAGTTGTTGTTTTTTCCTCCAACTAATAAACTATTTTCTTAACCTGTTTGTGACCTTGACATGGCAACAGTGAGTGCCAATAATTTCAGCCTTGTTATCTAGGACCTCATCTCTGCTGTAGACTAAAACTATTACTTTAGCTGTCAAAGGAACTCCTGTGTTTTGACACTTTTTATTCACTGCATATTCCATTTTACTTACTGTTATACTTGTCACAGATTATGAAGTTTGTAGAGACTTACATCAAATTAACTACTATAATCAGGCCAGGGACAGTGACATCCATCCACCCACAAAGTTTTAAAGACTGCAGTTATGTTGTACAAATGGTAATCTTGGCTGGTTTTGCTTGTAAATACTTTAAAAGTTTTATTACAAACATCTTAATCTTTTTCTAGGGATTTAAAGAACTTTAATGCTGGGGTAAAGGAACTCTTAACAGTAGCTGTTTGGAACACAGGCTGTATGTGGCTTTCTAATCTCTAAAGTGTGAGGCATTGCCCACCCTGTGAATCATGTTGGAGATATGATCTTCCCTGTTTTGAGCTTTTTAGCCTGAAATATCTGTAGCGCATTTATGGAGGTACAGAGGACAGCAGCTTTACTCACTCTTAACCTACCTAACATCTTGACTGCATGAACTAATGTTAGAGGTTTTGAAAGATGACCATGTACGTTTTGTTTTGCATTTCAAGATAAGGTAAAGAGATTGTGATGTAAATTGCGCCCATATTCTGAAAAGCTTTAATCAAGTTCTGTGTGAAACTGTAAAGGAGGGAGGTGTCCAATTGAACTAGCTTCAGGTCTTAACTGTAAATGAAAGATGATTATTAAGGCTTTGGTAATCTTGTGAAGCAGAATGTTTCTCCCAGTTCACTGTTAATTTCTCAGACCATTTTGTCCTAACTGCGTAGTTTTGTTGTGGGATGTATACAGGAGCGGTCAGAGGGCCTTGTGAAATTCTGATTTAAGACGTTCAAAAAGGGGAGGAGAGAACTGAGGGAAGGATATTTTGTATAAAGGTTGTTACTCGTTTAAGAGAACTGTCCTTTCATAGAACATTTTAATGCTGGTACAACATGAAGCTTCCTTCTATATGTAATTGCATTTAAATTGCTTTTGTCAAGCTCTTAAAAATTCTAGGTTGATGCATTTTTGTACCTGGCTGTACTGTGTGAATTTTACAATGATCTGAAAACCAACATAAAACATGTATTATGGCTGAGAGGGCATGTTGGTATGCAGAATGTATTGCTGTACAGCTAATAAAAAGATATTGGCCTACTCCTGTTTTTTTCTTTGTATTTTTTGGTTTTTGAAGTTCTTCTCTTTACATTACTATGTTATTGCAGCAGATCATGTAGGGATCTTTAGCAAAGGTGATACTGAAAGGGTTGTCATTTCCTGTCTCAGGGCTCCTAGCTTGCTGTGGTTTCACTCTGAGTGGTTGACAGCAGCAGGATGTGTGTGTGCCTCCCAGACCTGCCTGAGCTGCCTCCGCTGCTGCTACTCCCACGCTCTCCCTCTCTCTCTCTCTCTCTCTCTCTCTCTCTCTCTCTCTCTTACCCCTACAGACAATAGCTGGGCCCAACATCATGGCTGGCAATACTGACATCTCTTACAGCTTACAAGGTAAGGAGCTCCACTGCTTTTCCTGTCACGTATCTTTCTCAATGTATTCCTATTTTTATGCTCATTTAAGATTGAGATGGCCTCTTTATTTTTTGTCCTGTCTCCCCCCTAAAAAAAATATTTGTGTCAATGCAATGGCTGTATCCTCTTAGCAAAGATCTGCCTGTATGTCGTGTTGAATCTGAAATATTAAATTTTTTGTATGAATGGCTCGCTGTCCATCTGTATGTTATTTTCATGCTTCTCTATTCTCTCCTGAGAAGAGCACATCACTCAGCTGCTGAAGCCCCAGAAGATTCGTCTCATGCGGCATGTGCAACTAAACCAACCCAAGGGGAAGGCTGAGTGCAGGGTTCTGGTGAGTATGGTCCCTGGGTCCAACAAATCACTGTGGTGGGTGGTTTAATCTGTACTTTGTGGTTAAGAAAACCCTGCTACATGGCATCGGCTGGGGCTTGTTTGCCTCTATGGGCATTTGTTTATATTGACGACAGAGGGTAATACTATATTAGCTGTGTGTATTTAAGTGTGCAAAAGAGCAGCAGCTGATTATCTGTCGTTAGCTTATTGGGCTGGAACAAAATGCTACCGAAGGGTCTCCAGGTGGAGGGTTCACCCCAAGTGAAATAAAGTATATCTGTTTGTAATGTGGCTGAAGTTACCAGGTTCCATCTGCAAGTGGCGCTATTAAGCTGACTCTAGCTCAAGCTGACAGCTGGCAGTCTACACTGCTATATGAATGGGTGAAACTTTGAAAAAACCTCCAATACAATTAGCTACATACAATGTAGTCCATTCTCTCTCACACACACACTAGACAGACAGCCTTTGATCTCGTAGTGGTTACTGACATGTTTGTTTTTGTTTACACTTTTCCACCAGGTGATGACTCTATGGAGAGCTTATGTTGTCCACAGCAAGCAACCTGTCAGGGTAAGTGTTTGTGTGTTTACTCATGTCTTGAATACTGTTGCTCCAACTGTAAATCAACTACATGTGAACACCATTGCTTGAGGCTGGTTATGGTCAGTCAGGACTAACCTCAGGACTAACTTCCAGTCTGATATGAGCTTACAGAAGAATGAGGAAATTATTGTAAAAAGAGGCATTGGGTACTGGTAGTCAGGTATGTATCTCCCTCTAGAAGAAATACCCAGCCAGTGCCAACTGAGTCCCAGCACACACCTCAAATAAAAGTGGAGACCTGAGGGTCAAGTTGAGTATTAACTTACTGAGTAGAGGAAGGGAGCATGGCACGCTAGATAGAGGTGGAGGAAGCCAGGGAGAGAGAAATGGAGCGTCTCAAGGCATTAGACAGAGGATGGGACCTGTATTAGTACGTTCTAATAATTGTTATACAGTGTAGAAACAAATTATGCTGGCCTCAGTTTGTGTTTGTACACTTATAAAGCAGAAATGCCTCACCTGGACAAAAGGGAAGTAACACACCTGTATGTTGGCAGATAAAATGTAATCTAATGTGACTGAAAGTGGGCATGACTTCACTTACGCTTATGTCAGTTGTGTACTTTACTATAGATACCGTGACCATGGTTGGAGGTCCATAAAGGCAAATGTTTTGTTTAAGTTTCAGTCGTAATGACCTCCCTCCCCCACTCTCCCCTATTAGCTGACGTAGTAATGAAAACTCTTATCTTACTTTGACTCTCATTGGAGCCGTAGCTCCCGAACCCCCCCCCCCCCCCCCCCAAACAGGACCTCTGTCTCTCCCACTCTTTTCTTATATACACACACAAACCCCCCCTCTCTTTCTCTCTCTTCCCGTCACCTTCTCTTTCAAGTATTAACCTGTGTGAGTCAGTATGCAGTTTCTGTGTTTGTATCAGTGCTTCACTGTTGACCACAGTCTGGTCTCTCCCTGCAGGTGGAAAGCTCCTTCAGCTATTTAGAGATTTATGCCATCAGCATTGAGAGCCTTAATCAGGTAAACCAAATGATCTCCTTCTATATGTGTTTAAGTGACATGTTTTGTATGGTATTGTGTGTCACTTCTAACTTGTCTGTTCTGTTGAGCTTGAATGACTTGAATGACATGTTTCTCAGTACTTCATTGAAAGATTTGAAAGCTGCTTGAACCATGATGCAAATATTTGTTGCACATACAGTACCTGTATATAAAGGGAGGGGGCAATGATGGTATGTGGCTGGCTGACCACTGTGACCTATGGTTACCACTGCCTGGGTGTTAAGAGGTTTTAATGTCTGTTTGAAAAATAGCAGCCCTGATTGACAATAAGGTAGCTCTGATCACTGCTGGTCATGTAAATGATTCGCTGTACAAACATGCTTTGTGCTGAATAAGAGAAACTGGGATATTTTTTTTTAGTCATTTAGTCATATCCAGAATGACTTACAGGAGCAATTAGGGTTAAGTGCCTTGCTCATGGGCACATCAACAGGTTGTTCACCTAGTCAACTCGGGGATATCAAACCAGCGACCTTTTGGTTACTGGCTCAACGCTCTTAACCGCTAGGCTACCTGCCTCTGTTGCTGTCCTCCAACCCATCACCATATGTTTACTATCAGTATTGGACCTACCACATATGGAGATGGAATTATACCAGTAAGAAATGGGGGGAACTTCAGATTTCCATCCACTCATCTGAACAATCCCCTCCTTACACACTTCTGGTCCCATTCCATATACACAGGATGCAGTCAAAGGTCACCAGATTTCAGTCAGGGCTTTGCGATTTTGTATTTGTATTTATTATGGATCCCCATTCTTCCTGGGGTCCAGCAAAATTAAGGCAGTTATACATTTAAAAAAAACATTACAATACATTCACAACAGATTTCACAGCACACTAAGTGTGTGCCCTCAGGCCCCTACTCCACTACCACATATCTACAACACAAAATCCATTTGTACTTGTGTATAGAGCGTATGTTATCGTGTGTGTATGCATGTGTCTGTGCCTATGTTTGTGTTACTTCACAGTCCCCGCTGTTCCATAAGGTGTATTGTAATCTGATTGTGGTGGTTTGTCTTCTGTAGCGCTTCAGAGGTTAACACTACGTCTTGTTGATAGGAAACATTAGTCACCACCACTGTTTCTGGTACTGGGGGGAGGGGGAGTGAGCATGTGCAGACACTGTCATTCTTTTTGACTGTTGCTCAGTGACACCAAATATTTTTTATAACTAACCCAAGATAGCCCACAGCCTGTTGTTTCCAATGGGAAAAATGAGCCAAATAGGGTTAAACTGCCTTCTAATGTCGACTTTGCTTATGGAAAACCATATCAAGCAAAGGTTTTTACGCATGCTCAGTTCTTGGGTCTCGAGCGCTGCGCGAGTGGAAATTTGAAATGGACGTTATGGAACTCCCTTGTGTGCTTCTGTTAAGGGTAAAAGTCCACAATGAAACTGACATTAAATGTGGAGAATGCTACATTTGCATTCCTGTTTTTGTTTTTTTGCACCCCCGCGTTCAGACAATGTCAGTCGCCCATGTCACGACTCATCACAATGTCTACAGTGGGAGCGGGTCAGTTGTTTGTTCACCCGCACCCGCCCGCAATTGCTATTAACCCGTCCGCAACTGCATAACTATATATGATAAAGTGAAAATCTGAGGCCTGCACCTGACCCAAACCCACTATATAGAAAATGCGCTTGTAGCCTAAAGTCAAAGATGGCGGAAAGTTTTTTTGACGGGTGCAGTATTTTTTGTTGTTGTTGCCTGGTTTAGATGTTTCTAATTAAAATTTCCGAAATTTTTTGTAGGCTATTTGTTAGGCAACTTGTCTATAATTAGATGCATGTAGCTTCTCTTCTGTCATTAGCCTATGTGTTGCCCTAGAAGACTAAACTCTTGCTCACCAGAATGTCATAAATCGATGAATGCTTCAATCTAGTTGACATTGGTAAAGTCTTCTCTGTCATCTTCTTTCGCGGAGCAAAGACGTTTAGGTAACGGGGAGAAAATGCACCCCAAAAAAATACGGGAGATTTTCTGTTCAAAATTTGAAAATGACATCAGTTTGACCATTTGTAAGGAAATAGAAATCTGTGAAAACGACCCAACATGTTTCTGATAAGATTTCAGTTCGGCTTGGATGCATGTTTTATGTGGTTGAAATACTATAAACTTTTATGATGTTGATAAAGAGCACCTCAGACGGTATCTAACTGAGCATTCGCATTCTCTCAAGATGCTGAAATAAATAAATCATATTTCTCCACTCCTGTTCCCTAGTCAACATTTTACCTACATCAATATTAACGCTATGTGAGAGGTTATAGACCTACAGTCAGTGTCCAGATTTCAGTTTCCATTTTACCCATCTGAAATGTAGGCTACAGTTCCCTTTACGTGACATGCCATAGGCCTATATGAAGTCCCCATCTTGTGACTATCGAATTTGTATAGCACCTCACAATCATCACACATAACACTGCTATCATCCTCTTTTACCACTTCACCAAATCTTTCCCAAACATTACTTTTCTGGCCCTCCCTTCTCTTTATTTTGAACTCTCCATTTTGCAGTGCATTGACATTAACCTTTTCTGCTCGTTTCCAAAAGCATTTGGAGATTTTGTGTGTAGGCTATTTGGCACGCAAACAGTTAGGCCCTAAAGTTTAGGCTTACAATGCCAGATAGCCTAAAATAATTAAATAAAAACCTCAATAGCCTATAGATAATAGCCTACATTTATGGAGTTACGGTATTGTTTTCCCTTGATTCAATCCGTCCCCCACCCCCCCGCCCTCCATCCACACAATATTTCATGACCCCAAAACCCTTGGCCCTTTAGATATAACAGCTGGGACTGTGAGTTATGAGTCAACCTCTGCATCACTAGTCTACAGGTATTTAGTTACACCAAATGGACAAGTAGAGACGGTGTTAATGTGTTCACTTACCTCTATACTATTTTGAAAATCTTTATGTAAGAATGTGCATCTGTATCTCTGCATGGTGGTTTTAGTGACAGACAGATAGAAAGACTCCTTTGTACTGTATGTGTTGACCATTCAGGTGGTGATTGAGACGGACAGACAGACCTACTCTCTCAGTCTGACATCTGTTGAGGACCTTGAGGCTATGGTCAGTCATGTGACAGCTTCTCTGAAGAAGATCTTCCCTGATTCATCTCCAGGGTGAGTGTCATGGCAATGCAGATGAACATTTTCCTCCCTCAAACCTTGTGAGAGTTGCTTGTGATATACTTATAGCAGAAACCCCTGAAGTGAAACATCTACCCATTAACCAACTGATTAAGGATCTTTAGTGCTCCTCTTCTATCCAAGGAATGGACGTTTTCTTACTCAGAGAGCTCACTTCTGAATCATATTTCAATCCAATACCAATGCTAAAGTGGATACCTAATGTAAATATCTGTCATGCATGTGTGTCTATCTCCTGCTCTCAGGAAGATCCTGAAGAAGATCCCTCCAGACCTGCAGGAGCGGCTGTGGAACCTGGCAACCCGGGTGGAGGAGCACCTGACTGTAACACTGGGACCATGTGGTCAGTAGAATAATACGGAGCACTGCAGCAGTGTCACCTCATTTGTGTGTATTGTACTATGTGGATGTGGATTTGTACAGTATCTGATCGCTCTGCCATTTCCTGGTTCTCTACACTACAGGAGGCTTCTCAGAGACGTATGCTGCTCTATGTGACTTCAATGAATTCCCCTGCAGAGAGGAGGTCCAATGGGTCAGTAGGTTACCATCCCCCTATGATGACACCACATTCAATGTTTCTGATAAATCTTTTTTTTCTATTATTAATATCAACTGATGTAGTCATACATCAAGAATATTAGTAGAGGTGTTTATGATTTATATTCTTTCAGGATGTGGACAACATTTACTATGTCCAGAATTGTCGGGAATTCAACCTCCTGGATTTCAGTCATCTGGAAAACAGAGACTTGGCCTTATCAGTGGCCGCCCTCTCCTTCAACCAATGGTTCACCAAGATCTCCAGCAAAGACCTCAAACTGGTAAACATTTTAGCCACATCTTGGTCTGTTTCTCCAGGTCCATTTGGAGAGCTCACTGTCTCATGCTATCACTATCTCTCCCTGAGTCCTGCTCTCTCTGTACCTGTCATGGCTGTCTATAAGTGTTGGCAGTGTGAGCTGATGATGGGATCCTGTGGCTGACCTAACTGGCAGCCTGGTCTAGGCTGCAGAGTCTAGCAGGGCTTATCAACATTCCTCACATGTACACACAGACTGCTGTGCCCTGGAGGCAGGGCACGATAATGACTTCATAATCTAGCTACTTTTGTGTTACTGATACTGCAGTGCCTTTAGGCAATCACCTGGCTATGATCGAGGTCAGGGAAATGGCCTTCATGATAAGGGAGAGAAGCTGTGTGTAACTGCACAGATTTATATTCTACAATAAGCTTTCTACAGATAAATGTATTTAAGGTGGTTTATGACCAGAGAAAAGTGCTGATACTGAAGATGGAGATCAGATGGAGGTTCTTAGTGAGATTAGATTTGCTGCCAGTTTATGGAGATGGGATGGCTAATGATTTAATACAAATCAGAGGAATAATTCCCTCTATGTATCTATCCCCAGAGCGCAGAGGTCCAAGAGCAGGTTCTCTTCATGATCAACAGATCCTCCACCTTGGAGGAGGTGTGTCTAGAGGGAAGCGGGCTCAAACTGTGAGTAGTCTACTACATGATACACCTCACCTCCCTTAAAAATCCCTAACTCCCTCCCTCTCTCCCTCCTTCTCTCCCAGAACAGTCTACCTGGTGCCAGAGGCACTGAGGACATGGGACATCTTTGGATGACATTCGATTTTTGTGATTGGTTCACACTTTATTATTCATTTTAGTTCCACAGTAATAACTTATTTCTGTTCCTCTTTCTCACTCCTGACCCTTCCTCTTGTAGGGATTTTGCGGTGAAGATGGCCTGTGCCCTGCGAGATCACACCCGCTCCGCCATCCACACCATCAACCTTTCAGCCAATCACATAGAGGACAAAGGCGAGCATTTAGTTACCATTGATCACTTTTTAGGTTTGTCAAAGTCCATTGCTGTGGTTCCCTGGACTGGCTAGTGACTACTCATCTGCTCATGTGTGTAACCTTGCATTATCTTTCATCAGGTGTGATAGCTCTCAGTCAGGAACTGGAGAATCTGCCCAATGGTCTAACCCAGCTGTCCCTCTCCAGGATTAGTGTCTCTCCCAAAGGTACATTCAAACTCTTCTGTCTGCTTCACCCTTTTAAAATGTCCACCTTCCATAAAGATATGAATGTAATGGCTTTTACATATTCTATTGCAACCATGCCATACTACCTGGGTTGCTTTTTTTTGTGCTACATACTGTGAATTAATAGAGATCTGTGCAGCTTCTTTTTTCTCTCTGATTCCTTTCACTCCCTTCCATCTATCCAGGTCTAGGTAGTCTGGCTCAGGCGTTCTCTCAGAACAAGGCCTTCTCCAGCTCTCTGTGTCACCTGGACCTGTCAGGGAATACAGGCAGTCTGGCTACAGAGGAAGCTGTGGTGAGTGCGGGGGCAGCACTTGTTTTCAGTTCACTGCTTAGAATTAATTCTCGCTCACTCCATACACTATTACACTTGAGTAAAGCTCCATACTGTAGGCACTATTAGTCTCAGCTAAATGCGTTTTGTAATGTATAGGGTGTATGCTATGGAACATTAACTCCCTTGGTTATATTCAGTAATGGGTTGTCTATAGAGGTTATTTGCCGTAAAGGGAGTTTGTTTTGCCAGTGCAGTCTCAAGTGACAGGATATGCATGCTATTTGATACTGATATGACTTAATGATGCAGGAGGCAACTCAATCAGAGTAAATGTATTACTCCACTGTACAGTATTAAATTGAGTTGGCCTGTAGTTGGGTTTGACTCTAGTCTACAGGACCATAGCACTGAATAGCTTTATATCTTTACCTGTCAGAACCTGTTTAAGTTCCTGTCTGGGACCAACGCTGTATCGTACCTGGACCTGAGTGGCACAGACTGCCCTCTGGACGCTGTAAGTGGCCTTTTCCCTTTCACCTCCAGACAGTTTCTGTCATATTCGTAAATTTAAAATGCACAACCTGATCTGTTTTTCGATGTCACATGTTTGTGCCAATGTGAACCAAGTAACTTTTTACATCCCCAACTTACTTCTCTCCCTAGCTGTTTGTGTCTCTGTCAGCAGGCTGCTGCTCCAAGCTGGCCCACCTCAACCTGTCCAGAAACCCCTTCTCCCACAGGTGAGCTCCCTGCCATGTGCCATCTCTGACTAGTGTTGCCTGACCCATCCACTGACCTGTCTCTTTCCCCAGGAAGGCGAGGGAAGTGACGCGGACTGTAAAGGAAGTCTTCAGTAAGAGCAATGAGCTCAGATACGTGGGATTGGCAGGAACCAAACTACCCCCAGAGGCTCTCAGGTAAGCACTGATGGAATGCTATACCAGGAAATATAAATGTGATGCATGTCAAACAGAATGTGATGCATACTTATAGTTATGTGTTTGCATTTTAATTTACATATATTATGTGTATACTGCTGTTTGATACGCATATTCTTGTGGTGAAATTAACTCAATCGGTCTGGTATGCAGATTGTTGTTGCAGGGTCTGGCCACAAATACCCATCTGTGTGGGCTGGAGCTAGACCTGAGTGGCTGTGAGGTACCTATACATACATACATACATACATACATACATACATACATACATACATACATACATGCATACACACAAACACACACACGTACGCACGCACACACCCCGTTCACTTTTTTATCACTAACCAGGTATTGAGCTGAGCTAGTTTTTGGCTGGCTGATAATCATGTGTATTATATGTGCAGCTGAGGTCTGCTGGGGCCCAGGTGATTCAGGAGCACATATTTGAAGCAAAGGCCATCAGCAGTCTGGACCTTTCTGACAATGGTATGATTCCTCACCTCACCCAATTTCTCTCTCTCTCTCTCTCTCTCTCTCTCTCTCTCTCTCTCTCTCTCTCTCTCTCTCTCTCTCTCTCTCTCTCTCTCTCTCTCTCTCTCTGTCTCTCTCTCTGTCTCTCTCTCTGTCTCTCTCTCTGTCTCTCTCGCTCTCGCTCTCGCTCTCGCTCTCTCTGTCTCTCTCGCTCTTGCTCTCTCATTTTCTTCCTACCTGGAGAGAGTACAGTCAAGGGAGGTGTGTGTGTGTGCTAGGTGGTGCCAACAGGTGATAAATCACACACGATTCAGATAATATAACATACACAGAGAGAGCGAGACATAAATTATTCTCAGTGTGTGTTTCTCGTGGGATGATCCCCTGCTCTCTAGCACAATGAGGAGAGCCCAGGAACAGCCCAGCCTCACCATGGGGAAGGGGAGGGGGCTGGAGGGCTGTTCTGGGAACTGCCCAGGGGGATTCTGCAGGGGGCCAGTGTGTGGGCATCATTACGATCAAACCCCTTCACTAGAATAGAGTATTATGTATACATTTCTGAGCAGGAATCTCAGAAGGCAACTGAACACTGCAGGCAATTTATATTTAAGGCCTAAGAAAACATTACGTTTTTGATTAATAATATGAAATGCGAAGTACCTGTTTTTTCTGCCTTATCATTATACCTAGGCATACTTTTTGGAACTACCAATAGAAATTAGAAAATACCATTCTCTTCTCCTACTATGATCCCACTCAAACCTGGTTCTGGAAACACGGTAGAGCCAATCAAATGCTTGACCACTGAGAAGAGCTCAAATCAGGCCATGTTATTTCTGGAACAGGCAGATAAGATCAGGCAGGCAGGGCTCCCAGCCTCCCACAGACAAACCTCCGTGCAGTACCGGGAGTGACCAAGGGCAGACACATCAGTGTCACTTAGAATAGACACAGCACCGCTGGGACACTGAGGCTCCAGCATCCTGCACCTGCCTGTCTGCCAACCCACTTCCTCATCCATATTCATCCAGTACAGACAGAGCTTGGACAACAATTTATAATGAAGAGAGGATACTATGGTGTATTGCTGTAACCATGTAGCATGAGCACTTCTGGGGATCACACCGGCATCACACTGACCAAGACTATGATGGGGTCCTACAATCTCCTACACTAGCCAGTGGCTCAGATATAGAGACCATTCGTTTTCATGGAGAGTGCACATTTCAAAAGGCTCCTGGGAATCATAATTGGTGTATTTATGACTGAATAGGCTCAACATGAATTGAGCTGACATGAGATGGCTTCCTCAAAGCATACATATATACAGCATGCAGACTGTCCACTCCTCCACAGTGAGTTACTGATATACATCTCTCTCCTCTCAGGTTTTGAGAGTGACATGGTCACCTTGGTGCTGTCCATCGGTCGCAGTCACTCCATCCGCCATCTGGCTTTGGGACGCAACTTTACCATGAAGTCCAGGTGAGTAATTTACTCTGTCAGAACCACTGTGTTTCCTATCCATCTACCTGTCAGCTGTCTCTTCACTCTCGCTCTCTCTCTCTCTGTCTCTCTCTCTCTCGCCCTACAGAGCTCTAACAGATGTCCTACAGCGTATCGTCCAGCTCATTCAGGAGGAGGAGTGTGTGAGTGTTCGATCTCGTCCTTTGACTGACACTTACTTACGTCCTTTTATATCTCAAACACTTACATTTCATAGTGAAATTATTAGTAATGTGTACTATCTACCTGTATTAAACCTGTTCTAACAAGCTGTCGTAAACAACCATTGACTGAGTTAAACATCAGCTTAACTCTGTAAAGACCTCATCATTAACACTACATTCATCTCCTCGTTTCTCACAACAGCAAATCTTAGTCTCCTTTACCCTTTCCTTTGTAGATAATATAATTACTCATCCCCAGTTCCAGACTGCTCCTCTTATGTTTTGACCCTGGCTCTACCACTGCCCAGGCCTCTTCTCCAGTATTAAATTCAAATCACATTTTATTGGTCGCATACACATATTTAGCAGATGTTATTGCGGTTGTAATGAAATGCTTGGGTTCCTAGCTCCAACAGTGCAGTAATATCTAACAATTCACAACAATACACACAAATCTAAAAGTAATAGAATGGAATTAAGAAATATATAAATATTAGGACGAGCATAAATATATATGATGGGATGTATAGACATTATGGGCAGTATGTGGATACAATATTTAGTATATCTGTAGAATACGTGGGATAGAATAGTATGCATATATATATATATATATATATATATATATATATATATACACACACACACACACACACACACAGTGGGGAAAAAAAGTATTTAGTCAGCCACCAATTGTGCAAGTTCTCCCACTTAAAAAGATGAGAGAGGCCTGTAATTGAGAAAGAAAAATCCAGAAAATCACATTGTAGGATTTTTAATGAATTTATTTGCAAATTATGGTGGAAAATAAGTATTTGGTCACCTACAAACAAGCAAGATTTCTGGCTCTCACAGACCTGTAACTTCTTCTTTAAGAGGCTCCTCTGTCCTCCACTCGTTACCTGTATTAATGGCACCTGTTTGAACTTGTTATCAGTATAAAAGACACCTGTCCACAACCTCAAACAGTCACACTCCAAACTCCACTATGGCCAAGACCAAAGAGCTGTCAAAGGACACCAGAAACAAAATTGTAGACCTGCACCAGGCTGGGAAGACTGAATCTGCAATAGGTAAGCAGCTTGGTTTGAAGAAATCAACTGTGGGAGCAATTATTAGGAAATGGAAGACATACAAGACCACTGATAATCTCCCTCGATCTGGGGCTCCACGCAAGATCTCACGCCGTGGGGTCAAAATGATCACAAGAACGGTGAGCAAAAATCCCAGAACCACACAGGGGGACCTAGTGAATGACCTGCAGAGAGCTGGGACCAAAGTAACAAAGCCTACCATCAGTAACACACTACGCCGCCAGGGACTCAAATCCTTCAGTGCCAGACGTGTCCCCCTGCTTAAGCCAGTACATGTTCAGGCCCGTCTGAAGTTTGCTAGAGTGCATTTGGATGATCCAGAAGAGGATTGGGAGAATGTCATATGGTCAGATGAAACCAAAATATAACTTTTTGGTAAAAACTCAACTCGTCGTGTTTGGAGGACAAAGAATGCTGAGTTGCATCCAAAGAACACCATACCTACTGTGAAGCATGGGGGTGGAAACATCATGCTTTGGGGCTGTTTTTCTGCAAAGGGACCAGGACGACTGATCCGTGTAAAGGAAAGAATGAATGGGGCCATGCATCGTGAGATTTTGAGTGAAAACCTCCTTCCATCAGCAAGGGCATTGAAGATGAAACATGGCTGGGTCTTTCAGCATGACAATGATCCCAAACACGCCGCCCGGGCAACGAAGGAGTGGCTTCGTAAGAAGCATTTCAAGGTCCTGGAGTGGCCTAGCCAGTCTCCAGATCTCAACCCCATAGAAAATCTTTGGAGGGAGTTGAAAGTCTGTGTTGCCCAGCGACAGCCCCAAAACATCACTGCTCTAGAGGAGATCTGCATGGAGGAATGGGCCAAAATACCAGCAACAGTGTGTGAACCTTGTGAAGACTTACAGAAAACGTTTGACCTGTGTCATTGCCAACAAAGGGTATATAACAAAGTATTGTGTCTCCCGAGTGGCGCAGTGGTCTAAGGCACTGCATCGCTGTGCCACTAGAGATCCTGGTTCGAATCCAGGCTCTGTCGTAGCCGGCCGTGACCGGGAGACCCATGGGGCGGCGCACCATTGGCCCAGCGTCGTCCAGTGTAGGGGAGGGAATGGCTCAGCTGGTAGAGCATGGCGTTTGCAACGCCAGGGTTGTGGGTTTGATTCCCACGGGTGGCCAGTATGAAAATAAATAAAAAATAATGTATGCACTCACTTAACTGTAAGTCGTTCTGGATAAGAGCGTCTGCTAAATGACTAAAATGTAAAATGTATTGAGAAACTTTTGTTATTGACCAAATACTTATTTTCCACTATAATTTGCAAATAAATTCATTAAAAATCCTACAATGGGATTTTCTGGATTTTTTTCCTTCATTTTGTCTGTCATAGTTGACGTGTACCTATGATGCAAATTACAGGCCTCTCTCATCTTTTTAAGTGGGAGAACTTGCACAATTGGTGGCTGACTAAATAATTTTTCCCCCCACTGTATATGTGTGTGTATATATATATATATATATATATATATATATATATATATATATATATATATATACACACAGAAATAGTTCAATAGGATGGCATTGACTACAATACAGTATATACATATGAAATTTGTAAAACAGTATGTAAACATTATTAAAGTGACCAGTGATTCCATGTCTGTGTACATAGGGCACCAGCCTCTAAGGTGCAGGGTTGAGTAACCGGGTGGTAGACGGTTAGTGACAGTGACTAAGTTCAGGGCAGGGTACTGGGTGGAGGCCGGCTAGTGATGGCTATTTAACAGTCTGATGGCCTTGAGATAGAAGCTGTTTTTCAGTCTCTCGGTCCCAGCTTTGATGCACCTGTACTGACCTCGCCTTCTGGATGATAGTAGTCTCCTGTTCCCTGCTGGGAGAGCTGTGTAATGATGGAGGCTCTGTGGAAACATAGTCCTCTGGGACCTCCCCTTGAGTGAAAGCAAGTCTTTTAATTACCCAGAATCCTTATCCAGTGAGACAAGGCCCACCTCAGTAATTACACATTGAGCAGCTGAGACTCGTACAGTATACAAGGCTCATTAAAATCGTGTAGACATTTTCTCTGTGTATCAAAGAGCCAGATGTCAGGCTGAAGGTCATGTAATCTAACTGAAGTTTTCTCAGGCCCAGAGCCCCAGACTCTGGGCTCTGATTGGATGGAGATCTCCAATCTGGCTCAGATCAGTGGTGTGTGTTTGTGTGCATGTGTGTGTGACATGCCCACAGCCCCTGGAGTCGCTGTCAGTGTGTGACTCCAAGCTGAAGACAGGCACCACCATCCTCATCAACAGCCTGGGCAGCAATGCCAGCCTCACTAAGATAGACATCAGTGGAAACTGCATCGGAGACACTGGAGCCAAGATGCTGGCCAAGGCCTTACTCATCAACACTAAACTCCGGTAACCTAGCCATAACCCAACTTAACCATAAACTGACCTACCCCAACCTAGCCTACCCCAGCCGCAATCTGGAATTATATTACCATGAACTAACCAACACTAACCTGACCTGCCCAGTGTATATCTCTACACAGGACGCTGGTCTGGGACAGGAACAATGTGACAGCCAAGGGATTTCTGGATGTGGCCAACGCTCTAGAGAGGTGAGTCGTAGAGAGGAAGAGTCTCAGTCCATCAAACAGTAATATTGCCTAAAAGATAACCTTACCCCTCCTTTCCTGCCTTTGAATGGTTGTTTCATTCCTCATTCTTCTCTATGTGTATGCATAAACACAGGAACTTCACACTGCAGCACATATCCATCCCCATGAATGACATCACACACGGGTATCGTAACAGTCCTGAGAAGACAGAGGAGGCTCTGCAGAAGGTGAGATTGGGCTGTCCATGAGGAGCCTGATAAAAACGGATGTCTGAGTCACCCTGGTATAAAACACTTGTCTGTATTCTGCTGTTGTGTGTCCAGATCCAGGCGTGTCTGATCAGGAACAGCCAGAGACAGTCTGGAGGCCCAGACCAGATACTAAACCTCCAACAGGGCCTGAAGACCGTACGCTCTGAACAGGTAGGTCAGCCCTCGTTCTTGGAGGAGGCAACAGAAATATACACTGAGTGTACAAAACATTAGGAATACCTGCTCTTTCCATGACAGACTGACCAGGTGTATCCAGGTGAAAGCTATGATCCCTTATTGATGTCACCTGTTAAAAATCCACTTCAATCAGTGTAGATGAAGGGGAGGAGACAGGTTAAATAAGGATTTTTAAGCCTTGAGACAATTGAGACATGGGTTGTGTATGTGGGCCATTCAGAGAGGGTGAATGGGCAAGACAAAATATTAAAGTGCCTTTGAACAGGGTATGGTAGTAGGTGCCAGGCGCTCCGGTTTGAGTGTCAAGAACTGCAACGCTGCTGGGTTTTTCACGCTCAACGGTTTCCCCTGTGTATCAAGAATGGTCCACCACCCAAAGGACATCCAGCCAATATGACCCAACTGTAGGAAGCATTGGAGTCAACATGGGCCAGCATCCTTGTGGAACGCTTTCGACACCTTGTAGAGTCGATGCCCAGACAAATTGACGCTATTCTGGGGGCAAAAGGGGTGCAACTCAATATTAGGAAGGTGTGCCTAATGTTTTGTACACCTAGTGTATGTGTATATCTGTATGTATGAGGGTCTGTTCCTTTCCCATATTCCTAACTTTCTGGTACATTTGCCACTCTCACTCTGTGTCTCTGTCTGACTCATCCCACATCTCAGATGGTTCAAGGTCTGTGTCAGAGGTTACAGGAGAGTGTCCGACCTTTAGCCCCCTGCAATATACAGGAAGTGCAGTCAGACATATTGGCTGCAGAAGAAGTGCTTCATAATGCTAAGACCTCCATTACGGTAAGGTGTCCTTGAGTTGAGTCCCACTGATAAGACATGTTCATCAATGTTTTTGAGAGGTCTAGACATAAACATATAAGGCCTAGTAATGAAGGATTTTGAGGATGGTGAAATATCACTAATAAGTTTATGTTCATCCTCCAGCTATTGCCTTCACTTTATGAGCTGGGGAAGACACCCTCTAGTGGTGCAATGCTGCAACATATACTGAATGACACGGCCAAAACAGTCACCAACGAAATAACAGAGGAGATTCAGGTAATACTGACATTTTTGTGTCTGTATCATGTGTGTGCACAATGTATATGAGGTATCAATATGCATCTGTCAGTTACCAACCACACTGATAACTATCAACATTCAGCCAAATTGAAGAGATATGTCTAAACCTGCAACACGTGATAGGGAAAAACTCAGGAGAGGTCATCCAGGTGAGTCTTCCAGGTGACTGGTATGCCCTGTGTGTTCCAGGAGCTGGCCCAGGCCTTGTTGCAGTCAGCCCAGACCCTCTGTCCTAGGGTCACCCACAGGTCAAGTGTCTGTGAGCAGCTGGCTGACTGTGTAGCTAAGAAGTCCAGACAGACAGCCCTGTTCATCCAGGACACCTTCATGCAGCACATAGGAGAGGTCATCAGTAACAAACTCAGGTAAACAGCTGAATACACACACATCGACCCTGAAAGAAAAACACAGCTTATGTAGAACACAAACAGTTACATCGTACATAATCTTTGTTGTTTTGTGTCATACTCATGTCATGCTCAATACTAGGACTTTTCCCACCCAGTGCCTCCCACATCTCTCATAAAGCTCACTGGTTGCTTATGATTTACTTCTCCCCCTCCATTCATTCTTTGTTTTTCATTTATTTTTCAGTGAACTCAAACTGTCAGTTAGTGTCTCCTTGGTGGAAAGTATCGTTGACGAGGTTCTGCAGGACTTGTCTGTGGCTCAGCAGAAATTGGTGATACTTTGTTTTGTGTGTGTGTTTGTAATGTATGTGTGAGTTGTGTTCAGTGTTGGGCAAGCTACCAATGACTTCACACTGGAAGAAGATAAGCTACACTAAAGCAACCCTTAAGAAAAATACAGTTTACTTAACTAAAGTTACATTGAGAAAGTAGTTCCCTATATCCAAACTACTTTGTGATAAATTATCATATCTAAATTTGAAAACGTCATGGACAACAAATTGCAAGAACAGATCACTCTGGAGTTGGATGTTAACAGAATGTGTAATGTTGCCCATTAAACAGAAAAACTGTTTCGCGTAAGAATTAGACAGGTCTGATGACAGGTCATATTTGATTTGATTTTAGCTAAAAAGTAGTGCGTAGTTCCAGCAGCTGTGGCCCCGTGTAGCTCAGTTGGTAGAGCATGGCGCTTGCAACGCCAGGGTTGTGGGTTCGTTTCCCACTGGGGGCCAGTATGGAAAAAAACAAATGAATGCACTCACTAACTGTAAAGTCGCTCTGGATAAGAGCGTCTGATAAATGACTAAAATGTAAATGTAATACCTTCACCTACCACCAAACTACTGCAAAATGTAGTTAAATTACTAGTTGAACTATGTAGTTCACTACTCCCCAACACTCGTTGTGTTGGGTGTGTTCGATTAGTATAACTGATCACCACCCTCCCTCACCTCAGGACCGTCATATGAGGGAGCAGACCAGCTCTGGACTCAAAACCAATGTCCCTCATCTACGAGTGGTAGATCATGATTTCCCCATGGATGATGTAAGAGCTCTGACTAACATAGCCCCTCTCTAAAACACACACAACCCACCATACTAAACAGTGTATGCCATACCATTGTACCAGTCTACACAAGTATCTACATGACCTGCATTAGTTCTTGTTTAATACAACTAACTGAATTTCTCTCTCTTCCTCAGTATGTTCCTGTCATTTGGAGGAGAAGCTTCCACTCCAAGAGTATCCGTCCAGCCCCCTCAGTGAAAAGTAAGAACCAGGCTTGTCATCAGTATAATTAGGATTTATTCGAACATACTTTTTAGTCGGAAAGCTTAGAGTCTGGGACGAAACTAGGTAGATTGTTTCAATGTTAATCAGGTGTAGTTATTGGCACCATGGTGCTTGCCTACGGAGCTGTGAGGGGAACGGCACCTCGTTACCTTCAGGCTCTGATCAGACCCTACACCCAAACGAGGGCACTACGTTCATCCACCTCTGGCCTGCTAGCTCCCCTACCTCTACAGAAGCACAGCTCCTGCTAAGCCCAGTCAAAGCTATTTGCTGCTCTGGCAACCCAATGGTGGAACAAGCTCCCCCAAGACGCCAGGACAGTGGAGTCACCTGACCACCTTCCGGAGACACTTGAAACCCTACCTCTTTAAGGAATACCTGGAATAGAATAAAGCAATCCTTCTACCCCCCCCCCCCCCCCCCACCATTAAAAAAATATGAAAAAAAGTGGTTGTCCCACTGGCTATCATAAGTTGAATGCACCAATTTGTAAGTCGCTCTGGATGAGAGCGTCTGCTAAATGATGTAAATGTTATTGGCTGCAGTCTGCTACATCAAAACGGCTTCGACCTGTGATGTCAGCAGCTGCAATCTACCGCCACTGTGATTGGCATAGAAAAAGGTTTCAACCAGAATTCACAGTTGAAAGGTCAGGGGTCGTGTCTAAACCATTTCATTATCCAGTTAGGAGTGAGCTCTAACAAAAGAGGGTCAGAAGGGCAGTAACATGAAAATAATGGAGCAGTCACAACAAAGAGGGAGATATCCACTAGAGCAATATGGTTCTGGATTGTTCTGCTCAAATCCCCTTAGTGCAATGTGCTCTTAAATACATCCCAAATCAGATTTAGAACCAGTCAAAATGTGTGTCAGTGTTTTACAATCCTCCTGCGAGTACGTGAGGGTGTTATTGCTTATGTGTGTCATTCATGCAGCCCGGGACACTATAGGGGCTGTCCCCCAATGCGTCTTGGGAGTTCCCCCTCATTGTGACGGTGCTGTGTCATGGTGCTGAAGGGTTAAGGTCCCATATTGGAGGGGAGATTCTGGGGGGGCGGTGATGGAGGTGGTAGTTGGGGTGACTACTAGCCTCAACAAAAGATAATCAGCTGTGCGGTGCTCTGCCTGTCCAATAAAAAGAGCTGTGGCTAACTGGAGCATGGCCGGGTTACTTTCAGACCACTGAGCCTCACGGGGGGGGGGACCGGCTTACAACCATTGCACAACCCCTCCCCCTCATTTGCCTCTCTCTCCAGCCGTCCTGCTCTGCTGCTACCTGCACTATGTCTCTCTCTTTTTTGTGCTCTCCCTCTCTATTCCATCGTTTAGATTCAGTGTTGTAAATCTCTCTGATTAGTCTCCTCTCTTCTGTGCCATTGAGTCTATATCTATAGACATCCATCGGATTCCTCTTCCATCCCATATTTTCTCTCTGCTTTTTTTCTTTGTCCTCCTCTTCTCCCCCTTTCTTCATTAATGGTCTCTCAATCACTATTCTCTGTTTACAGCTTCTCTCTCTCTCTCTCTCTCTCTCTCTCTCTCCTCTCTCCTCTCTCTCCCTCTCTCTCTCTCTCTCTCTCTCTCTCTCCTCTCTCTCTCTCCTCTCTCTCTCTCTCTCTCTCTCTCTCTCTCTCTCTCTCTCTCTCTCTCTCTCTCTCTCTCTCTCTCTCTCTCTCTCTCTCATTATATCTTACATCCCCTCCCAGTGTGTTATCTCCACATTATAGCTAGTTGCCCTATTTTTAGATGCATCCTATCACACATCCTGTGCCTATGTGGGTTGGTACCATTCCCTCTCTCTCTCGTGTTTCTCCCTCTGTCCCCCTCTCTCTGTCTCGGTCTCTCTCTGCAGGTCTCCTGGATGTGGACACAGAGCAGCAGGCAAGAGAGAGCATGCATTATCAGCAGGAAGGAGCAGGGGTAGGAGGGAAGGTGCGGGCGCTGTCGTCGACAACGACGCTGTCAGTCACAGTGGTAGGCCAGCTGAAACCCGAAGGCCCCTCCCACACAGGGAGAGAGGCGGATGCTGCCGCTGCTGCGGCTCTTAGCAACAGTGAGCCCCGGCGCCCTGAGCCCGCACCTCCTCAGCCCCCTATGGACCTGCCCATCGAAGGCCACACACTGAGGCACTACACCCGCTCCAGGCCCAGACCCAACCGCCGGAACAGCAAGCCGCCCACCAAGCCCCAGGTAAGAGGCAACATTGACGAGCACAGACCATGGAGGATGGGGATGGAGGGATGAAAGGGAGGCACAGAGAGAGGAAGACAGAGCGGGGGGGATGCAGGGAGAGGCTAATTAATTGTAGCGACAGCGCTGCTTTCTGAGAGAAGGATAGATGAGAAGGGATGGCGAGAAAGAGAGATGAGGGAAGAGAAAAATCAGGGGACAGCAGAGAGAATGGTGATGGAGGGAGAGGGGGAGGGAAGCAGAGTTCTGATGGCGGTACTCAGGTTATTGCAGCCACAGCAGCAGAGGCAGTGTCAGTGCCTTGCAGCTCTGGGCATTCTCTCTCCATCTCCCTCCTTCCCTCTCTCTGTCGATCTGATTCTATTTCATCGTCTTGTCAGTGCTGCTGCTGCTGCTGTAGCTGTTGATGTGTTGAGGAGCCATTTCTGTGTGTTTTCTCCATATTCTTCCCTGCATTAACGATTGTTCTGTGGTTCTCAATAGTAGACTGGGTGCTGTCAGAACAGGGCACTCTCTCCACACTGATTCTGGATTGCTCTGCTCTGTGTGACTGCTGTAGTGTTTTAATTATTCATGTTTTCACATCGAGTGCTCTCTCTCCCCCTCTCTGTCGCTCCCCCCCTTCACTATCGCTCTCCTGTTAATGCCTTTAGGAGAATCCCTCTTTTACAGTGGAATATTGTTAAGGACTGTCAGTGGGAACTGGTTGTGGGTGTGGGTGCGTCTGTGTGTCTGTCTGTGTTTGCATGTATGTATTCATCGTCGTGTTTGATTAGAATGTCTCAGGGTTCAGCTGGTGCTCCGTGATGATTGATGGAGGTCTAGTGGTCTGTATCTGGGGGGTGTGTGTATTTTCCTCTGACACTGTCTGTTTTGCCAACTGATCAAATACAGCTCTCTGTTATGTGTGAAAAACAATGCTGCAGCCATCTTATAAGCAGAACTAGTTTAAAATATATTGCTGATATAAGGTTCTTTGTAACATTATCTGTGTGTGTTTTTGTGTGTATGTCGTTAGTTTTGCTACACCGATGTTGTAGCGTGATTCATTGTTGGTGTAGTAACAAGGTAATTGTTGTTCTTATTGAAGGTAACACTGCAATGGAATGTTTACCACATTAACTGGGTGTCTGTATCTGCTGTGTTGTCATTACTGGAACACAGTGTCGCCACTTTGTTATTTAGACTGTATTCAAGGTGCCCCTTGTGCCTGCATTATGTATTTCCTGTGCTGTTGTCCCTGGTTACCTGTGTGCCTGTAATGCAATTGAAACAGTATATTCAGTGCTATTTTCCATGGTTACCTGCACTTCTGTATAGTAATTGTTCATGCGGTATTCCCTGTGTCGTTATCTGGGCTTCTGGAGTCACTTTGCAGTCAGGCAGGATGGGCGGCCAGCTCAGATCAGAGATTTTCTGGAGAGGACGGCTCTACTCCTCAGTTACCACAGAGATGGGTTGGGCAGGATGAGAGTCAGATTGAACCGCTTTACCCTTCTATGGAAAAGGCAGAAGTTTACAGATACTTGAAGCTAAGTGTAATGAAGTTTTTTGTGTCTGGATCTATATGTTTTTATGAGCATAAAACATGCATGTGTATCACAAGCAGATTTGTCTGTGCATGTTTGTAATGTGTGATAATGTAGCTAGTTGGCCTGGTGAAATAAGGGGCCAGGTGGTGGTGGTTGGAGCTTGGAGGGCTGCTGGCTGTGTTGACTGTGGAAAAGGAAGGGGCAGGGTCTACTGTCATTCTGCTGTAACACTCACTGTGGTTGGTGGTGGTGGTGGGACTGCACCTTCATCGGGGTGTGCCTGCTGCCTGGCCCACTTTGAAAATGCTCACACATGACTATCGACTGTATATTTTTCCTGCAGCAGCATTTTATTACATCTGTAGAAAAATGTAAAACAATCTGCATTTGATTTTATGCAACAGCATCCCTCCCCCTAAAATATCTTGCCTCAATGTTGCAGAGCGAGAGCTTTTTGTCGTCATGAGGTTTGTTCATAAACCATTCACTTGCCATCACTCAGTGCTATGCTGAAGCCAAAACATAGCCAGTCCAGTGCTATATGAGGAATTTCACATTCTGCAAATGGTGGGGAACTCCTACTGAATGATGCGCTGGGAATGTGGGGTAGACGATTATTTGAAATCCAAGATATCATATTATCAAACAGGACAAGTCAGACCATATGTCAGTGATTTCTCTTAAATGTTATGCTCTCCTTGTTATACAGTTAATTGACTATTATAGAATTAGTTTGAGATATGATAAATGACCAGAGCCCTCTACCTACATTGACATGGACTGTAGGTGGGAAAAGGCCACTTATTGATGTCCTATGTACCATAATAGACGATACACTGCAAAGAAAATAGTGTCCTGCCCCCTTCTACATTATGGAGAAACCAATAGACACACTCCTTCTACCACACAGTCTATCAGTAAGTGTTGCTATGCTATATATATATATATATATACAGTGGGGGAAAAAAGTATTTAGTCAGCCACCAATTGTGCAAGTTCTCCCACTTAAAAAGATGAGAGAGGCCTGTAATTTTCATCATAGGTACACGTCAACTATGACAGACAAAATGAGAAAAAAAAATCTAGAAAATCACATTGTAGGATTTTTAATGAATTTATTTGCAAATTATGGTGGAAAATACGTATTTGGTCACCTACAAACAAGCAATATTTCTGGCTCTCACAGACCTATAACTTCTTCTTTAAGAGGCTCCTCTGTCCTCCACTCGTTACCTGTATTAATGGCACCTGTTTGAACTTGTTATCAGTATAAAAGACACCTGTCCACAACCTCAAACAGTCACACTCCAAACTCCACTATGGCCAAGAGCAAAGAGCTGTCAAAGGACACCAGAAACAAAATTGTAGACCTGCACCAGGCTGGGAAGACTAAATCTGCAATAAGTAAGCAGCTTGGTTTGAAGAAATCAACTGTGGGAGCAATTATTAGGAAATGGAAGACATACAAGACCACTGATAATCTCCCTCGATCTGGGGCTCCACGCAAGATCTCACCCCGTGGGGTCAAAATGATCACAAGAACGGTGAGCAAAAATCCCAGAACCACACGGGGGACCTAGTGAATGACCTGCAGAGAGCTGGGACCAAAGTAACAAAGCCTACCATCAGTAACACACTACGCTGCCAGGGACTCAAATCCTGTAGTGCCAGACGTGTCCCCCTGCTTAAGCCAGTACATGTCCAGGCCCGTCTGAAGTTTGCTAGAGTGCATTTGGATGATCCAGAAGAGGATTGGGAGAATGTCATATGGTCAGATGAAACCAAAATAGAACTTTTTGGTCAAAACTCAACTCGTCGTGTTTGGAGGACAAAGAATGCTGAGTTGCATCCAAAGAACACCATACCTACTGTGAAGCCTGGGGGTGGAAACATCATGCTTTGGGGCTGTTTTTCTGCAAAGGGACCAGGACGACTGATCCGTGTAAAGGAAAGAATGAATGGGGCCATGTATCGTGAGATTTTGAGTGAAAACCTCCTTCCATCAGCAAGGGCATTGAAGATGAAACGTGGCTGGGTCTTTCAGCATGACAATGATCCCAAACACACTGCCCGGGCAACGAAGGAGTGGCTTCGTAAGAAGCATTTCAAGGTCCTGGAGTGGCCTAGCCAGTCTCCAGATCTCAACCCCATAGAAAATCTTTGGAGGGAGTTGAAAGTCTGTGTTGCCCAGCGACAGCCCCAAAACATCACTGCTCTAGAGGAGATCTGCATGGAGGAATGGGCCAAAATACCAGCAACAGTGTGTGAAAACCTTGTGAAGACTTACAGAAAACGTTTGACCTGTGTCATTGCCAACAAAGGGTATATAACAAAGTATTGAGAAACTTTTGTTATTGACCAAATACTTATTTTCCACCATAATTTGCAAATAAATTCATAAAAAATCCTACAATGTAATTATTTTGAAAAAAAAATCTCATTTTGTCTGTCATAGTTGACGTGTACCTATGATGAAAATTACAGGCCTCTCTCATCTTTTTAAGTGGGAGAACTTGCACACTTGGTGGCTGAATAAATACTTTTTTTCCCCACTGTATATATATACAGTGAGGGAAAAAAGTATTTGATCCCCTGCTGATTTTGTACGTTTGCCCACTGACAAAGACATGATCAGTATATCATTTTAATGGTAGGTTTATTTGAACAGTGAGAGACAGAATAACAACAAAAAAATCCAGAAAAACACGTCAAAAATGTTAGAAATTGATTTGCATTTTAATGAGGGAAATTAGTATTTGACCCCTCTGCAAAACATTACTTAGTACTTGGTGGCAAAACCCTTTTTGGCAATCACAGAGGTCAGACGTTTCTTGTAGTTGGCCACCAGGTTTGCACACATCTCAGGAGGGATTTTGTTCCACTCCTCTTTGCAGATCTTCTCCAAGTCATTAAGGTTTTGAGGCTGACGTGTGGCAACTCGAACCTTCAGCTCCCTCCACAGATTTTCTATGGGATTATGGTCTGGAGACTGGCTAGGCCACTCCAGGACCTTAATGTGCTTCTTCTTGAGCCACTCCTTTGTTGCCTTGGCCGTGTATTTTGGGTCATTGTCATGCTGGAATACCCATCCAGGACCCATTTTCAATGCCCTGGCTGAGGGAAGGAGGTTATCACCCAAGATTTGACGGTACATGGCCCCGTCCATCGTCCCTTTGATGCAGTGAAGTTGTCCTGTCCCCTTAGCAGAAACCCCCCCCAAAGCATAATGTTTCCACCTCCATGTTTGATGGTGGGGATGGTGTTCTTGGGGTCATAGGCAGCATTCCTCCTCCTCCAAACACGGCGAGTTGAGTTGATGCCAAAGAGCTCCATTTTGGTCTCATCTGACCACAACACTTTCACCCAGTTCTCCTCTGAATCATTCAGATGTTCATTGGCAAACTTCAGATGGCCCTGTATATGTGTTTCCTGAGCAGGGGGACCTTGTGGGCGCTGCAGGATTTCAGTCCTTCACGGCGTAGTGTGTTACCAATTGTTTTCTTGGTGACTATGGTCCCAGCTGCCTTGAGATCATTGACAAGATCCTCCCGTGTAGTTCTGGGCTGATTCCTCACCGTTCTCATGATCATTGCAACTCCACGAGGTGAGATTTTGCATGGAGCCCCAGGCCGAGGGAGATTGACAGTTCTTTTGTGTTTCTTCCATTTGCGAATAATCGCACCAACTGTTGTCACCTTCTCACCAAGCTGCTTGGCGTTGGTCTTATAGCCCATTCCAGCCTTGAGTAGATCTACAATCTTGTCCCTGACATCCTTGGAGAGCTCTTTGGTCTTGGCCATGGTGGAGAGTTTGGAATCTGATTGATTGATTGCTTCTGTGGACAGGTGTCTTTTTATACAGGTAACAAACTGAGATTAGGTGCACTCCCTTTAAGAGTGTGCTCCTAATCTCAGCTCGTTACCTGTATAAAAGACACCCGGGAGCCAGAAATCTTTCTGATTGAGAGGGGGTCAAATACTTATTTCCCTCATTAAAATGCAAAATCAATTTATAACATTTTTGACATGCGTTTATCTGGATTTATTTGTTGTTATTCTGTCACTCACTGTTCAAATAAACCTACCATTAAAATTATAGACTGGTCATTTCTTCGTCAGTGGGCAAACGTACAAACTCAGCAGGGGATCAAATACTTTTTTCCCTCACTCTATATAGACAGGGTATATATATGAAAGTGTTAGTGTGTTGCCATCAATGGAAACACCATCTTTGTGCTTTATGGCAAGTCTTTTTCTCTTCCTGAAGATAGGGTGGGGTGATGGGGATCGGTGCTCTCTGATTGGCTGGGAGGTGCTAAATTATTTATAATCCATTTCTCATTCGGCGTGGCACCCTATTTGCATACGGTTGTTATAGTTGTTCTGCAGCGGGTTGGTTCTCCTGCTCTCTGTAACCACAGCGCCTAAAGGCCTCTCTCCTCTCTCACAGTCTATTCAGCAGCAGCTACACTCACAGACTGGCTAAATACAGAACAACGTCTCAAACACTAGCCTACCCTCTGTGCACTGAGAGACACTGACAAAACAGTTCTTGCCTTCACTCTATTCCCACCACTGATAATTGTCAGCCAATACTACCTGTCAAAATGTTGTGCACTGCCTGTTTGTATCTGAGTAAGCGACAGACAGCCAGGAAGAGATTTGTGAACTGCTCTTCCCACCAGCCTGCTAAATAACAGTGAATAATTAATCTATTAAACCATCACAGTATGATCCAAACTAAAGAGCTGCTCTTCAGACTGGAACAGAGGGAGAGGAGAGAGTGGTGGTGGTGAAGGGTGTGTCTGAGAGATGTAATCATATTGTGGAGGATGGGGCTGAGGGGTTGTTCTCTCCTGGGACCTGAAGCACAGATGTGCCTGCTGCAGACACACACTAATGGTCTATAGAATAGAGAGGATGATGTATTTGTGTCCGTGATTGCGTGTGTGTGTGTATGGGTGCGTGTTTGTTCATAAACATATGTTTTTCTTTAGTGCATATCTGTTGGCAAGCATCCTAATCAGTATGTGTACAGTGAGTGTGAGAGTGTACTCAGCCTACACTGATCAGTCACACAATGGTATTACCATAAGCATCCGCCAAGCCACTTATCTTATTGGTTATGCTATGCTGGCTCGGCCAATAAGCAAAAGTTATTTTTTTTGCAACGCTACAGGGGGATTTGACATTAGCAGATGAACCACAATGCTCGCTCTCTTTTGCACATACTGAGTCACAATTATCTTCTGTTGGTGTTTTTGCACGTGCGTGTGTGTGTGTGTGTGTGCGTGTGTGCAGGAGCAGGCAGCTGAGAGTGAAGAGAATGAAGCCAATGAGACCATTGGTAGGGTGGATGAGGGAGTAGAGGAGTTTTTCACTAAGAAGATCATCCCTGATGACCCTCTGTAAGTATCCATATAGTATACACTACCGGCCAAAAGTTTTAGAACACCTACACATTCAAGGGTTTTTCTTTATTTTTACGTTGTAGAATAATAGTGAAGACATCAAAACTATCAAATAACACATATGGAATCATGTAGTAACCAAAAAAGTGTTAAACAAATCAAGATATATTTTATATTTGAGATTCTTCAAATAGCCACCCATTGCCTTCTCCAAATATGCTGAGCACTTGTTGGCTGCTTTTCCTTCACTCTGCGGTCCGACTCATCCCAAACCATCACAATTTGGTTGAGGTCGGGTGATTGTGGAGGCCAGGTCATCTGATGCAGCACTCATCACTCTCCTTCTTGGTAAAATAGCCCTTACACAGCCTGGAGGTGTGTTGGGTCGTTGTCCTGTTGAAAACCAGATGGGATGGCGTATCGCTGCAGAATGCTGTGGTAGCCATGCTGGTTAAGTGTGCCTTGAATTCTAAATAAATCACAGACAGTGTCACCAGCAAAGCACCCCCACACTATAACACCACCTCCTCCATGCTTTACGGTGGGAAATACACATGCGGAGGTCATCCGTTCACCCACACCGCGTCTCACAAAGACATGGCAGTTGAAACCAAAAATCTCCAATTTGGACTCCAGACCAAAGGACACATTTCCACCAGTCTAATGTCCATTGCTCGTGTTTCTTGGCCCAAGCAAGTCTCTTCTTCTTATTGGTGTCCTTTAGTAGTGGTTTCTTTGCAGCAATTCAACCATGAAGGTCTGATTCACTGAACAGTTGATGTTGAGAAGTGTCTGTTACTTGAACTCTCTGAAGCATTTATTTGGGCTGCAATTTCTGAGGCTGGTAACTCTAATGAACTTATCCTCTGCAGCAGAGGTAACTCTGGGTCTTCCATTCCTGTGGCGGTCCTCATGAGAGCCAGTTTCATCATAGCGCTTGATGGTTTTTGCGACTGCACTTGAAGAAACTTTCCGGATTGACTGACCTTCATGTCTTAAAGTAATGATGGACTGTCATTTCTCTTTTCTTATTTGAGCTGTTCTTGCCATAATATGGACTTGGTCTTTTACCAAATAGGGCTATCTTCTGTATACCCCTACCTTGTCACAACACAACTGATTGGCGCAAATGCATTAAAAAGGAAAGAAATTCCACAAATTAACTTTTAAGAAGGCACACCTGTTAATTGAAATGCATTCCTGGTGACTACCTCATGAAGCTGGTTGAGAGAATGCCAAGAGTGTGCAAAGCTGTCATCAAGGCAAAGGCTGGCTATTTGAAGAATATAAAATATAAAATATATTTTGATTTGTTTAACACTTTTTTTGTGGTTACTACATGATTCCATGTGTTATTTAATAGTTTTGATGTCTTCACTATTATTCTACAATGTAGAAAATAGTAAAAATAAAGAAAAACCCTTGAATGAGTAGGTGTTGTAAAACTTTTGACCGGTAGTGTACCTCCAAGTGAATACACCTTTCCATACTAACACACATACAGCATAGATGTACTGCATGCACCCACACTAAACAAACCAACCAACACTAGCTCTCTACACCTACATCCTCTACACATGCATGTTCACACACTCCCACGAAGACTGACAGATATGGCTACACACACCATGCATACATATTGTACAAACAGAAAGATAACAGATTGTATTAGAAGAATGTTTGTCTACTGTGGTTGAAAACAATGTATCCCAAATACACAGCATCCCACTGATCCCAGCACCAAAGCCATGACATCCCATCACTAGATAGAGTATGAACACTGAACAAGCACCACCACTGAATGGAGACTCAGTAGTGTTGTTGCTGTTTTGTGCTTCACCTCAATTGCAGAAAAGCGCAGAGGGAGGAGATCCCTGACAAAGCACAACCCACAGAGTCGACCTCCACCACCCCTGCCCCACCCAGCACACCTGCCCCGGCACCGCCCTCCACCACCACCACCACCTCCTCTAGCACCTCTTCCTCCTCCACGACTGTAACAACCACCCCTTCCTCCGCCCCCTCCAAAAAAATCAAGAAGAGGTTTGGGGACTTCTTCGCCTTCAAGAAAGGCCGTGCTGGCCAGGGGGCGAAGGGCGAGGTCAAAAAGACCTCCATTGCAGATCTAATCAGACCACTCAGGGAGGCAAAAGAGAAGGAAAAAGAGAGGGAACGAGAGAAAAAGGGGAAATTGGAAGAGGAGAGTGGTGCTAAGGCCACCAGTGTTAATGATTCTGATGCCACCACAACAGTAAGAGCAGCAGAGGACAACACCATGGCCCCCGCCACTCCCTCTGAAGTCCCCACCGCCTCCCTGCCCACCAGTGCCCACGCCCAAGAGGAGGTGTCCCCCAGCCCTGTCATCAGCCCTATCGGAGGGTTCCTGACGGAGAAGGAGAAGAGCAGGACCCCAGATGGAGAGAGGAGGCTGAAGGCCACACGGCGCACCCTCAGGGACGGCAAGTCCCAGTCCCTCATCCTGCTGACAGGCCTGGAGGATGGCACTGCCACACATGGAAAGGTAGGTACCACTCTGCACTGGTCAGAAAGCACATAGAACCAATCTGTAATAAACAAAATGCACATAATTTAGATATGCTTTTGGTCATCCTTTTTCAGAAACACGCATCTGAGAGCACATCCAGCCTTGAGCAGCGCCTCCACGTCATGCTCCACCGCATGGGGGTGGCCAAGACACCACCTGCAGACACAAAGACCAGCCAGGTGCGTGTGTGTGTTCTCTAGTTGATTATTATGTTCTGAGCCCCCAGCTGTAGTGGGTTTCATTTAGGATAACAGTACCTTTGTGACATTCTTGTAATGTGGCATACCTGATAGTGAAGCTGTGACAGCCTTGGTATTGTAAAGGATTTAATAGGGCTTATCCACTGCAGCCTGCATTTTCAGTCCAGGTAGGAGCACATAGGAGGATAACTCAAGAATAACATTCTCGTATATCGCCTTGTAGAACAAAGAAGAGGAGCTGAGGAAAGCCAACTCCGAGGGTAAGACTCTCCCCACTCCTCCTCAGCTGTGTATCTGGGACTTCCTGTTCTTAGCTCCTCTACACACTGTATGTAGGAGAGACTGGGGTTGGTTGTCACACTTACTAATTAGTGCATTTCTCGCAGGTTGATGTTTACTGTCATGAATCTTGTCCTGGAGGCAGAACTGAGTGATTTCCCCTTAGATAGGCCAGCTGCAAAGTCAGAATTGGCTATGTTGTAAAAATTCATGATAACAAATTAGCTTTTTGTCTTAATTTAAGGTTAGGGTTAGGCATTAGGATTAGCCGTGTGGTTAAAGTTAGTGTTAAGGTTAGGGTTAGGTTTAAAATCAGATTGTATGACTTTGTGGCTGTGCCAGCTAGCGACCCCTTACGGAAATGAAATATATTGAAGATGTCTTTTTCATCATATATCTTAAAGCATATTATATATTTTCAGAAATAAATTCTTTGGTATATTGTAAACATGTAATTGTTTGATATATTGTAATATACTATAATATATCTAAATATATTACAAAATATGCAAGTAACTGCCGCTTTAAGATATAACAGTATATTATAAAATGTGTTGTGATATATTATAATATACTGTATCTATCAATATTAGCCATAATGACAAAAATATATCAAGCATTATAATGATTATTATTTTAGATTAAAGCGCCAACAGTGCAGGTGTGAATGAAACAATAATACATAAATGAAATAATATATACAGTTGAAGTTGGAAGTTTACATACACTTAGGTTGGAGTCATTAAAACTAGTTTTTCAACCACTCCACACATTTCTTGTTAACAAACTATAGTTTTGGAAAGTCGGTTAGGGCATTTACTTTGTGAATGACCCAAGTAATTTTTCCAACAATTGTTTACAGACAGAGTATTTCACTTATAATTCACTGTATCACAATTCCAGTGGGTCAGAGGTTTACATACACTAAGTTGACTGTGCCTTTAAACAGCTTGGAAAATTCCAGAAAATGATGTCATGGCTTTAGAAACTTCTGATAGGCTAATTGACATCATTTGAGTCAATTGGAGGTGTACCTGTGGATGTAGCTTGACATCATGGGAAAATCAAAAGAAATCTGCCAAGACCTCAGAAATGTTTTTGTAGACCTCCACAAGTCTGGTTCATCCTTGGGAGAAATTTCCAAACGCCTGAAGGAACCACGTTCATCTGTACAAACAATAGTACGCAAGTATAAACACCATGGGACAACGCAGCCGTCATACCCCTCAGGAAGGAGACGCGTTCTGTCTCCTAGAGATGAACGTACTTTGGTGCGAAAAGTGCAAATCAATCCCAGAACAACAGCAAAGGACCTTGTGAAGATGCTGGTGGAATCAGGTACAAAAGTATCTATATCCACAGTAAAACGAGTCCTATATCGACATAACCTGAAAGGCTGCTCAGCAAGGAAGAAGCCACTGTTCCAAAACCGCCATAAAAAAGCCAAACTACGGTTTGCAACTGCACATGGGGACAAAGTTCGTACTTTTTGGAGAAATGTCCTCTAGTCTGATGAAACAAAAATAGAACTGTTTGGCAATAATGACCATCGTTATGTTTGGAGGAAAAAGGGGGTAGCTTGCAAGCCGAAGAACACCATCCCAACCGTGAAGCACGGGGGTGGCAGCATCATGCTGTGGGGGTGCTTTGCTGCAGGAGGGACTGGTGCACTTCACAAAATAGATGGCATCATGAGGAAGGAAAATGATGTGGATATATTGAAGCAACATCTCAAGACATCAGTCAGGAAGTTAAAGCTTAGTCGCAAATGGGTCTTCCAAATGGACAATGACCCCAAGCAATCTTCCAAAGTTGTGGCAAAATGGCTTAAGGACAACAAAGTCAAGGTATTGGAGTGGCCATCACAAAGCCCTGACCTCAATCCTATAGAACATTTGTGGGCAGAACTGAAAAAGCTTGTGCGAGCAAGGAGGCCTACAAACCTGACTCAGTTACACCAGCTCTGTCAGGAGGAATGGGCCAAAATTCACCCAACTTATTGTGGGAAGCTTGTGGAAGGCTACCCGAAACATTTGACCCAAGTTAAACAATTTAAAGGCAATGCTACCAAATACTAATTGAGTGTATGCAAACTTCTGACCCACTGGGAATGTGATGAAATAAATAAAAGCTGAAATAAATCATTCTCTCTACAATTATTCTGACATTTCACATTCTTAAAATAAATTGTTGATCCTAACTGACCTAAGACAGGGAATTTTTACTAGGATTAAATGTCAGGAATTGTGAAAAATTGAGTTTAAATGTATTTGGCTAAGATGTATGTAAACTTCCGACTTCAACTATACATACAGTGAGGGAAAAAAGTATTTGATCCCCTGTTGATTTTGTACGTTTTCCCACTGACAAAGACATGATCAGTCTATAATTTTAATGGTAGGTGTATTTGAACAGTGAGAGACAGAATAACAACAAAAAAATCCAGAAAAACGCATGTCAAAAATGTTATAAATTGATTTGCATTTCAATGAGGGAAATAAGTATTTGACCCCTCTGCAAAACATGACTTAGTACTTGGTGGCAAGAGTATGTTTAACTCGAACGTTCAGCTCCCTCCACAGATTATCTATGGGATTAAGGTCTGGAGCCTGCTTAGGCCACTCCAGGACCTTAATGTGCTTCTTCTTGAGCCACTCCTTTGTTGCCTTGGCTGTGTGTTTTGGGTCATTGTCGTGCTGGAATACCCATCCACGACCCATTTTCAATGCCCTGGCTGAGGGATTTGACGGTACATGGCCCCGTACATCGTCCCTTTGATGCGGTGAAGTTGTCCTGTCCCCTTAGCAGAAAAACACCCCCAAAGCATGTTGTTTCCACCTCCATGTTTGACGGTGGGGATGATGTTCTTGGGGTCATAGGCAGCATTCCTCCTCCTCCAAACACGGCGAGTTGAGTTGATGCCAAAGAGCTCCATTTTGGTCTCATCTGACCACAACACTTTCACCCAGTTCTCCTCTGAATCATTCAGATGTTCATTGGCAAACTTCAGACGGGCCTGTATATGTGCTTTCTTGAGCAGGGGGACCTTGCGGGTGCTGCAGTCCTTCACAGCGTAGTGTGTTACCAATTGTTTTCTTAGTGACTATGGTCCCAGCTGCCTTGAGATCATTGACAAGATCCTCCCGTGTAGTTCTGGGCTGATTCCTCACCGTTCTCATGATCATTGCAACTCCACGAGGTGAGATCTTGCATGGAGCCCCAGGCCGAGGGAGATTGACAGTTATTTTGTGTTTCTTCCATTTGCGAATAATCACACCAACTGTTGTCACCTTCTCACCAAGCTGCTTGGCAATGGTCTTGTAGCCCATTCCAGCCTTGTGTAGGTCTACAATCTTGTCCCTGACATCCTTGGAGAGCTCTTTGGTCTTGGCCATGGTGGAGAGTTTGGAATCTGATTGATTGATTGCTTCTGTGGACAGGTGTCTTTTATACAGGTAACAAGCTGAGATTAGGAGCACTCCCTTTAAGAGTGTGCTCCTAATCTCAGCTCGTTACCTGTATAAAAGACACCTGGGAGCCAGAAATCTTTCTGATTGAGAGGGGGTCAAATACTTATTTCCCTCATTAAAATGCAAATCAATTTATAACATTTTTGACATGCGTTTTTCTGGATTTTTTTGTTGTTAGTCTGTCTCTCACTGTTCAAATAAACCTACCATTAAAATTATAGACTGATCATTTCTTTGTCAGTGTGCAAACGTACAAAATCAGCAGGGGATCAAATACTTTTTTCCCTCACTGTATTTACAACTGTGATAATTATAAATATAAATGTCCATTGGGGTGTGGGGAGGGGAATTGTCCATTGGGGGAGGGGGGGTGGATTAAATGTCCATAGAGGGAGCAGAGGGGCGGTTTGGGTAGGAGTAGTGACTAGCAGTGTTGCCAACTTAGCGACTTTGTCACTATATTTAGCGAGTTTTCAGACCCCTCTAGCGACACATTTTCAAAAAAGCGACTAGCAACAAATCTAGCGAAAAAACATTTTCTGGTGTTATTGGAGACTTTTAGAGACACTGACGTGAAAGCACGTATCGTTCTTACTCTTCTCAACGAGCAGCGGGTGCTGCCGTGGGCCCCACCCCTGTCCCAAAGCACTCACAGGCGTCCCAGTCCTCGCGCAGAAGTCCCTACCAGCTGCAGTCAGAGCAGGAGAAGTTCACCCCTCCACGTCCAGACTGCAAATGAATCGCGCATGCGGGAAGCCGCCGCTGGCTCATCCCGCCCTAGCTTACATTCAGGGCGGGATGTAAATGTAGGGTGTTTTTTACTCACTTTTTGTCTCTCCCACAACGTTATTCCTACAGCATCCATCACAATTACATGCACATGGCCAATTATGCAAATTAGGTTGAAGACAAGGAATGCTTTTCAATCAGGAACAGGTGTGCGTGTGTGTGAATGTTGCTGATTCTGTCGGAGTCGCATGACTTACAGTTTTGACAAGCGGGTCCGGACCGGACCAAAACAGAACCAATCATAGACATCCATGTTTCCCATGTTTTGACAGCACATTATACAGTAGAGCACAGCTGAGTACAGGAAAGAAAAGTAGTGTATTCCGTAGAGTACAGTAGAGTATAGTTCAGTACAGTAGAGCACAGTAGGGTACAGTAAAGTAGAGTATAGTACAGTAGAGTACACCACAGTAGGGTAGAGTACAATATGTATTGTATCTCAACTGTACTGTACTCCTAATGTACTGTACTCTACTGAATTAAACTCAACTGCACTGTACTGTACTCTGCTGAATTCAACTCTACTGGACTGGACTATGCTGTGCTGTTCAAAGTTGTGGAACATAGATGTCTTTTCAATGTCCGGAAAACAAGTATTCTAGGCATCTTTTCAATGTCATTTAGCTTTATTGGGTACATTGTTACAATGGGGATGGTTGTGACAAGCAACCCAAACATCAATGTGACAACCATTCCCAACCTTAATTAGCATGCTAATTTAGATGCTAGTTACCACATGGCTTGATCTAGGAACTCACAAATAGGCTTGACATAAAGCTCTCCCTTTCCTCTTATCAATAAATGTAATTGTTTATGAATACTCCCATCATACAACTATTTATTAAATAAATAACAAGCATATGAATATTTACTTTCACAGATGAAAAATGCAATTATTCCTCTCACCTCAACTGTTGAATTGTAGACTGTCAAGTAAAAGTGTTGCTGTGACACTAGTGATGTGATTTGACAGTAGATGCTAGTATAATGTAAAATGCAGTTGTTGGGTTTTATCCTGCCTCTTGAGTAACCATTGAAATAATAGATAATTTTCTAACTAATTTTGATTTGATAGAAATTGAAAAACTGTGCTTATTTCTGTAACATTCACCTTCAGATGGTAAAGGCCAGTGAGAAGACCAGTGAGGTAAAGGCCATCAGATAAATCAATCCTACATCTATAAATAAATAAAGTGATACCTGGAGTTGACCCTAAGGTTAGAGCAGGCCAGAGAGGCTCATGGGAGGTCAGAGCTACACACAGGCCAGCCTGGGAGTCACTCAGTGCTGGAGGTCAAAGGTCAGTTCACACATCCACTCAGAAGGAAACTCGGCACTATCAGCCAATGGCTTGTACTCTAAAGGTGACAGTGACAGCTCCCTTAGATGTATTTTGTGTGGATTTGTTAGTTTCTTTGTGTGTCAGGCTGCTTCAATTATGGTGGGGCTCATAGTATGTATAGGTGAACCTACCAGTTTTCTATAATCTTCTCCTCTTTCTCAGGTGCAATTCTTGACAAAAAAACGGAACCTCCACCCACGTTCATGAAGCCTCGCACTATGTCCACATCAGCTTCAGGTAATTCTGACACTTAAAGCTGGTGAATGGATGTCCATGTAATAAATCCATCCATACTCTAAACCATTATGTAAATGTTATGTTGCAGTAATGACTTCAGTGTACCTCCCTTCTCTCCTCAGACACCAGGCGGCCAATCAGAGCAGGCGTAACACCTCTGGAGGCTATCCGAACAGATAAGCCCCTCCTCCCAGGACGTCACATCGGCCCCCTCCCTCCCAAGCCCACAGTGGCAGCCAAACCCCCTCTCCCAGCCCCCCAGCAGCACCCTGCTGCCGCTAGGACGTCCCCGGGGTTTCCCCAGCAGCCAAGCAAAGCCACAGGCCCGGAGAACCAGCCAACAAAGCCAGAGCCCTCCCAGACCCACCCCCAGCAGAGGGAACCCCCCTGCCCCTCCCCCCGCAAGGAGACTCCCCCTGCCCCATCGCCACGCAGGGGACCCTCTGCCCTGGAGAGCAGGGAGCGCTCTGAGAGAGCACAATCAGTTACTGAAGGTACACTTATATACAGTCCTCACCTCTCTTCTTAACAGGGCAGAATTTTGTTATCCTTGGTGACAAAATATATGAGCAGCGTTGGTGTTTTTCTGTCTGTGCAGAAAAAGTTAGTTTGTATTTGTCTCTTCTCTTTGTCTCTCCCACTCTCTTTGATTATTTGTCTTCCATTATGAGCTTAATATGAAATAATGCAAGATCAGTGAATGCTCAGAGAATAATAACTACTTCAGTGTCTCTCTCTGTTTTCTATATACTGTAATCGTTTGTGGATGCCAGCTCCTAATGCACTTGTCTGTATTGGAAAGATTGTTTTACACAATCAAACAGAGCTGAGATCAATTCTGGGAGTCCATTTGCCAGAAGTTGGACTGGATTGGTTTTGACTCAACAATGCATAATTTGAATGACTGAATTACTTGATTTTACAGTGTATTTCCCAAGTGCTCAAAGCATTTTACATTAAGAAGGGGGGAACTCCCTTCATCCACCACCAATATTTAGCACCCACTCCTCTGATGTTATTTGGGTCCAGATTATGGCAGAGGATGGCATCCCAAACGTGTTGGGTAGTGCAATGCCTGGTCTGGTCTTTTTGAATGTCATTGTGACTCAAGTGTCAAGTGCCTAAACCCACCTCCAGTTATGTTGTGTGTGATTGTGTATCTGAGTCCTGTGTGTCTTGGTCGTCCCCTAGAGAGCCTTCCTAAACCCCGGCCCCGCATGAAGCCCTCTCCCCAGCGGAGAGCTGTGTCTGTCTACGAGGACTCTCTCCTCCGAGAACATGCTGCTCTGCTGGACCCCGAAGGTGAGCTCAGCAGCAGAGAGAGAGAGCACCTGGATACCACAGGCTACTACAGAGGATCAGAGCCATATACAAAGCCTATACTGTATTTACATTTACGCCATTTAGCAGACGCTCTTATCCAGAGCAAAAGTATTCACACCTCTTGACCTTTTCCACATTTTGTTGTGTTACAGCCTGAATTTAAAATGTATTAAATTTAGATTTTGTGTCAATGGCCTACACACAATACGCCATAATGTCAAAGTGGGAAAACATTGTTTTTAGACATTTTTACAAATTCATTAACAATTAAAAGCTGAAATGTCTTGAGTCATTAAGTATTCAACCCCTTTGTTATGGCAAACCTAAATAAGTCCAGGAGTAAATATTTGCTTAACAAGTCACATAATAGCATGGATTCACTCTGTGTTCAATAATAGTGTTTAACATTATTTTTGAATGACTACCTCATCTCTGTACCCCACACATACAATTATCTGTAAGGTCCCTCAGTCGAGCAGTGCATTTCAAACACAGATTAGATCACAAAGACCAGGGAGGTTTTCCAATGCCTTGCAATATGCCCAGTCACTACCAAGATACAGGCATCCTTCCTAACTCAGTTTCCGGAGGAAAGAAACCGCTCAGGGATTTCACCATGAGGCCAATGGTGACTTTGAAGTAGTTACAGAGTTGAATGGCTGTGATAGGAGAAAACTGAAGATGGATCAACAACATTGTAGTTACTCCACAATACTAACCTAAATGACAGAGTGAAAAGAGGGAAGCCTGTACAGAATAAAACATATTCCAATACATGCATCCTGTTTGCAATAAGGCACTAAAGTAAAACTGCAAAAAATGTGGCAAAGAAAATAACTGTCATGAATACAAAGTGTAATGTTTGGGGCAATTCCAACAAAACACCAATGAGTACCACTCTTCATATTTTCAAGCATGGTGGTGGCTGCATCATGTTATGCTTGTCATTGGCAAGGACAAGGGATTTTTTTTGGATATAAATAAACGAAATAGAGCTAAGCACAGGCAACATCCTAGAGGAAAACCTGGTTCAGTCCACTTTCCAACAGACACTGGGAGACAAATTCACCTTTTTAGCAGGACAAAAACCTAAAACACAAGGCCAAATATACACTGTAGTAGCTTACCAATTTCATTTATTTTATTTTACCTTACCTTTATTTAACCAGGTAAGCCAGTTGAGAACAAGTTCTCATTTACAACTGCGATCTGGCCAAGATAAAGCAAAGCAGTGCGATAAAAACAACAACAACCAAGATGACAGTGAATGTTCCTGAGTGGCCTAGTTACAGTTTTGACTTAAATCGGCTTGAAAATCTATGGCTAGACTTGAAAATAGCTGTCTAGCAAGGTTCAACAGCCAACTTGACAGAGCTTGAAGAATTTCTTAAAGAATAATGTGCAAATATTGTACAATCCAGGTGTGCAAGCTCTTAGACTTGCCAAAGGTGATTCTAACATGTATAGACTCAGGTGTGTGTCAAATACATAGAAAATCCTAGCTGTGTTCATAGATGTCCTGCTACACTTTGGATCTGAGGTAAATTCATGAGGCAGGTTGTTTGTCTTTCTTCTCCCTCTCAGAGCTGAAGGCAGCATTGCCTCGGTTGCAGAGGTCACCAGTCCAGAAACGTGCCAACCTTGGGGAGCTCCCTACCTGTAGTGAGGACCAGCCTGAGGGGAAGGAGGGTGAGTAAGGGGGTGTTAGAGTAAAATCCTCAGTGTAAAAATCTTCACAATTACATTTTGTGAGGATATTTACACTGAGGGTTTCAATGGGGGGGGGGGATAATAAGTTACTAAATAAAAATGGTTTGAAAGGGAGATTTTAAGATGAGTGTATGGCTGTAAATGGATGCTCTTTTTGAGGCATTGTGCCAAATGTAGAAAATGTTTGGGGCCTTGGGCTAATGGGCATATGCCCACTTGCTCCCCTTCTCTCTGCTTTGTCCTCCACTGTTGTTCTGTAATGATAATAATAACTCACCCATCAGGCCCTCAGCACCACATACACTGTAGTGCAATTACCATTCTATTACATCTCATATACTTGTTAGCATTCTGACACAAGGATATTCATCACAATTTTCTGGCAAATCACCTTCAATTACAGGCATGGAGGAGGACTGGATATCAGGTCCTCTATGGTAGAATTAATGTGACAGATTTATTAAAGTGATGCTTCATCATTATGCCGACAAGCCTCAGTCAATATCTACCTTACAGCATGCTCTAGAGTGCAGATATTAACGTCTAGAATAACCTTGTTTTGGATTAAACAGAAATGACTTCTTGAATGATAATAATCTAATCAAGAAACATTTTTTATTTTTCTGTTCAATTTTGATAGGTTTATCTTTGTCTGTAAAAAAGGCAGGTTCTGTCTTGTTCTCTGTTGTCTTTGAGATTGAAAATCTAATCTCTGCTGTGTTTTATTAATAATCCAAACAGCAGGTGAAGCAGAGGAGAAGGAGAGGACTGGCGAGGGTGAGGAGATGGACAGCTGGCCAGTAACAGAGGACAAGCCAGGGCCAAGCCCAGTGGGGGCCAGTCAGGGAGAGAGCACAGCAGAGAAGAGGGGAGAGACTGTCTCACAGCAGCACACAGCACAGGCAGAAACATCAGACCAAAGAACTGAACCCCCCTTACCGGAGACACACATGGATTGACCTGCGCATAGTCTATTTTCTATCATGTCTACCTTTGCCTTGCACGCCAGATTATTTAAAAAAGAAAATAATTATAAACAAAATGTTTTAAAAATAGTAAATCCATACCTATACTTGTTAATTATTAAAAAGTTGATTCTGAAGTGTCATTAAGTGCACTGTCCTCCCTGCTTTAATTTGATGCACAAAGCTACAAAACAATTCACTAGGATAATAAGACCTTGGTTAATTCATTTATCAAATATTCAGCAGTGTTTTGCCTGAAGTGCATGGAAAACATGAAACAGCCAGGGAAACAGATATTAGCTCAGTTCTCAGTGATGATCATATAAAGCGCCAGGCTGTCTCATGGTGCATGCCAGGAATACATGGAGTACAGCCTGGATACGGTTGCCCCCTCGTGATGAGTCATCTGTGTGTAGTTTCTCCTTGGTAACGCCACATTACTCCCTCCGTCCGCCACAGAGCCATGCTGCTGCTGGGAGTTGGCTAGTGGAGGCAGTAAAGGCACAGGAGTGCCATCTGTGTGTGTGTATGGAGAGGCAGAAAGATGGAGCAGGAGATAATCAGTGAGGGAGGTCTATACTCTATACACACTACTCTGGTGTCATGCAGTATTGTAAAAATTAGTTGAAGTCAGTCTGGTGGAAATCAATACACTACTCAAATGATTATAATGTCAACTTTTTTATTACATGAAAATATTAACAATTGGCACTTAATTTATTGTAATAAAATCAACCTTGTAAAAACAAAATCCATGGATTCAAATCACATGGTAAATAAAGAGCATTAACTTATTGAAAACAAGACAAACCAACTAGCTATAAAACAGTAGTGTGCAGTCATGCTACAATGAGGAAAGTTTAAGAACTTTAGAAAAATAAACTTTCTGTGGAATTGAGGTGTCCAAGGCTCAGATAAGCAGAGCATGGCTTTCAACATCACCCCTCATGATACTGCCAGAAAGTAAACCAGCTCTAGCCTGCTGCTGAGAAACTTTAATCACCACAAATGTCTACATTACAATAATGATTCATTACCCAATAGTGTTATCGCCAAGCCAACCTTAAAATATCCTAATTTGTTCCTATAACCAGTCCACCACACTAGTGTTTTGAAAAATGATGTTTTTTTTTTTTTATTACTGCTCTCAATCCACCCCTTGTATCATTACTGCATTTATAATGACCACTACACTGACGCCACTAATCTGCTGATCGTTTTGGACAATCTGCATGCAGCCATGCTGAATAATAAAACAAACATTTTAGTTTAACTGTAAATAATGCTTGATTTCGCTAGTCTTTGCTACTCTTGGCTTGGAATAGAGATCTCTGCAAAGCTGTGCTTTTCTATGGTGGTATGGGAATTTGACCTTGTCCTTATACACGACTCCAGATTTATACTCAAGATACACTGTCAAAATCCTTAATTAAAGTAGGATTTTGGGACATGGGGGCTTTCAGTTCAAACTAAATCAGTTGTACATTTTGTATTCGGTTCTCTTTGGTAAAGGTTTAAGAAATTCCACAAGGGATTTTAAGGAAATTAGATTCACATTCATGGTTTAGTGAGGTTGCCTCTTATTCCTTTAGCATAATCAATGCCAAAGTAACAATATATTATACTGTTCACCTTAACACCATCAAGGCCAACATAAAATTAACAAAAACTGAGCAATGCTGCAAAGGTTCTTGAAAGAGAAACAGTTATAAGCGCATTGACGCCACCAGTGAACCAAGAGCAGTCTGCAACTGTTTTGTGTTGAGATTTCACTCAAAGAAGTATGTTGCATACACACTGGATTTAACCCACTGATCAACCATCTGAAAATACCCTAATATGGAAAAATAGTATTTAACGAGAATAAAATACATGAATCAACTCTTCCTTATGGCATGGGTATTCAACTCTTACCCTACGAGGTCCGGAGCCTGATGGTTTTCTGTTCTACCTGACAATTAATTGCACCCTCCTAATGTCCCAGGTCTAAATCAGTCCTTGATTAGAAGGGAACAATTTAAAAAATGAAGTGGAACTGGCTTTGAGGTCCAGAGTTGAGTTTTGAGGGCCCTATGGTTTGCTCAGCAACATACAGAGAGATTGGGTACTTACAACTTTCCTCCTCCTCATTGCCTCTATGCTTACAGAATAAGCTGGAATGGGCTTAAATATTATGTACAAACTTTTTTTTACACACCACAAGTAGGAATGTTAAAGTATGGCCAATCTATCTCTAATGCTATAAAATACATGTGGAAATAACAAAGCTTAAAGTTGTAGCTATGTCTGACTTAAATATTTAAATGTCAATACCAGTGTCATATCATCAAGCACTGTGCCTCATTGTAAAGACATCACACCTCAGTCAAGACATTGTATTAAGATGAATGATTTGTGGAGGAACAGAACAGAGAATGCGCTCCTTTAATGTTTCTCTAAAGGCATGCAGGCTCAGACATGTATAGGCTAGTCTTTTACAGGCCGTTGAACAGTAAAACTTGGGAGTTTACTCAACCAAATTGTAGAGCGCTATTTTTCTGCATTCTGGAATGTTTCATTCTCAGCCATGTGTATGATACATATATAACACACAAAATGAGAAGGCCAGTTCAGAGTATAGTGCCACAGCAACACACACAACAATCTGAATGAAAACTAACACAGATTGAAGAAGACAGAGCCTCTGGTCAGCCCTGAAATATACCACTTTGGAAAATAATCATGTATCAAACAAAGAGTCATCCGGTAACGGTTATAGAAAATAAGGCCTCTGAAGGAACAGCTGTGTCTTGCATATGCCGTCCTGCTGATTGCATGTTCTCTCCCCCTCACACTCTCCCTCCTTTAAATCCTGTGTCCTAGTGCTAGAGTGTAGCTAGGACTCTGAAGAAGGAGATTATGAGAACACAGAAGGACTGGCCCACTCCAAACACCAAGGCCTCCAAGGAGATCATCCTTTTCCCTGCTGCTTTGTACACCCCAGCTATGGCGGCACCTACAAGCACAAAGAACATTTTTGCTTTTAGCAATGTATAAAATAATTTGAACATCATGGCTTTGAGCACTGACTTGATGAGTAGTGATGTCTATGTGTACAATAATGTTTATGGCTTATCAGAAGATGAGGTGAATAACTCACTGGTGAGGACACCGCCACACACAAGGCCCATGATGCCCATCAGTAGGATGGCGATGGGCATGAAGCGGGCCATCTTGTGTTGTCGCAGGGTGGCGAGGGCCAGGAGAGCAGCGGGGAGGTGGAACACCAGTGAAGAGACGGCAGCCCACAAAAAGACTCCATACCACATCTCTGAGAGAAAGAGCAGAGGGAGTGAGGCAACTGATGGAAGTAAGTGTAGTCAGGTAGCCTTGCGGTTAAGGGCGTTGGGCCAGTAACCAAAAGGTCGCTGGTTTGAATCCAAGCTGGCTAGGTGAAAAATCTGTCGATGTGCCCTTGAGCAAGGCACTTAACCCTAACTGTTCCTGTAAGTCACTCTGGATATGAGCGTCTGCTAAATGACTAAAATGTAAATAAATAAAAATGCTAGCATATCATGATATAACAGAGCTATGTTTAGCATTTCCATTTAAACGGACCCATGAGCACCAACAGGTGAAGTTCATAGCAGCATGTCATATGAATGCTAAGAGTGTTTATTTTATTAAGGCATATAACATTTTCCAACCAATTTCCATCCTAAAGTTAGGAATAAGCAAAGGCTTTGATTTCTGGTCAAACAAATGGAAAATGGGTCTTAAAAAACATCTACCAGAAAAAGTATTTCAAGTTATTAGAAATACATCAAAACACAATGTTGAAGACCCCTGCCTAATATCAACATTTATATTTCGTTTTGGATAAATTAATTGCCTTTGTAAGTTAAACAAATAGTGCCTAGTGTCCTGTAATTCTGTTACCAAAAACTGACATACAGTGCCATGAAAAAGTATTTGCCCCCTTTCTGATTCTCTCAATAAATCCGAACCAATCATAGACGTCTAGTTCCAGAAGTTTGGACAGCCCAGTAAAGAAAGGTATAGTTCAGTATAGTAGAGCACACTAGAGTAGAGTACAGTATTATACTCTACTGTACTGTGCTTTACTATGATGTCCAAACTTGTGAAACTTAAAAGTCTATGATTGATACAGATCTGGTCCGGTCCGGACCAAATGTAGTCTTGTTCGGGGGCAGAGCTCATTAAAATAATAGCCAGTTTGTAGAATAATACCCAAATATGCATGATATTGCATATTTCTAACCTTTGTGTACCTAAGTAATCTAGCTAGTCCTTCTGCATTGAGTTGTATGGTTTTTGTTTGGCGTACATTTTAAAGTGAAACATCAGCGTTTCAGCGTCATTCTGTTACCAAGGAATTGCCCAGAGGTTACATCAGGGTTTCCCAAACTCGTTGCACGTTTTCTGTTTTTGCCCTAGCACTACACAGCTGATTCAAATAATAAACTAATCATCAAGCTTTGATAATTTGAATCAGCTGTGTAGTGTTAGGGCAAAAACTAAAACGTTCACCGAGCTTGGGAAACGCTGGGTTAGACAGACATTACACGCATGCCTGTTGTCTCTGACACGTCTTCTGAATTCAATACTATTATTTAGCATTCTCTCTGTATTCATTATGTAAAACTGACCCCTACATAACCCTGCGAAATAATCTAAGCTGCTAAAGATGACACATTATATAAATCTCTCACACACAGTAATCTGGAGAATAATATTTCCCTCACAAACACATTACACTTTCTCTCAAATACCATTGGTGGCTAATATATGGATTAACGTTAGGGGCAATTTAAAACCGTCTGCTTTGTACAATAGCTAATATTGTTATTGCAAGCTGGCTAGCTAGCACTTGATTAGCTACTTACTGTACTTGTTTATTAACGTTCACAATAGCTAACGTTAGCTATGTTAATTTAGCTTACTTGCTAGTAGTAACTAGCTAGCTACGTTAAATCGGTTAACTGGCTTAACGAAACATTCACTTTACAAGGTTTACGGCGAATACTGTTAGACTGGCTACAACAGAGAGAGGCTGTAGATTGAATCTTACCTGAGAAGTCGCTAAGCGATGTGTCGTTGCCTCGATTGGTGCCATTTTTCCTTGGGACCAAATTCAAGCTAAGAATTTGCTGAACAAACCCAATGTCGTTATATCCGTTCTGCATGTCTTATGCACAGGACACCACGAGCATGCGTGAGAGACCACGAATATCCGAATAACACCATGAGAACATTAATGTTGGATCTAGCAAGTCCACAGGTGTTGGGTTAGTTGATCTTCCTGAATATATATGTTTGCTAGCTACTCTGTAGCTTGATGTCAACACGACTTGGTTTGACGTCACGCCGTTAACAGACTCAGAGGGCCACAAAAAGGATTTCATAATTTTAATAAGCTAGCTAGCTAGCTTGTTGAACACAATTTCAAAAGCGCATTAACATGTACAAATATAATAATGCAATCGATAATGAAAACGGTATTTATTTTCCAACAATAAAGACGCGATAAGCCCGTCGTTCTTAACGATTTGTTGATCCTGTGGACTTGCCTTAGTAAAACAGGAAGTGACAACAGCTACCATAGAATTACACAATGATCGATTTAGATCCGCGCTCCTTTCTGTAGCTAGTCAACAAAGCCACACGTTTTCATAGTGTAGAAACTTGTTGAGTATTTGTTCGTTAATTTAGTTGTAGCTGTAATAAGCTATACAGCTAGAAACATTTGATAGCTTTCTCAGTTATTTTGTAACTGTGTGATAGCTATAGCCAGGGTTTGTCAGACAAACGGTGAGACAACCTGTGCTTTGTAACTTGCTGTAGCCAGCTATACATTCCCTGCTGTGTTTACTGTTGGTAGAACGTGTAGGCTCTTTCTGGAGGGGAAATTATGAATTACTCAGATTATGATTCCGATGGCTATTCTTCAAATGAAGATCAAGACTATGTCCCATCTGGTAAGGTTACTTCCACAAGCAGATATAAATGCAGTTGATAAGATATTTTATTACACGTGAGAGAGAATCATAACCCCCGTACACATTAGCTATGCACTGTAGGTGTCATGTTTTTCATGTATGTTTCTTGATGAAAGCTACTCTATTTGTCATTCAATTCAAGTCTTCTTATCATGGTTGTGTGATTGAATGACAGATGACAACCTCAGTGAAGATGACATGAATGAATGTGTGAAAGAGGATGGTCTGGAAGGGGATGACCAGCGTGGCCATCAGTCTGATAATGTCACCAAGAAGAAAAATAAGAAAGGCCAACACATTGGCATGAGGTGAGTGATTCAACACTTTAGTGTTTGGCTCAGTTTTTAGACCAATGGTGTGCAGTGATTGCTTTGTTTTGCTCTGTTTTTATTGTACATTCCATGTTGTTAGTCTGCTGGAATTGGTGGATGACAATGTACTATCAGCTTTTTACATTCTTTTCCTACCGCACTCTTTGTCGATCCTCATAGGAAAAGAAAGAAAGGAGGACTGAAGTTAGAGGAGACAGAGCATGATGGCAGTGTGGAGGATCAGAAGGTAGAGCGGGAGGGGGAGGAGAGAGAGTTTTCTGCTCCCAGGCCCAAGAAGGAGGAGGATGAAGAAAAAAAGAAGAAGAAAGTAGATGATTTGTGGGCCAGTTTTCTGAGTGATGTTGGTCACAAATCCAAGCCACCTACTCCAGTGCTGCAGGCTACTACTAAACAGCAGGTATTGCACCAAATATACAAACTCCTGGCCCGAAGTGACACACCAGGCATATGATAGTTGGAACCTGGGTTCCTGTTACAGTTTGGTAGCTGTGCATGTTTTTTGCATTGGAATCAAGTTTTCAGTCTTAGGAACACTACTCTGATGTCTAATACCTGTTTTGTTTTACTATCTCCACCAGGCTCCACCCACAGACAGTCCGAAAAAGCCAATTTCGGCTCCATCAGAACCTCAACAACCAGAACCTAAACCTAAAGAGCCCTCTAAAGTCACCATCACTAAGGTGTTTGACTTTGCTGGGGAAGAGGTCCGGTAAGTTTAGACCACTGGTGGACTACGCACATACCGGTAGCTTTACACTCTTTGACCACCTGATGGCAGTGTAACCTAACAGTTGAAACCTTCACTTTGTTCCTGAGAAAGTGTCTGCATTCCACAGCATACTGGCGCAATTAGACTTCTGAGTTACAACACCAAATGTCAGTTTACAGGACTCGGAAAGTGTTTTTACTTAGTCAGGGTCTCACCAGTAGTAGTATCTATATATAATATGAAGCACATTAAAGGACTTTCTTTATTTTCTATGAAATCCCTAATTATTGCAATATATCATTACTGTTGCACACAGGCAACTATAACCCAGACCCTAATGGAGCAATCCCCTTAAGGAATGTATTCCCAGAGGATGTACTGATTGACCTTAATATTGGACTGGTCTCCTCCACAGTGGTGCATGGGCACATCCTATCCCTGTCATTAAGTCCTATTTGAGAAGAGAGGACAGTATGAATTTTTTTTTTTTAAGTATGCACTCACAGGTAAGTCGCTCTGGATAAGAGCGTCTGCTAAAATGACTTAAATGTAAAAATGTATTATATCTGATGGAGTGCAGTGTGTGTTGAGGAATTTAGATGCTGTATCATCCACTACACTCCAGGTCGGCACTAGCCTTTTGGGGGCCCTAAGAGAGATTTGGGGGCCCCACACCTCGCGGCAAAACATTTTAGTGGCCCCTCTCTTGACGCAAAATATATATTTTTTCATTTTAAAGTAACTTTCCTTTAATTCTACACATTTTGCCATTGGCGGAGAGAAAATTTAGCAATTATATAGCACATTTAATGCAATTCTACTCATTTTGTCATGGGACATAGAGACAAAATGTGCCGTTTTACAGCTAATTTCCTGCAATTCTAAAATACCACTTTTTTACCAGCAAATTATCATAATCCATCGGCTAATTTGTCAAGTTTCACTTATTTTTGAGCTAGTCTGTATTAAAACAATATGACCATTTTATAAATGGTAAAATTGTGTTTGATATGATTGCATTTTGGAACCCCGCTCCCCCCATCCCCCAAAGATGAATGGTTTTGACCATGCTCTACTGCTTTGATTGGTGTAGCTAGAAATCACAAGTGCCTATCATATAATGAACAGGTACCCGCAAAATAATATTCCAAACTTGTTTATCTATTTTGTGCTGTTACATTTGTATTGGTGTTTCGTTTCCGATGCACTGAGGGTGTTGTTACTTATAATTTGCGGCGTGCATCATGAGCAAAGTCATTGTCATTTCACTTACCCTAGTTATGAGAACCATGGCATGAGCACGGGCTGATTTGGCATTGCTGTAGCGCAGCCAAATAGCCTGCCAGCAGCCTACCAAAGTTTGCACCGTGTCATTACAATGTAGAAAAACGTATGTCCATGTCCAAATCGTTCAATAGTTAGGCTATCCATATTACCGGTGCTTCATCTTATTCTTTTTATTTCTATGGCGGATTCGCGGCCGCAATTTATGGAACATGCCAAAACTTTGGAGATAACAATAGATGGCAAAGTCAAAGAAACTGGTTTCTCCTATCCATCTGTGGCGAAGTTTTCCCTAAATGCTTTTGACAAGTCCAGCTCAAGAACCTGCTATTGCCTAGCCAGCAATCTCTAATCTTAGCTAGCTAGATAACATTAGCATGCTAGCTATCTACACTGACAGCTGGCAGTGCCCTACTTGTTGTTATTTCTCCACTCCACATGGAAATCACCACAACGTTCCCACCCCCTGCACCTGGTGTGTTTGACTATTCTTACTCGCAATAGTACGTTGAGACCCCGACTGAGTTCCATTTAAAAAATAATAATACATGTATTTATTACTTTTTGGGACCAGGGGCCCTAAGCGACCGCATGGTTGTGTAGATGGGGTGCTAGAAACGAGTGCAGGGTTTAAGGAGGAAAGGGAGAAGAAACAGAAGAGCGAGAGGCAGAGGCATAGCCTAGGATAAAAAAGAGATGGAGGAAAGTATTGTCAGATATTACAGAATGTTGATTTGTGAGTTTGTGTGGGAGGGGATTCTTGTACTACCAGTGAGGGACTCAACCAAAAGCATTGGCTTGTAAACAGTGACCAGCCTAAGGGGTTTATGAAATATCAGCTGTGCCGTTTTTGGGGAAAGAAATGTATGTTTTTATGTGTGTGTGTGAGAGAGAATTATAGAGAGGGTGGGGATTTGTTTAAATGCCAGCCAACCCACGGCTTCTTGTGTGTGTGTCCTTTTCTTGAGAAATGTACAGTGTTACGTAACTTGATGATATTTACTTATGTTCATTAGAAGGCCACTAATACAGTCCTGGGTTTAAGTATCTGTCTGTCTTTTTCGGTCTCCAGGGTAACCAAAGAGGTTGATGCTGACTCCAAGGAGGCCAAGAGCTTTCTGAAGGGCAAGGAGGAGACACCATATGTACAGACTGTACCCAGAAGACTAGAGCCCTCCTCCCTTGGCCCTGGACCGAGGTACATCCCCGCCCAGTCACTACATGACATCACCCATACACCCACCTCTGTCTCTTAATATTTGACTTGTAGAGAGGTTAAATATCACTGCTGTGTTTCCTTAATTAGCGCTTTCATTTGTATAGGAACAGAAGTACTTTCATTGCATAAAGCCGGAATCCTTAATGGTGAAACAACCACGTCCGGTTGCGATATTACAACAACGAAGTTACTGCAAATAACGAACACTGTTTTTCCCCTTGGACTTCATTGCACGCGCGATAGAAGAGCACAATATGTACTGCAATTTTTTTCTCTCAGCTCGGCAACAAAAACAATAGCAACGGTGGTGGGGTGGTTAGTGGCGCTGTTTCTCCCTGCTGCGGATTCCATCTTTAAGTTACAGTAATGCTAACTGCATAATGTGGTGTCAATTGTGTTTCCACAGCCATGTTTGAATAGTCTGTAAAAGGCGTGTGTATGTGTCTAGGACATGAGGGTATAATCCTTGCCGGTTTCACTCCATTGATTTCTGACAGCTCTTACAGAAAGCCTTTGATCCTGTCATTCCGCTCTCTCTGCTACCGAGAAACCAGGGAATGGGATTATTGCTCGACTTTCACACTGCTCTGATACAACTGGTTGTGTGAGAGGGAGAGTGTTGGAGTGCATTTTAGTAGTGATGGCGGGAAAAAAATCGATACAGTTACATATCGCAATATTATTTTGGACAATATTATATCAATACTTTGACTCCAAGATGGAGAGCAAGCTATAGGTACCTTTTTTGCTAGGTAGTGTTAGAAAGCGCTAGTCGGCTGTACCTGCTCCAAAACTCTGGTGTTGTTCATCCTATAGCTTGTACTGCATCTTCTTTTTAAATAGTGAGCCAACATATTTCCAGCGCTTTTCTTTCCATGACTGGTGAAAACTCATTTTCTCATGCTCTCTTGTCTCTCTGCAGCAGACATATAGTGAGCAATATGTTTGAACATCAAATCGCAATAAAACCTCAGTATTGAATCGCAAAACATATAGTATCGTGAAAATCGCAATACATATCGTATTGGCACCTAAGTATCGTGATAATATAGTATCGTGAGGTCAGTGGCAATTCTCAGCCCTACATTTTAGTGTATGTGAAATTGTGAATTCATGTTCCATTCAAGCTTGCATGTTTGACAACCATGTTTTGATAGTTTTGGTATAGTTGCACTTTGCACTGGATGTCAGGGGAAGGAGCTGTGAGTTTGAAGTGGATGTGTGTGTTGTAGCAGCAGGCGGTGCATCATGTACTTTTGTCTGTTTGGATAGTGTCTGTGCGTGTTGTGTGTGTGTGGTGTATTTGTGCATATTATAGTGTGTATGTGTAATGTGTGTGTATCGTTGTCTAGCTATGACAGCTCCAGCTGCTCTCCTCTCCCATTCCCCTGCATGTCAATACTTCCCTCTGTTGCCATGGTGTTTAATTGCCGAGCGTGTCTTTCCTCTGAGGCGGTGGCTTGTGTCCAGACAGGAAGTGATCTTTCCCTTACAGGATGTACAGTGTGTCCAGAACCATTTCCTGTTGTAGAGGAGGAGAGGGTGGGCTTACCTACGACAACAGGAAGTAGCCGTCAGCCAGCAGCCCTCCCTCATCATTCCTGTAGACCAGACCCATTAAGTTAATTACCTCGCCTTAAAACCACATCACAACCTGCTGCAGGGACAGGGCCAACGTTGTTTGTTCTTATCAGCTCGTAAGGCTCTCTGGACTTTAGATAACTTTGTAGTTACGTAAGGGTGGCGGGCGCTGTGCTGTTACGGAGTTCCCATGGTGCTCTCTCTATCCCACGTTACACCCACTAGTTTCCCGCCTAAAACGAGGCAGAAAAGTGTTGACTGTGCATCTCCCGCCTTTTGTCCCTCCATTATTTTCTCCATCTTCGGCTCTCCTGTCCTGTCTCCACCCCCATTTCACCTCCTCCTCCTCTATCTCACTCGCTCTCTCTGTCTCCTGAGTCCTGTGTGATTGGAGGTAAGCTCCCCTCTCTCTGAGCAGTGTAGTGGAAGGCCTGAGTCAGCAGGACAGGCCCCAGATGTGATCTTCATTGAGTTCAGCCTCTCTTAAAGGAACACATGCCTCCCTGCCATCCTGTTCAGCTCTGTCTGTCTGTCTGTCTGTCTGTCTGAGCTCCTACTGAGCTGTAATGTGGCCCTGGCCTTCTGACTGCCATTACTGCACACAGAAAACTGCTCTCTTGTCTGCTTTTTCATTCACTTTCCATCTCTCTCCCTCATTCTCTTTCTCAATCTCTTTCTCTCTCTTACTATCCCCCCTCCTTCCCTCCCTCTCTGTCTTTCTCGCTCTAAATTATATATTATTCTTCCTTTTATAGATCTGTTCCAGGGAGGCACTATCGAGAACTGTATTGAGCCATATAAAATAAACACAATAAAGGAAAGATGGCTAAAATCAGAACCCTGTGGTGCCTGTCGTTGCATAAGGCATCATAGTGGTGCACTCAGCTTGGTCGGTATCCAAATTGTCATAACTTCATACCGACCTTGTGCCATACCCAAAAAAATTATGCACGCATGACTGTAAGTCGCTTTGGATAAAAGCGTCTGCTAAATGACATATTATTATTATTATACCGGAATATTCAGTAATATCGGCACTGAACACAAGGAGTGCTATTTTCAAACCCATCTTAGCCTCTGTAATCCGATGGTTAGAAATGCTAACAAGTACATAAAACATCCCATAGAGAGTGCTAACTAAATGCTAAAGAGCGCATTGCAAACATTTTATACAGTCTCTGACCTAAACTATTTGCAGGACAGCTCATAAAGTTTTACAAGTAACTCATAAATGCTACTCACAGTTTTCTGCACACACACTCAACAAATATTAGATAGCAAGGCTCTTGATCCAGGAGGCATTGGAGGCTCCTTAGAGGAGGAAGGGGAGGACCATCCTCAGTGAATTTAATTAATTTAAATTTTTACAGTGAGACATTAAAACTATACTAAATATATTCACATGTCACCAAATAATTGATTAAAATTACAATAGCCTCAACAGCACACTCTGGGGTAGCACCATTGTGTAGCCAGAGGACAGCTAGTTTCCATCCTCCTCTGGGTACATTGACTTCAATATAAAACCTAGGAGGCTCATGATTCTAACCCCCTTCCATAGACTTACACAGTAGTTATGACAACTTCCGGAGGACGTCCTCCAACCTATCAGAGCTCTTTTAGCATGAACTGACCATGTTGTCAAGCCAATCAAAGGATCAGAGAATGAATCTAGTACTGAAAGCACAAGTTACAGCTAGCTAGCATGTGCAGTGCATAAAATGTTGTGTGTTGTTGACTCAAAGAGAGAGAGAGACAATAGTTGAACAGTTTTGAACAAATTCATTTCTTCAAAAATTAAGGAGAAGCGAGAGAGAAAGCTAGCAATAGTTTGTTTTATTTTATTCACTTTCACTTACTTAGCTAGGGAATGCAGCTAGCTAGTTTAGCCTTCTCAAACATCCGGCTAAAACAGAGGGAGGCTATGTTAGCTAGCTGGCTATGGCTATTCAACACTGGAATTCTTCCAAGTCAAGATAAACATTTGGTTTTATTAATTTATTGCCACAGGGGCCCGCTCGTGTAACTGCTAAACTGCTTGCTGTACACTGTACTGTATGATTGTAGCGTGATTACTAATGCGTTAGTTCTAGTAGCTACAGTGAGGGAAAAAAGTATTTGATCCCCTGCTGATTTTGTACGTTTGCCCACTGTCAAAGAAATGATCAGTCTATAATTTTAATGGTAGGTTTATTTGAACAGTAAGAGACAGAATAACAACAAAAACATTCAGAAAAACGCATGTCAAAAATGTTATAAATCGATTTGCATTTTAATGAGGGAAATAAGTATTTGACCCCCTCTCAATCAGAAAGATTTCTGGCTCCCATGTGTCTTTTATACAGGTAACGAGCTGAGATTAGGAGCACACTCTTAAAGGGAGTGCTCCAAATCTCAGTTTGTTACCTGTATAAAAGACACCTGTCCACAGAAGCAATCAAACAATCAGATTCCAAACTCTCCACCATGGCCAAGACCAAAGAGCTCTCCAAGGATGTCAGGGACAAGATTGTAGACCTACACAAGGCTGGAATGGGCTACAAGACCATCGGCAAGCAGCTTGGTGAGAAGGTGACAACAGTTGGTGCGATTATTCGCAAATGGAAGAAACACAAAAGAACTGTCAATCTTCCTTGGCCTGGGGCTCCATGCAAGATCTCACCTCGTGGAGTTGCAATGATCATGAGAACTGTGAGGAATCAGCCCAGAACTACACGGGAGGATCTTGTCAATGATCTCAAGGCAGCTGGGACCATAGTCACCAAGAAAACAATTGGTAACACACTACGCCGTGAAGGACTGAAATCCTGCAGCGCCCACAAGGTCCCCCTGCTCAAGAAAGCACATATACAGGCCCGTCTGAAGTTTGCCAATGAACATCTGAATGATTCAGAGGAGAACTGGGTGAAAGTGTTGTGGTCAGATAAGACCAAAATGGAGCTCTTTGGCATCAACTCAACTCACCGCGTTTGGAGGAGGAGGAATGCAGCTTATGACCCCAAGAACACCATCCCCACCGTCAAACATGGAGGTTGAAACATTATGCTTTGGGGGTGTTTTTCTGCTAAGGGGACAGGACAACTTCACCGCATCAAAGGGACGATGGACAGGCCATATACCGTCAAATCTTGGGTGAGAACCTCCTTCCCTCAGCCAGGGCATTGAAAATGGGTAGTGGCTGGGTATTCCAGCATAACAATGACCCAAAACACACGGCCAAGGCAACAAAGGAGTGGCTCAAGAAGAAGCACATTAAGGTCCTGGAGTGGCCTAGCCAGTCTCCAGACCTTAATCCCATAGAAAATCTGTGGAGGGAGCTGAAGGTTCGAGTTGCCAAACGTCAGCCTCGAAACCTTAATGACTTGGAGAAGATCTGCAAAGAGGAGTGGGACAAAA